TTCCAATGATCTCTTCCAGGCGAGTAGACTTGCGGATTGATCTCAAAGCTCTTCGAATCGTTGCATTTTTCTTGGTCGAGGACTTTCGGGCAGCAAGAGTGTTACGAGCCCCGCTTCATTGCGACAGAAGTCGTTAGGATTGTCAACGATGATAAGGTGCTAAGATTTTTTGCGATTTTCGAAACACCGGAATGTAGAAGACATTGGTGATGTTGCGGAACCCAGATTTGCGACGATTATCCTTTTTCTCGTGAAAGTTGCTCCGATACTTCGAGTTCTTCCTCTACTGCCAAAGGTGAGTTCATGGCGTTTGGTTGCTCGTTGTTGTCTACGTCAGGGAAAAGAGAGAACCAAGGATCACCTTGAACAACGTTGTTATCGCCGAGGCCGCCATGACTGATATAAGGCGAATCATCGCCGAAAGCAGGGGACCCGTCAAACGTAGACGGACTGGTCAAGGTTGTATACGCAGCTGAGTTAGGAGCAGAGGAGAACGAGTCGCGAAGAGAAAGATCTTGAGGCGAAACAAATGACATGTTGGAGGAGCTTGAAGATGAGAAATCGTTTGTTGGATCGTACATTGTTGCAAGAGCAGGGGAAGAAAAAGCCGAAGAGTATGAGTTTTGTGTCGAGGTTCCACCCTCGAAAGGAGTGAATTCATCAAAAAGATCCATATCTGCGTGTAAATGTGAGTCATTGCGGAAACGTGCATGTGAATAATCATTTATTAAATTACCTTGCAGAGCCATGTCTATATTTCGCGGTATGCTTCCAGTTGATTGTGAAAACAAAGGTACTGGAGGGCGAGATCGCTGAGGTCGTTGCAAAGTTGCTGGTGAAGCAGGCGCAGAAGCGTAAAAATTCTGATGCTGCACAAGCTGCGGAGGAGAGTTGAACCGATTGGTAAAAGCTGAAGTAGAAGGATGTCCAGTAGATTGTATGATCGCTGCGACTCTCTGATTCTGCGGCAATGGGGAAGCAGATACGAGATTGGATGAGTGACGACGATTTTGACCAGTAAAGGTTTGGGTATTGGACAGACTAGGGGTATGATGAACGTTCGGAGTTCTGGTCTCGAAGAGAACAAAGTCCTGCTGTGAGGGATCTTGATGAACCGTATTGTTCAGAGGATACTGATTCGATAGTTGATTTGGTGATTGTGCCGGCAGGCTCGATGAATTGGAGTTGGGAAGCCATGTTGATAGGGAATCCGTTGTGAAAGAGTTTAACTCTTGTGGGAGTATTGCTGCGGTTGAAGGACTAAAGCTGCTGAAAGCGTTGCTAGTAGTCAGATTTTCCTGGAAGGGAAAATTTGTAGTAGAGGGGTTGAATTGAGTTGAGAGAGTTGGTATAGTTGGAGAAGTAATTTTGATGACTGGGGAAGTCAACTGAGGGACGATCGGGAGGATCAATGATTTAGAACATTTTGAGTCAAATGTTCTTTCATGTAATGTGTTATTGTTATCTGTAATTTCTGTAATGATTGATGGTTTGCTGTGTTTGTTGTGTGGTTGTGGTTAATGGAAGAGAAAGAAGAGGAAGAGAAAGAATTTTGAGTTGTGTCTGGGGAGAAGGATATTCTTATGGGACTGGGTGCGAATTAAAAAATAATAACCAAAGCAAATGGTTCTTTCTTACCGAGAATTTTATTTGTTAGGTGAAAAGTTAAAATGTCAGCGAGTAGTAAGGATATGGATCATTTAATTGATTTAATTGGATCCTTTGCAGTCTAGTGCGTGCAGAGGAAAAGGCTCTAACTTTTTTAGATGCTTGACCTTAGTATGTTTTTGAGATTAGCTGGGATATTTAGGGTATGAGTCACAGTGGTCTTTTAGTCTCTTATCCGTATCAGCCCGTCATTGTCTTGTATGTGATGGATGTATTGGAGTGAAAGTACTCTCTGTAAGACTTTGTGTGGTTGGTAGTAATAAGTTGTGGTGGCTGTTGTATTTATTCCTTGTAACTGAATATTGGATACTACCTACTATACTGAATATACTGAATATCTCTCTTTCCTATAGGTTGTAAGGAAGTTGGAGTCCGGGGAAAATGTAGAAATATATCTTCTCCGAATTCCCTCCTCTTTCCCAACACCTCGTCTTTCACTTTGAACAATCATCATTTCTCTCCAAACCCACACAAGATAAGGTCTCCTAGCCCTAAAATTATCATTCCCTTCATTTTATCCTCATATTGACTACGTTTTGCCGGCCTATTAATCCTTGCTTTCACCATTTCACCAAGGTTACGCCCTGCCAGAAAGCCTTACTCCATTTTAGGTCACATCTCATGCCGCATTTAAGGTCAGATGCGATGGAGTCTCTTGATAGGGTAGAGACGGGAACTACGGTACACAAAGTGCCTTCGTCTTTGTTACCCTTCGAACTCTTACTTGAATGAACACTACCTAGTAGGTACCTACATAGATTAATTCCTCAGATAGAGATACCACTTTTTGATGTATTATTCATCTTTTCTTTCTTTCTAGAAGCGATACTGGATATTCGTACAATGTTTTTTAAACTCGATGTGAGAGTGAGTATATTCAGAGATGTGTGAGGGGAAGGTCATTTGGACCAGCAGGTATCAAAGTCATATGCCATTTTGCCATGAGGAATAATGAGAAACTGTTTTAAGGGTTTGAGGTCTGCCTGCCTACATCCACTTCATAGGACCACAATACCTCTGTACTCTGTAGGTTTATTCTGTTCTATTTCCTTTGCCCTAATTATTAATTCTTATTTCCGCGGATCTTCTAATTCCGGTCTTACAGAGTACATTTCTCTTTAACCTCTTCTACAAGGGATTTCTCAGCACGGATAACCTAATACTGCATATAATCTATTTGAAGCCTTCAAAAGACCTTTAAGCAGCACGCCGTGTCGATCATTCTTGACCGTTTACCAAAATCATCTCGCCGGCCGACCAGCTGACCGAAGGAAGCCGTATTAAATGGAGTAACTACACAGTAACCTCCGTACTGCCTATTCTTCTAACTTCTAACCCTAACCTCCCCCCCACCCTCATTTTTTGGTTAAAGAAAAAAGAGGGTGGGTTGTTGCGCAACTGCGCCTTTCACTTGACATCAATGAGTGGACATGTTGTTGCGGAATTCCGCTTCATTCGTGTTTAGTCTTGAGGAATCTTACTTTAAACCTAGTAAGTTGCGTATTCACCTCCTCCCTCTCTCCCTTTTCATTCGTCATCACAATCACAATCCTCAACCAACCAAGTCCAATTCATGCCAAGAAGCATATGTATCCTCTGCACACACACAAAGACACCTAAGCCTCCACAAATCAATATCACAATATCATCAGTCCTCCGTACTTCCCTACATGATAATACCTAGTAGGTAATCAAAATCACCAGGAATTCCTAACAATTTCTACCCTCCCTGTCTAATAGTTTATGACTCATAGTCAGTCTGCATATGGAGTCTGGACTTACGACTTTGAAACGCCAAAGTCTCCTCGATTTCTAAGCAGAAAATAAGATATCGATTCGTTCAACAAGTTTCATTGGTGAGCGATCGAAGCTGCCGCCTGAAGATTCTGCGTCCAGGCTGCAGATGGTACTTTTTTGCTTACGAAACTGTGCATATACACATCGTCGCCTAACGTCGTGTCGTATTTTTTATATTCGAAGTTGAGATTGAGGGGCTCCGAGCTGTGAAACGTTAATTTTCTTTTCGTCATGTTGTCCCTATTCCGCGATTCTTTCCGCGTGGGGTGCATTTACACATGGCACGTGATTTTCACGTGTATGTACATCCTTAGAAGTTGCTCCAATCTGATTATATCCAAATAACATTATCTAGATCGACCTGAGAGATCTAGATTTACTTCATACCACTTTTAACTCTCCGACCATCTTGTTCTATGTGATAGTTTGGTCATAGGGCTGAATTGCGGGGATCCCGTCTTGGATCTGCTGGCGTGATGGTTGGGCGTAGTATGAGTCATTGCCAGATCTGTGGGGTATAGATATCTCGGGGAGGGAGTGGTGGAAAGTTTATTGTCGTAGATGGATTCATTGGATGACTAACACATCAACCATAATCCGGCGTCAACTTCACCACTAGTGTGGTGGACAATAGTATGCAACCTACCAGAAGCTCTGCTTTTTGCAGCAATGATTTGGCGCACCACTACTTTTCAGTGATCTATCCTTGTTAGTGTTTCAAGAATGTGGCACAGAATTTTCCTGGTTTACAGCATCTAATGCATCTCCAATATCTGGGTACGAGTTAGCACTGACCAGATGTTCAACTTTAGTGTTGTGCTCAGTACTCTTTTAAATGCGGGAGATATTCGCGAAGCTATCTTTGCAAGAAGGCCATCATTAGATTGACTCGAATCGTTAAGGCATATACGAAGTGTCCGCCAGGATGCACAAAGACAAGCATCACATACCGTGGGCAAGTCTAGTAGCTATAAAGAAGACATGCTGTTTCATCCAGTAGGTAAGGTAGCTCTTGCCTTGCTTGAATACTTTGCCTTGGACTCTCATTCATCATTATAAAGCGATAGGTAATAATGGATGTTGAAGAAATTGGTGGGGATTCACCATTAATCATAGAGAGGTTGTTGGTATCTTGTTACATCAAATGGTACTGGTGCATCGCCCTTTGGATTACTCCTCGAGGAGAGTTGTCCAAGTTCTGGCACATTGGCGATGTTGGAAAAGAATGGCAATCAAGTAACAATCACTATCAAAGATCACTATTCGTAAACTTGGGATCTTGTAATCACTGTACACCGGGCAAATACTAATGTAGTGGTAAGTTCTAAGAATATGAAAAAGGGGGATGGGTGACGTATCAAACCATGGGCTGTTTTCTGTCCACGTCCCAAAACTGCCAGATACCAGATGTTATAAATCAAATCAACAAACTGCCTCAGGAGACTAAAACCCCATACCGTGCTTCTTATCTACGTAAGAAGCACATATGGGGTGTTGATACCATCGGCTCTCCAGACCAGGGTTAATCAGGTGACTAGATTAGGGTGTCTGTGCGCCAAAGCCTCCTTCAACTGCCTAAACTCCGCTCTTCTCAGAATATCACAAACCACAATTCACAATCCATAATGCATATTCTGACTTTATTCTTCACACTTTGTTCGTTCATCTCCTCCTGAATATTACCTTACTAAAGTATCAGACATATAAATTACCAAGGCAGAAATAATTGTGCCACAACTTTCACAAAAACGATCGCTGAATTCCTCACTCGGTCATATATGCGTTGGACATGTAAGTTGGGGAAGCAAGTTCAAAGCAAAAAGACCTTGAGCAAAGCTTTGATGATCACCAAATATTATTCGCGATTCTGCGTCTACTGAGAAGTTTTTGTTTCTTGCTGCTACGCATGGCTTTTCAGCTTTTCAGCGCACCCTGCATTCTAGTGTCACCTCTTGGTTATCGTTTTACAACCAACCGACATGTCTTGCTAGAATGGCACGTGTCTTTTCAAATATATGCTGTACTTCTGTACCCCTGAGGTTCGGCGTATTTCGTTGGCTCTACCCGAGGCAGGACATGCCCTAGCAAGCACCGTCACCACCACCTAAGAAGACGTTTTTAATGTTTCGAAATCTCTGACGCCATTGAATTGGAACTTACGGATTGATTCCCCGAAGTATACCCTAATTACACGTCTGGGGATTAAAATTTAAGATTGACGTTGCATGATATTCAGAATGGATTTATACCAGCAACAACCGATTAATCTCGACCGACCTGCTATTCGACTTCTTCAGCTTCTTAAAGGAACAGAAAACATTCGATGTAACCTTTTAACTGGATGGTTCGATGAACCCGAAAGCATCATCCCATATTCTGCTTTGCCATACACATGGGGATGTACAAACAAGTCATGCGGAATCACGGTCGGCAATACCACAATCAATGTCATCCCAAACTTAAATTCAGCACTTATGCATTTACGCCTTGAAGATAAGGACCGAATTTATGGATTGATGCCATCTTTATCAATCAGGATAATGTTCAAGAAAAGATCCATCAAATTTGTCAGATGGATGCCATATATAGGGCTGCCGAAGAAGTTATTGTTTGGTTGGGCAATGGTACTAAAGAGACCGACTTTATTATGAATTCCATAGCACTATTACAAAAGTTTTGTTTGAATCATCCAGCAGACTGGAGAGGCGCAGCTAAAGTTTGGTTGCAATATCAACAATCGCTCACGTGCGAGTATCATCAAAGGACTCGGATAGGTATACGTGAATTGTTAGGTCGACCATGGTTTCGAAGAATCTGGATTGTACAAGAGATTGCCAATGCTAGGTTTGCGACAGTTTATTGTGGCAGGTTTCTGTATCAACACGAATCTTTGCACAGTTTCCTGTTTTGGTTCGCACAATTTCTAATGATTGGCCTGTCCCGCTTGAGGTGCCTGACCATTGTCAATCTGTTCTGGATTTTATGCCTGGGCTTTCACAAAAAGAGTCTTGGTGGGAGAAAGGCAGAGAACTTCACACCCTGTTAGTAAAGTTTCGCAAAAGTGAAGCCACTGACGATCGAGATATGATTTATACCTTACTGAATAGATCACTAGATGCTCGTGGTAGTGATATCTTGAATCCAAAATGCAACAAACCATTACAACAGGTTATCCACGAGACTGTCTCATTCATCATTCATGAGAAATATTCTCGCTCGACTTACTCAAAAAACGATGCTTCGTTGTATGAGTTTCTTGATTGGACATTGTCAACTTTCCTGTATAATCTAGAAGAGCTAAATGGTGTCATTCTTGGAGAAGCTTCAGAGGCTGGAAAGGAGCATCTGGTCAAGTTATTACTTGCGACGGATGGGATCAAGATCGACTTCCAAGACTATCACGGCCGGTCTCCGCTGCAACGTGCATTCCGTGGAGGCCATCGAGTTATTTCGCGGCTATTAATTGAAGCAATTACCCAGCAGAACAATTTTCACTATCGTGAGTGTTACCTGGGGCTGTTTTAGGCTGTTAGCTCCGGAGAAGAAGGCGCTGTTAGGTTATTGCTTGAAAAAGGTGCTTGGATCGAAACAAGGACTGGATATGATAGGACAGCGTTATCATTAGCTGTTCTGTATGGAAAAACGACTATTGTTAAGTTGTTGATTGAGAATGGTGCTGATATTAAAGCAAGAGATATCGAGGGCCAAACACCGTTATCATTAGCTATTAGGAATGGGAAAACGGATGTCGTAAATTTATTACTCAGAGAAGGTGCTAAACCTGAGGCGAAGGATAAGAGTGGAATTATTAAAGTCCTACAGGTCTCGAATATTTGCATGTTCTCGGCATTTAGTTCCATATTCAGCATCCTTCGAGTCTTCCTTATTTTGCAGGCTCCTGTCTACATATGGTCCCAGGGGTCCTAGGATTTGATTTTCTTTCAGGGGGATTTGGGCTTTCTCGAATGTACCGCATCTTTGGAATCTTTGGAGTCTTTCATTCTTCCGTTTGTGATTTTTCAGTTCCGAGAAAGCTTTGCGAACATATTTCTTCGTCGCGGGAATCGCACCGGCTAGTGATACCTGGTTACAAATTACAGAAGAACGGGGCTACAATTAAGCTTAATCGTTTTGATGATTATCCCTGGGATAAGCTTTCCACGACACTTACGAAATTGGGATCGGTTGACACGAATCGCAAAGAGGCTCTAGCATCTAAACTAGGCGAGCCGGCGTCACAAGTATTTAACTCCGACGTAACTTCATGCATTCTCGTCCGATACAGGTTGGATGGAATTCTTCAATAACTACTGAGTACATGAGACAATTTTGTATTTATAGCATCAAGCGAGACTCAAAGTTGATCCGGGTATAGATATCGCGGTGGGCTGTTAGCAATGGTATGCATACTTCTGAAAAAGGCCCAGAAATCTTTTTTGCCATCATGGTAATGCTGTTTTCGTTCCATTTCCCAGTACGGACAGTTTCGTGTTGATGGGTTCAAATGGTTGGATTGATTAATCTGGACGTCTTATAACACAGCGCAATCTTTCCGTCCGCAAACAGTCGCTTCTTTCGTTTAATGCCTGGTGAAAGGTGGAGCGAATGCGTGTACTATCGGAAATATTGAATCATCAGAAGTAAAATGGGCTATAGGTACCATAGTGATCAGGCCGAATTTTGTATATTGAGTTTGGTTCTTGACATATGTGTGTTATGTTTTGAGACGGCCGATCCATACACAACGAGAAAGATATCTACCAAGTAGCCTCAACATATGCGTTCATTTTTTATATCTATCACATTTATGCACTACCATCTCCGATCTCCTATATCCGAAAATCCCACAATCCCCGGATCCGAATAACGACAGAGATTTCTTCAGCCAACATCACGAAAGATCCAATTCCACTCATCTCTTCCATATTCAGTAATTACTCGCATGATTTCACCCTTTCCTTTCCGCTAAGTGCGAAATCTACCCCATGGAAAAATGAGCTTATCCATTTATATATAATATGATATCACGTGATACCAGACACTTCGTTCTAGAAATTGGACCCGAGTTTCGCATAGCGAGACGAGGAGATAACGATTAATATTCTATGGGATTGAGTGGACATTTTGAACTTATTTTTTTTACAAAAACGGTAAATGGAGGATGAATATAAAAGAGGGGAAGAAAAATCGGAAGTCCGAGATTGATGAAAAATTTCGGAGCCGATGTAGATGTGCAACAAAATGTTGATCCAAAGGCTTGCGAGGATATTTATTGGTTGGGTTTGTGGGAGAGAGTGTGCGTGGTGATGATGCGGATTTATTTCTGGGATTAGAGATTTAGTGTTAGGAGGATGGATGGATGGATGGGTGTGCGTTTTACTTGGTTTGTTTGGATGTGTGTTATGGCCGAGATTTTCGGCCGAGAGATTTCGGAGATGTGGTGGGTTGGGTTGGGATGGGATCGGATGGGATGAGATGGGATGGGGAGAAGTCACGGAGGTTGAATATGCATTGGATTGGATTGATGGGGTTATGCTTGGGTTTTGTGATTTATGGTTTATATATAGGTTGGGTTGCTATTGCAAGTGCATATTCATTTGGTGGCGGTGGTATTCACTGGTCGTTCTTGTTCTTGTTATGTGGAGGAGGGAGAGGGGGAAATTTCTGGTTTAATCTATTTAGCTGGATGCTTTTTATAGTGAAAGGTATATATCAGTATATATCTATATATATATATATATATATACAAAACCTCAAAACCCCTTCAATACACATCAGAATCCACATCCTCATCAGCTCTTCTTCACTCCACATCTCATCCACATCCACACCCAAGACCATTTAAACCCGATCGATCACCGGCATTAGATTCTCGCCCGATATGATATGGCTTTTATATTATTACTAGTGTATAATATGTATGTATATATAGTTATTTAAATTCAAATAAACTATTATTTATTCTTGTCTTGTTTTATTTTGGTCATTGAAGTTATAGTTATAGCCTGGTTTGTATTTTATATTTTTGTATTTTTGTATTTCTTTTATAGATGAAATATCAATAATTATTAAGTAAAAATAAATATTGATAGTGAGATATTCAAATGTTTAGATATTTATTTTGTTCAGTTGAATAATAATAATAATAATATAACGTAACTTATGGTGAACCGGGTCATATGGGGAACCGGGTCACAAAATTCAATTCTCTCTATGTGATCTTGTTCTACGAGCTACACATTCATCCAATTCCAACTCTAAATCACTTGAACTACTCTCTGGCTCTTCTTCTTCAGTCTCCTCTTCTAATTCTTCAATTGGACGTTTACGTGGTCGCCCTCGTGGCTTTTTCTCCTTCGGTTTTTCCTCCGCCTCACGTACCATTTTCAGTACTTCCTCACTACTAAAGACAAATTGACCTTGTAATTTGACTCTTTTGCCTTTAGTTCTCTTCTTTCGAGTCTCAATTACTTCCTGAGCATCAGCGAGCTGTTTCCGAAGTAGGGCTATCTCAGCATTTTGAGATTCTACAAGCCTAGTCATTCTCTTGGCATATCGACGAGTTGGTGATGCAAGAGAATCATTATCTGCTAGAGCTTTATTAAAGGTTTGATTTGCTTGCCTTAGCTCTGTCCCATCTGGAGGAGAGCTCCTGAGTATAGATAAGTCTAGATCTTGATTGGACATTCTCATTTGTGGAGTAGAAGGTTGTTGGGAGGAGTTAAATGGTAATATATCGAGTACTTTTCGTGGGGCAAAAGGTACTAAACCAGCTCCTCTCCAACCAGCTTTAATATTAGAAGAATTCAGTGCTTTTTTTCTAATATTTTGAAAGAGTTCTACCCATTCAGCTCTTTGAATTCGCTTTACACCAGCTCGAGAATATCGATCGACCTCTAAAGCATGATATCGTTTCATTGGCCCATACACCGCAATATCAAGTGGTTGAAGCAAGTGGGAGCAATGAGGAGGTAATATAAGTAAATCGATTTCCTTCTCTATACAGAAAGCAATAAAGCTGCCTGTAATATGACTTGAATGGCCATCCATGATCAAAAGTCGAGGTCGGTCACCTGACACTTTCTTGGATTCTGGTTCGAAAACCCTTTTTAGCCATTCTAATCCATGACTATTTGAGGTCCATCCATTCGTACTCGTAGAAAACTGCCAGCTTTAAGGCGTGTCCTTTGGAATCCATGCAGAATTCGTATTCTGAGCCTTGAAAATGATCATAGATGATAGAGCCTTTCCAGCTGCATTGACACATTCAAATGCAGTTATCCATTCTTGCTTGCCAGCTGTAACTTTCCAATTCGATTTCTGAGTAGAATCGACTATAATACGCATACTTTGAGTACTTCCAACTCCAAATCCGGTTTCATCCATATTATACATATCATCTAATTCATACTTTCGTTCAATGAGACACGTACGAAACATATCAAACCAAGCCTGAATATTCTCCGGAGTTATTACTTTAGTCCGATTAGACTCTAATTGACGTGAATAACATGTTTTAAGTTCTGGATGTCGTTTTTGGAATCTATAGATCCATTCGTGGCCTATAGGTGGAATTTCTGTCGAGGTAGGAATTCGAGATGACGCGACCTGAACGCGTCGAAGACGAATTTCGTCGGCCATTTCCTTCACCAACATAGGTGTAGCAGGGAATCCAGTGATGGTAAGTCGTGAAATCCATCGTACAAGAGTATTTTCTTCTGCGTTTGAAAGAATTTGAGCCATTTCGTGGGATTGAGTACATGATTTCCTTCCAGCGACCCTAGCTATGAGAGTTGACTTAGGAACTTCAAAATACTCTGCAGCCTTTCTAATTGATTTAAAGTCCTTCAATTGAAGTGCAATAATAGCATTCTGTATCTTCTCTTCAATTTGAGAAGGCGTAAGAGGTGATTCGGTATGCATAGCAAAATTTGTTGGGGTTTGAAGTCAGTGATGGGCTAAATGTGACCCGGTTCCCCATATGACCCGGTTCACCATAAGTTACGTTATATGATAATATATTATTAAAATATTATTAAAATATTATTAGAATATTATTAAAATATTATTAAAATATTATGTTAAAGTGAATGGTTCCTGCGTAGCACGTGCGCAGGGCACTAGTCCTATTAGGACTAGATTGAGAAGCTCTCTGTAAGAGAGCTTCGCACTTCCGTAGAACTTAGAAGAGAGATTAATATACTAGACCAATATTACCTCAGTTCTGCCCTATCAGCTTCCCACTATTCCCTGTGTGAGGTCATTCCTTTTAACATATTATTAGAATATTATTAAAATATTATTAAAATATTATTAAAATATTATTAAAATATTATTAAATGTTAAAAGGAATAGAAGTTACCGGTACTAATCACGTGTCGTGATTAGTAATACGGTTACCTAAACAGGCTAGATTAGACGAACCATAAGCAGGCATATTGGTCCCCTCCGAGGATACCAAGAGGAGATCTTAATATGCCTACAGACGTAGTAATATAGTCAATATAGAGGCCTCTTCCACCCAATCTTTTAATATTAAAATATTATTAGAATATTATTAAAATATTATTAAAATATTATTAAAAATATTATTAAAATATAATAAAAGCTGATTGAACGGCTTGGTTAGCAATATGAATTTACCTGATTTCCGATATTTTCCGGCTGGTTTAACGGGAAGCAAAATGATTATATGAAACCTCATTGGACATTTTATTTTCTATGAAAACTAAAGCTGTAACGTGGATTATCAGCAAGTCGCCACTCTTTATTCGCAATTTACAACCCTTCAACTTTAAGACGCGTTTTAATCGTGTTTTATGCGAAGATACTGAGCTTATTGACGCGTAGTTTCGATTGGTATCAAATCTGCGCGCAAAATACGTTATTCTCGATTGCGATTTCTACAACTTCAATGAGACGGGCTTTATGATATATCCTAGTATGGTGGTTACACACGCAGATCGATATGTCAAAGGATATGCATTAGTCAGTTAACAAATTTCTGGTTGTATGAATTAAAGCTTTAGGCAGCAAGCACTGGAGTAATGATAATTATGATTAGGCTTGATACATCAAGCTGATAAAGTTTGACACATTTTACCCTGCTCGGGTCTAGTATTGTAAGCTGGAACCCTCTCCAAATATGGCTTAGATTGAGTTAGAAGCTAACAAATCGGAATATCCCAGGTCCCTGCTGATCGATCTCAAAAGTACATCTAGCCTTGCATATTGCCGATAGTAACTTATGGGCCGAGGATCCTAAAAGTAAATACATATTCTGGCTAAATGGAATGGCTGGTACGGGCAAGTCTACCATCTCTCGCGCAGTTGCTCAATCCTTCAAGGAAAATAATCTATCTGGAGCAAGCTTTTTCTTCAAACGAGGCGAAGGTGATCATGGAACAGCAAGCAAATTTTTCACAACTATTGCCCATCAACTAGTGGTTAAGCAGCCACAAATGGTACAGTCTGTCAAGAAAGCGATCGATCTCGATCCAAACATTTTCGATAAAAGCTTGGCAAAGCAATTTATTGGATAGCTGAAAGGTCAGATATAGAAGTGCGAAATATTTTTGGCTACCTCCAGACTATCGGCCATCTAGGTCGTCTTGCTATAAGGAAATTACAGTTATGAGATTTTTCACCGGTAAGGTTTTCTTTCTGAGGTTTGAGCATGAAAAATTTCATATTATCCAAGTGATTGATTGATTGATTGATTGTGTTTATCGTCATAGGCCGTAGGCCCACGCGCCTTGGCGCGTGATAACCTTAGCCATCTATTCCAGTTTTGGACAAATGACGCTCAGAGGAGTATGCCTCTGAGTAGTGTACTAGCTAGCTAGGGAGGGTATTTATATACAATTTAAAGGGGCTAGGGCAGGGTTTACATGATTGCCTTCGCGACAGATTTGGGGCCGGTTGGCTTAGTGGTTAATATTGTGGTCCTCCTCGTCCACTAGATCACTAGCACTTGATCACTCTCCCTTCCCCTCATACGTTTTTGTTGAATTATCTTGTGTATTTACTGTTTTTTTTTTTTTTTCCTTTTTAAAGAAAGGGGAGGAACGAAGAGAAAAAGAGAAGAGAAGAATAGAGATGTAAAGAGAAGGAAGGAGAAGAGGAGGAGAGAGAATAAGCCCTTTGAGTACCTGTTTGAAAAAAGGAGATACAGGAAGTAGAGGGAAAACGAAGGAGAGGCTTTGTTTTTTTTTTTTTTTTTAAGCTGCAGATACAAGCTGTGGGCAGATATCTGTGTAGAATTTGGTGGATTCAAGCCATTTGGCTAGTGCGAGACCACCTGTGGGGATGCCTAGAAGCTAGGGGATGGCTTCAGATGGTGGGCTTTTCGTAAGTGTTTTGTAAGCTTTGCCTTTCTTGCAGAAGAAGAAGTGTAACGGGGTTTTCCTTTTACCGTATGAGCAGAGAGTGTGAGCTGTAGTGTAGTTGAAGCGTTCGTGATATGCCGCAAAGTCTCCATGCTGTGATCTGGCTGCAAGAATGTAGTGAAGTGTAGCTCTTTTTAAGGAGAGAGTAATTGTATTGGAAGTGTGCTTATATTGCAGATCTTTGTAATACTGAGGGCTGACTGTGTTCCACAATTGGTTATCCGCTTTATTGGTCTTTGATCTGATTAGTCTTTTGAGGGAGGCTAACGTGCAGGCCGGGTTGGGGGGTGGGGGGAGTTTTGCCCCTTCCTTGGTTGCTTTGTCGGCTATTTCGTTGTCTGGAATGTTGAGATGCCCTGGGACCCAGTGTATGCGTATTTTACCAGGGGGGATATGTGGGAGCCTCGGTCTAGCGGCCCAGGCCTGTTTGAGCTTCAGGAAATCTTCGAAGACCGCCTGAGACGAGCCATTGAAGTGGGAGCCTAATCTTAGGGCTACTTCGTAGTTATCCAAGAAGATCCATAGGTCTGTAGCAAGTTTGATTGATGGAAGCGCTAGGGCCTTTGCTGTCCCCGTTACTGCAGCCATAGCTTCCGCGTCGAATACCTCTGCATTTGTGCCAAGTGAGAAGGAGTATTGGGCCACTTGGATATCAAATTGTGTGATTACAAAGCCACCTCCGGTGGCGCCGTCCTTGCTTTCGCTTTTTGAACCATCCGAGAAGATCTGTATATCACTCCTTGGGATCTTAGGATGGAAGGCCTTGAAGTCGTCAGCTGCTTGGGCCTTTGTTCTGCCCATCGGGCCAGCTACACGTATCTCGGCTTCTGCTCTCGATTCCTTGTGTTCCCATGAAGGGAAAGCTAATGGATTTATATATTCGGCTTTTGGTAATGCTGTGATGAAACTTGAAAGTCTTGTATCTACAGTTCGGTTCTGGTCTTTGGCTTTGATCATGCTCTTCGCTCTAATTCTGAGGGGGTGGTAAGGGTCTAGTCTGAAGGTTCGCACAGCATATGTTTGTGAGGCTAAGTTTAGCTCGATTTCGGAGGGCCTGAGTTTGGCTTCCTCGTATAGCACCGCTGTGTTCGTGGTTTTGTATACTGGGAGAATTGCTTTTGCACAAGTGAGGATCACTTTGTTGAGTAGATTTATATGGTTGTCCACTACATTTGAAATTGACACGTTCGAGGCATTCTTCTTTAATCTGGTTCGGCCTGGCCACCATGTTTCCGAAGCAAAGTAGCATTTCTTTAGTACACAGGCTACAGCCACTCTTCTGGTGGAGTAGGAGGGTATCCCTCGGCATGTGTTATTGAAGGATCTTAGTGCATTAGCTCCTTTGAGGGCTTTTGCTGTAAGAATCTGTATATGTGGCTTGAAGTTTAGTCTTCTGTCGAAATAGACTCCAAGCCATCTGAGCGGACCAGGTTTCACCTCGATGTTCAGGGAGCCAGTGTGTACTGAGGGAGCTTCAGTTAGTGTGCGATGTCCCTTGTAGAAATGTATTAGCTCAGATTTTTTGGGGTCAAAGGTGATACCTTCGGTTTTTCCCCATTCGAGAGCTTCTTGCATATTTGCTTGAAGAGTATCACAGTTCTTTTGGAGGCTATCGGATGTTTCTAGTAGCGCAATATCGTCAGCGTACCCGAATCTCTTCCGTGGATTGCCCATCCAGAAAAGGGGCGCAATATAGAGCATAAACAGGATCGGGGAGATTGGAGAGCCTTGGGGAAGGCCGCATTCTAGCTTTGTTTTTGGGCCGATCTCGCCGTCCAGTCGGATCTTGATGTAACGATTGGTGGCAAAGGACTGTACCCATTTAACCAATTTGTTTGACCATCCTTGTTCCCGAAGGCGGTTCACTAGTCGTCCTGGTAATACTGCGTCAAAAGCTCCCTTCACGTCCATTGTGAGAAGTGTAGTTTTTAACCCTTGTTTCAAAGATGCTTCGATATCATGTGTGACACAAGATGTGAGGTCTACTGAGGATCGCAGTGGTAGAGCTCCGAACTGTTGATTTGCTAGGACTTTGTAGTTTAGGGCAAGCCATGATATTTTCTTCGCAATGAGTCTTTCAAGGCCTTTGCCTAGAACTGAAAGTAGAGCAATCGGGCGGTATGATCTTGGGTTGGTATAGTCGGGCTTATTGGGCTTAGGGATGATTGCGATTGTGGCTATCCGGAAATCATATTATCCAAGTGATGTTATACCTAAGCCCTTGCCTAGTATGATACGCTAGCTAGTCACGTGGTCAATCAATATATAAAGCGTTGATCCTTACAGGAAGACCTTTCTTCTTTAGCATAGTTCTTTCATCTGACTGTTCATCTATTGAAGCTATTCCCATATGCTTAGAATGACACGCGTAACAACAAAACCCTAATTTCTGTATATCATCGTAAAGGATTTGCATAGATGCGATGTTATTGCTGTGGATTCTGTATTGATGGCGAATTGGTATAAAAGAAGGCAGTCTAAAGATGTTGAGAGGGAAAAATATGGAGAAGAGGATGTGCGTTAGGAAATTGAAGGGCTGGAGAAATTAGAGGGCATGGATTTCATATTTTTCTCCTGATTGGTTTGATTACAACCTCGACTCATTGATATTGATACCTATCGATCAATAATAGCTTTAGCATTCATTCTTTCATCCATTGGAAATACATTAAACTTTTTCAGTTAGTTTAGTCTAATGAGTAGTATTAAGATATTCTCATTCTTTCCCACTCCATCAAAACAAAGTGGTCCCTTCAAACCTTGGTATCAATCATAATATACATACGAACTTATCAATGCATTAACACCCCGAATACATAATCCCCAAAAAGATTCTTTGATTCACATCTCATGCACATTCTATTTCGGAGCATAATACTCCTTTATCACATTAACACCTCCGTCCATTTCTCTCGGGGGAAGCTCATTCGACAACTCGTTCGCAGCGTGTCCACGACAAAATAATGATGGAGAGGCATAAATTTCTTTCCAATCGATTTCTTGTGTCGCGTTGTGTGTATGCTTTTTTCGGCGTTGTATTTAAGAGGAATACAGCAGCTGCAAGACCGAGAATTATGACGGCGGTAGCGATACCTACTCCGGCCGCAAGTGCAGTAGAATTGCTGTTGGGTTTAGGGCTGGTAAGTGAGGTTGAGGATGAGGATGATTGGGCGTCTGAGGGGGAAGAGGATAGGGTGGCTGATTGTAATGTTTTTGTGGTGATTGCAGCTCCTGATTCTCTGTTGATTGTTGTCGTGTATACGCTGTTTGTGGAGGAGGCTGTAGAGGAGGTTGTGGTGATAGATGAGGTTGTTGTTGCTGTTTTTGATGGGGTTTGTGAAGAGCCCATCATGGAAGTGAATACGGCATCATCGATATTCCATCCGTTTTTATGTTCTCCGTGTACAAGTAGTGTTGAGCTAACTGTCAAACTTGTGGGTTGGTAAATGCCGCCGATGGGAGTTTGATATTTGAGGATATCACCGGCGATGAGGGTGGACATGCATTGGGTTGGGTAGTCGCCGTAAGAATGCGTTGGAAGTAGGACTGAGAGATTATAATCGCTGGGGATGCTAGTCATTTTTCCCGACAAAATTGCTTTTGTAGGATGAATAATAATATCGTGATCACATACGTAGGACAACAAAAGACTTATGTAACACCCGCACTATGAACGGAAGTTGCAACGGTGCTATACGCTGCAGGACAATTGAACGTCGGACCCAAAGATATCGTAACACTCGATGGCTCTAGCCACCAACTGGCCATTTCATCTGCAAAACATCGCGGAGAACCAGTGTCAAGAACAGCTTGGTATAAGGGGTCCCATCCAAAAACTTTTCCGGCATCTTTCCCCGTACCAATATATACCAAACTCGAGCAAGCTGTTGTAGAAGGCTATGCTGTGGATAATGGTAACCAAGTCGTAATTGTTGCACTTGAAGTTTGGAGAATACAATCAGGAAAGATTGTGGACACCATTTGAACAAGGAATGTCGGAATTGCAGAGACTTCGATCAATTCATCAACTATACATTCCGGGGAAAAAGAAAAAAGAAAAATCAAAAGAGAGTATGTTTCTAACAGCATGAAGAGACAAAGCAAAATAGAAAGATATGGCCAGAGGAATATGAGCCGCACAGATCAAGAATAAGCAGAAGGATGAAAATACAACATAACCCAGAACGTTGAACTTTAAGATTGAATTAACATTTGCGCAGACCATGCAACACAGATCGTAAAGCTTTATTTGGATGGAAGCAAAGATATTGCCGCCGAGATTTAGTGCTTACAGCGGTGCCATGGTTTGAATGATCCTTCGCGAATTCTGAGTGGGGTCTGGCAAATCTCTCGAGACTTTTGTAATTGATTCAATTGTAGAACTATATTGAATTGACACCAACTATGTCGATTTACTCGTATAACATATTCAAAAATTGGATATGCAATTGTATGATTTTCTTTTTTGATATAGGATAGATAGAATGTCGTAGGGGATGAGGGGATTTTAATGATCCACTTCTCCTGACTGTGCCACATGGCTACATTGGTAATTACCAGATGAAGATTCTCCGATGGAGAAATACAAACTGTAGCTCAAACTTGAGTCTCGATAATTGAAAGTCGGACAATTCTGTTGCAGATTCTAGCTAGACTAAAGTATCCTTTACCATAAGAAGTTCTTGGTCTCATCATGGCAGGTATTAACAGTTGAGATCATTATCTAAAAATCGTAAAAGGTAAATATTTATCTATAGAAGTATATGTATATACAAAATTTCAACCTCTTTGCTATATGCACACTTTTAATTATATTTGGCAGAGATTTCCATCAATCATTAGATTAACAACCTAGATGAATCGGCCAGCCTTCTCCAACCAAGCAGCTTGGTAGTCGAAAGCGTTCTTAATGGTGTTGTTGTACTGTCCAGGATATGTCTCACATTCGGTACATGGGTTGATACCGTGCTGGGCACCTTCAACGAAAGCAATCGAGGTATCGTTAGAGACGGAAGCAAGGAAGATCTTCTCGGCATTCAAGTACTCGTAATGTCCGGTATTACCCATCAAGAGGAGTGGGACCTTGACACCCTTGATAGCGTTGATAGGAACCATGTGAGAGGAGTTCCATTGAACACCGTCGATACCGTCTTCGTTGATCTTGTAGTCAACACCGACTTTAATGGCAAAGGTTCGGAGATAGCGGCCAATGGTGGTCTTGAGGGCTCCGCCATAAAAGGAGGAGGCGCCATCGGAACCGCTAGCAACGCGGACAGTATTGATGATTTGGGTACTAACGGTACCGTTGTTGAGGATGAGTGGGTGAGCGTAGGTGGTGTGGGATAGTAGACTAAGCGAGACATATTAGTGATGTATTAGGGTAAGGGTACAATTGAACTCACGAGGTGTCTTCAGCGATAACCTTGTTGTTCATCCCCAAGTAGTTGGAATCAGGAATAATGAATCCCTCATCATCATCGAAGAGCGCATCAGAGGTGTTATAGTTATTGATGGCATTGGCACGACTCTGGGCAAAGGTAAGAAGACGGTTATTACGGGCAGCAGCAGCAGTGTACCAGCGAGACAGGAAATCAGTAGTGTAGTTGCTGCTTCCGCCACTGGCGTTGTAGCCATAAGTGGTGTTGTAGAGATCAAGAGTTGCGTCGATATCACGGAGACCAGTGGTTTCGTTCTTGATAGCAGCGTTGAGACTCATGAATCCCATGGTGGAAAGACCGTAGTTGGCGTCGTGCAAGATGACACCGTCGGCAGATGGGAGACCAGCAACATCGTCTGAGCAAGGGCTGATCTTCTCAGGCCCGTTACAGGCAGAAACTCCGTTCTCAGCAATATTTTGGCTGTTGAATGTTAGTCTTTTTTGCGTAGCCATCTTTGAGATATTTGCTCAAGGAATAATAAGTACTTACTACTCAGAAATCATGGCTCCACCACCACTGTGACCAAAGAGAACGACCTTCTCGATGTAGGTCTGATTACGTAGCCATTTAACCATCTCACCGACGTTGGTCATCATAGATGGGAAGTCAAGATCGTTCATGAGCGAGGTCTTGGATGCAGCATTGTTACTGCAAAGGACGGTGTATCCACGAGCAGTCAATTGGGTGCAAGGGTAGAACGCCCAGCTGCAAGAGACTCTGTGGTTAATGGATTATTTGTGGTTATAATGACTGATGGGCACTCACTAATCCTGCTCGGCGTGCATGACCATGATGGCGATGCTTGCCTTGGGGTCGCTGGTATTCAAAGGTCTGTGAAGAGCACCAACAATACCGTCACCAGTGTAGGTGGAAATGGCGATAGGTTGTGGCAACAATGTAAGATTGACAGGGGCACTAGCATATGCTTCTGCATCCAATTGAGCATTGGCGATTGAAGCGCCGAGAGCAACAACTGCTGCAACAGCGCTCTTCATTGTGACGGCGACCATGATGGATAAAGGTATGTGGGAAGTAAAGTCTGACTTCCCTTAGTTGATGGATTGACGATGAGGCAAGGCTAAGATGGCGAGCCGTCGCCTCTTATGTCTTTTCGAACGCATGAATGAATTCGTGAAATACCCTCAGTCTTCTCCGCTCAACCTCTTTTGAATATTACTGTGGGCTATGGTGATAAGGGTGTACTCGTAGGCTGACGAGGCTGTGTTCCATAACTTCCCCATTTGTCTCTTCACCGATTCCCACAAGATCCCCTATATGGTTGCGATGTTTATTCTAGACTCCGCTACCAAGCTTTTTAAGTAAACGTCATCCATTAATATGATCAACTAGACCCGGCAGTTATAATGATTTGGAAGAAATTTCATGATTTTGATGATATGATTTCGAATGATTTTGCTACTATCAGATGGCCTTCCTTATAAAATTACCTTACCGAAGTATGACAATGTGATGCGTATGTTTATGGTTTCTATAATTCCCGAGACCCCGAAGGGATTCGATTTTCGAGATCAGACAAATCCGATGGTCAGAGCATAGTGGATCCAATTTGAGTACCGATAACGTGTTTCATCACCCCGTGCACCATATCACCTCGTGCACCACTTTCACCTCAATTCACATCAATCACTTCAATACGCGATTTATCAATAAATAATTATGGTATCGACATTAAATGAACGCGATATCGTTATGGCGATGGAGGCAATGGCTAAAGATAAAAATTTAAGCCTCCGGAAAGTTGTCAAGATTTATAATATTACTCATACGACATTCATGCGTAGAATGAAAGGGATCACTTCTACCTCCGAATATCGTCAAAAACAGCATAAAATTACTAAAATTGAAGAGGAGGTTATTATTCAGCATATAATCGATATGGATGAGCGAGGATTTAGTCCTAAATTCATAAGTGTTGAAAGTATGGCGAATCACATTCTTGAATCAAGGGGTGGAAAGTATATTAGTAAATAATGGGCATATCGATTTGTGAATCGATACAATATTCTAAAAATGTGTTTGAATCGTATCTACGATTTCCAAAAGGCTCTTTGCGAGGATCCTAAGCTTATTAATAAATGATTTTAACTATTCAAAAATATAAAGGCAAAATATAGAATACAGAAGTGTGATATATAGAATTTTGATGAAATAGGCTTTATAATGGGAGTAATATTCTCTAGTATGGTTATTACTAATGCAGATAGATATGGCAAAAGTAAAGGAATATAGTCAGGCAATAGAGAATGGTCGACAGCGATTGTATGTGGTAATGCGACAAAGGAGAATATACCTCCATATTTCTTTGTTCAAGGACAAATGCATCTAGTCAATTGATATAGCAAGACGGATATACCTTCCGAATAGGTGGTTAAAACTATTATAAATGGATGGACGAATAATGAGATGGGTTTAGAATGGCTAAAGCATTTTGATAAGTATACGAAACTCCGAACGAAGAGTGTATATCGAATGCTAGTCTTAGATGGATATGAAAGCTATGAATCAGGCTCTTTTCAGAACTATTGTATAGAACATAAGATTAAAGCTATCGGATTATTATTTCATTCAAGTTATCTCATCCAATCTCTTGATATTAGTTGTTTTAATATACTAAAACGCATATATAACAAGCAAATTAAGGGGTATATATGGATACATATCAATTATATCTCCAAAATCGAATTCTTTATAGTATTCAATATTGTATACAAACAAGCAATTACAATGGAGAATATGAAAACAGGCTTTAGAGGAACAGGATTAGTCCCTTTTAATCCCGATGCTATACTCTCTAGAATGGATATTCGAATCCATACACCTACTCCTCCTTCGCTTCCTCCGAGTCATATACCCGATTGGGTCTCACAAACACCTCACAATACCACCAAAGCTCTTTCACAAGCATTTTTAGTACGATCTATTATTGTTCAGCATCATTCTAGTTTTCCTACACCTATATTTAAGGCTACAGATCCTTTAATTAAGGGTATAGAATACCTAGCTAATACTGTCACGATTTTAGCTTTTGAGAATCATGATCTTCGATTGACAAATATGGGATTAAGTAAATGTCGACATGCTAAAAAGATTCAATTACGTTTAGAAGGAGCTCTCACTATTCAAGAGGCTAATGATATTATATCACAAAAAGAGATGGATATTCAGATTAAACGCGATAGACAACAAAATAGGCGGAATTCTAATAGAGAGGCATCGACTAATCGATGCTGTAGTAAATGTGGAATAACAGGTCATAATGCAAGAATATGTTCTAATGATAATATAGATCCTAAATTATTAGATAGTGCTTAGTTTAAATCAATTGATCAAGTAATTGTTGAATTATATATGATTATAAATAGGAATTGAGGTGAAAGTGGTGCACGAGGTGATATGGTGCACGGGGTGATGAAACACGTTATAGGTAATGTTACCATGTAATGTTACCAAATGGTAATATTACCAATCATGTGACTTTATTAGTAATGTTACCGACGAATCGGGTTAGATTATACCAACCATGATTGGGAAAAAGGGCTCCTCCTAATTGGACCTTTTATGAGATACACTACATAGTCAATACTAGAGCCACTTCCACTACCATATATTTTTAATACCTTCTCTAATAAACTATACAATAATAATTTCACACAATTCTACTTACATTTAATCCAAAGCCAAGCAAACAGAAATAACAATAAGAAAAGATTTGATTCCAAAAGTATTGTTACGTGACGGTTGTTACCCACTAGTGGCTCACGTGCACTAGCCCTGTATATAAAGACCTTCTTACTTAGAATCTTCTTAGTTCTTTAGTTTTAGATTCTAAGTAATTGAATTGACTCCGTTTACGACTTTTCCGTCACAAGTATCAATAACTTTTGAAGTATTATATTTCATAGCCTTATAAAAAGCTTTGGATTACTTCTAATACTATTTAACAACTGAAATACAAATATACTTAGCATCCTCAAGAATTTTCTGGTATTTCACTCTCACTAATTTTTGGGTTTCGTTTCCAAACAATTTGTTACGACGGCTTCGGATCTCGTATCATGTGACCAATTATGTAATCACATGGTCCCTTAGATCCCCTCGGTCTCTTGATCGAAGGGACCGAGGGGACCAAGGGGACGATTAGCATGAAGGTCTATATAATCAAGACGGATTTCCTTTGTATAGAGCTTCGTGCTCAAGATCAATCATTTAGTATACTCTACTATTAGTTACGAATTGCATTATTATCATTACTTTAAGTCCCTGCTTGACGTCTAGTTATAAACCACCTCGAGAGCCTAGAGCACTTCCACGTGATCTAGACGGCAAACCTCGTAACAATATTCTATATAAGAGATAAAACTATTCATTCTATATTGGATTGTTGTACACGGGATATTATATAGTTTAGTAGTCTTTCGAATGCTTAGTTTTTTGTTTTTTTGAATAGCTTCAATAGCTAGAAAGATTTGTACTTCTTTATTATTCGTTTCTATTATAGATTGTTGATAAATCGCATATTGAAGTGAAGAGGTAATAATTGAGGTAAAAGTGGCCCACATGATGTTAAACCACGTTATAACAATCACGAAAACGCATTGCGCGATATCCAACCCTGATCGACAGAATACTTGATTAATTGAACCAATATAAAGTTGGGGTAAGGTTAACTTACCCCATATAATATTACCAAAGCTTGAACAACTTTCCTCACTAAAACTATGAATTCACAAAACCTATACAAATCCCTCAATTCAAAAGATAATTTAATTCTAATTGCATATTTAAGTCCTGGCTCAAAATGACCTAAAATCTCGTCATATTACCTTAGATGTTGCTTTGGTTGATTGATAAAATGCTTAATCAAGAAGATATTAAACTGCCTTCATGCTTCACCGCCTTCTACAAACAGCAGGCGGTCAGCTTAATGCGTGTTCCGGCGGAAATCGATCGTGGTATATACCCTCGGCTTCACCTCGGAAGTAAGGTTAAAGATTGCCGGTACCCTTCACGCTCTACACCAATCAACGATGCCAAGCACATGGCATTCCTAGCTCACCGAGCACAACGCGTAATGCGTGGGGATTACTCTTCTGTTAAGCTTAGGCAAAGCACGGAGCTGGCGATTGGTTTGTGGGGTTTGTGGGGCTTGAAACAATATATCAAAGAACTTTGATGACGCTAAACGGTTAAGATCCCTCGTGGGGATTTAAATGCCGGAATATATGGAGAAAGGGAATTAAACTCGGTCCCGAAACAATATACTCGAATATCCTCAATCCACCTTGGGCAGGTATTGAGTAAGGAAAACTAGAACCGAGCACGATTAGGCCATAACTATTTCGCCGAATTTATATTGTGGCAAGACTCAAATCACATGCAGGTATTCAATTGGGTTACAGCATCTTGACGAAGAGGAATGATGAATATAATAACCGAAGATAACTCAAGTGATTCATCCTCATCTCATCTTGCTCTTCTGCTTCTCAAACATACACGGTTCAAACTAGCCGGAGGAGATCAATATGCGTTCTTCACATCTTGCCCTTGCTATTGCTTCACTTACAGCTTTGACGCAAGCTCTTACATTGGACGATATCTGTACACCAACTTATCTCTCAGCCAACTTTCCAGCTGTCGATTTCTATGATGGGATAACTCTTGATCTGTTGACCTCCTGGGATCTTGGCAGCATATGCATATATATTGCATGATGCATATAAGGAGCAAACAAAACTCAACTTTTAATTCATTCTTTCCTTTTTGGTATACTGTTTGTTTGCTTTCAATATTTTGATTTCAAAGCACTTTAATTCCGAAGGCTGAATACCTAACCTGATTCCTTCATTTTTTGAATATATACTCGCAGCTTAACTGCTTAGCTAGAGAATCAATCAATTCAATCTGATGCTCTTTCTGGTCTCAAGAAACCCAATATTGACCTAATGGTGACGTCACTATACCAATCACATCTGTTCCCATACAGAATGCAATCGCTATAATAACTGCTCATCCCGTCACTGTAGCTGTAATCAGCGGAGAGACCATTGCGAATGGCACGGCTTTGGCAGCATTGCTAGCCTCTTCTGCTATGGTCGCTGCGCTTTCAAATCCGGAAACAACCCATACTGGTGTAAGAAATGAGAGCATGAAGGCCCAACCATTATTCGTCCAAAACCCGATGTTTTCGAAATCTGCGAAGACAAAACTTGCAGAGTTCTTGAGTTCCAGGGGTGTTCCAGCAACGAGAGCAACAATCAGAGCAAAAAGCATAGCAAATTACAGGAATATATAAAACATGTTAAAACGAGAGAGAATTTGTGACGGCACGCATGTCATTGCGAAGGTCAAGAAGGTGGTTGCTGCGAACATATCGTAGTTCTGATATTTTGTAGCGACAAACGCAGAATCTGTATTGATACTACAGATCGCGCCAAGAATAAGGGTCGCTGCATATATTGTCGATACGTATATCGAGATATACCCTAAGACATTCATATAACCGCTAAAACGACACAGTTAGAGCTTGTTATAGACATAATCACGGATGAAGAAACGTACGCAAGCCAGCACATGAAAGCCCTCTGCCGTGGTAGTGTGAGACATGCAACCCACTGTCAAGTGTTAGTATTCATGAGTCAATCAATCATTTTCGGGTATCGACAACTTGCATAATACAATCCTCCGGAAGTAGGCATGCTGCTTCCTAATTCCCCCAGGCTCAATGCCACTGGAATAAGCAACAAACATCCAACCAGATACGTCCATACCATTCCCACACTCCCGGCACTGCCTAAACTGAAAACCATACTCTCAGCAATTGCTGGAGCGATACCCATAGAACCAAAACTTTGTCCGAAGACAGTGGTGTATGAGAATTCGCGTTTTAGTTCAGCTCGATATCCCAGGGATGCCAATAACTCGTCATCGGCCGATATTGTTTCACCTTTCTCCACACCCAAAATTTCGGCCGCTTTTGCAATCTGTTCGGATCGTGATATAGATGAGATGTTGCTGCCATCACGTTTCCCCTTTTCAGGATACTTGCCTGGTTCCTCAGACATGGGGAATAGCAACCACTCAAGACGTTATCAAAATCTTGTAAACATATTGATAGCTCCAATAACTAATAATATAAGTTTGAATAATGTGTTGCAGAATTGTTGCGAAAGTAAGTCTATGGGATCCTAAAAAATGGGGTATGAAATTCTTCTAAATTATGTCCCGAGCTCCTCCCTTCAAAATCCGAGATAAGGAAACCATAACCCATGAATTCAAGACTTAAGGCTGTGAAATCATCCCATCATTGAGCCTTGCCATGAAGCATGAGCGACTTCATTCTTGCATACTTAGTATCATTGATTTCCTACGCGACGGAGACAATACAAGCCATGCAGTGACATGCGAGCCATGATGAGAGGGAGTTCGGGATGTTGAGATAAGGAATCTGGGGGAGCATGCTTGCTAATGGTCACAGCGTTTGGGAACAATAAGGAATCCCTGAAACCATAGAACTAGCGGAACTATCTTTGAAAGTATGAATATCGAATTCAAAGATATCGATACCGATAAGGATTTCAATTAAGTAATGAATAAACACTACAATGCTTGCATGCAAAGATGAACCGAGATATGAAGACACCACTTGATAATCTTTATTGCGCAGCATCTAAGATCGTGACGTCTTGATTTCGCCATCTCATCCAATCCCACCCCAGTTGAGCCCGAACTCCATCATCAGAAAGGCAGGGCTGCATCAGATCCTCATTTTCCGAGGACATCACCGTCGCGACCTTCCTCATTCTCATGCTGGAATCTGCTTACGATTGGGTTTTCCATAGATAGTACACTGCTAGGGTGCTGTCATCGGTCGTGACTTACATAGATAGGGGCGGTCTACTGTCTTATCGACGCAAATCGCTTAATTCGCTGCGAAGGAGGAAGTAAAGGGGATGAAAATTTTCACCTTGAGCACTGTGCTAGCTGTGATGATGTTTCTTAAAGATAGCAATAGAGCTTGACATGATTGGCTTCAATCTTCCGACTGACAAAACATTTGCACGATGCACAATTGATCTGAAAATGGGTGAGATTTTGTGTTCCGATATGTTGCTGAAAGCATGATTGAGGTCCGCGAGATGAAAGAACGGAATCTTGTGATATGGGCATGGAAACAGAGTCAGGAAAAGGTGATAATGACGGTGGGTATGAATTTCTTGAGATAGACTAGGAAATAATGATATCAAGAAGATCAAAGCATATTCGAAGACACCAGTGGTTTTGTTTATTAACATCCATTGTGGGCGAGGTGATTATGTAACCAAATGGTGAAATAGGAAGGAAGCAACAAACGAAGATGTGTCATAGAAATCTTGTTTCATTCATCCCACATTTATCCTGAATTTTTACCTCCATTATCATTTGAAGCGATTTCGAAAGACAACTCGACGCACTGCAGGAATCGTTGCCATTATATCCTAATCATGGGATGAAGAAGTCTTCAAAGTGGCGTGGTTGAAAGGAAAAAGGAAATCCTTTTTCTCGGTGGAGATTTAGACCTTGGCAAAGTTCGCGCGGGAGGACAAAATATAATTGTCTAAATCGTTTCATAAGCCTTCGACTTCTGTTGAATGGTAAAGGAGTATCCAATACGGGTGCTTTTATATGTGCGAAAGCCATGATATGCTATCCACTCTGTAGGATCTCTGGTACATCCTCTCCATTTGATCCGAGCGAACACAGTCACTCTTGCCGAGAATTAGTCACAAGTTCGAAACATATATCTTCATTAAATTGCGATATTACTTATTTATATATAAGCACTTCTTTCAACATCCATATCTCAGATCCACCTCTCCACAATATCTCCTACTTGCCTGTTTTCCTCTTTTTCTTCTTGTTTTGCTTACTAGCATCACAAAATGTACGTGCTGACGCTTTCATTGCTGACTGGACACTTTTCTTGCTCTCTCTCTCTCTCTCTCAACGGCCTCAAAAACCTACTCTCGAGATCCAATCGTGCGGGTTTCGTTATGGACCAACTCGATCTGCCATTTATCATTTTGTTTTGTTTTCCTTGACAATCACTTCTTCCGCTACGCAATATATCTCTTTCCAATAATACTTTGTTGAAATTGAACAGTGAATTTACCAGTTCAGACTCGTGCTATGGCCGGATTGCTTGCTCTGATTTCTTCAATTTGACGTTTTATAATCATGATTTTCTGATCAAGTCAAAATAAAGTTTTGTTCTTGCTGTTACCCGAGTGTTTAACTAGTAACTCTTTGAATTATCAATCTTATGCTTTTATTGATATCGACATACAAGCAAACATGACGATGAAGGGATATCTAATAGAACAAAAATTCCATAGGCTGCCTACTGCCAAAGTACCCTGGAACAATTTTTTGGGTCAAATACTTTTTCCTGGCTGTCTATCCATAGCAATAGTTTCGATTTGATCGGATTTTTGGGATGTTGGGACTGCGGGCGGAGTTACATTTTCATCAAACTCCCATCAATCCTTGCTACTTTAACATGCAGTGTAATATCAAATCCATGGCGTTGTAATCTATCACTGCTTTTGTAGATATCAGCCACACAAAAACTTCACTTGGCTGAGGTGATGGGACCTGAACCTCACAATTTTCACACCGACTTCTTTAGTCATGGATTATTAGAGTGCCTAATAGAATTGATGCCATTGTCTATCTATTGTTGAGGTCATCATATAAGAAGATATCTTAAGGCGATATCTCTATTTATCCAGATAGATCAGTCCAATGATTTTCAGCTTCGAAAACACTTCATATCTATTTAGATAAATTTAATTGTATTCACTCCAGTCTTCACTTTCGAAATACTCTTTTATGCTGGTGACTTTGATATTGGAATCAAGCTGAACACGTCAGTTCAAACATTTCTCTCGTCTCACATGGAATAGAACTTACATCTTTAGGCAAGACCAAGTCTCCCCATCCAAATTCCGCACTACAAGCCACGGCCTCTGCTGTCTGTCTTCCAAATCCCCCCGGACGAGCCCTATCGTGCGCTTCGACGGCGATCTCTTCGCAAGTGACTTTTTTGCCAGCCGCGCGTCCCCAAACATCAAAAAACTTCACGAAGCTTACTGCTTCGCTAACTCCCAATAAGTCTTGCTTGGGAGGACTTCGAACTAACAATTCCACGAAAGCACCTGTATCAGTCGGTACAACAAATGGATGCTGCGCCGCACTAGGGCCGGCACTGTGGTAGATCCATTCACCTGAACCATCATTCTTCATAATCATATCAGCTCCACGATCTCTCAGCCAGTAATAATAAAGCCATACCTTTCTTTTTAGTCCGAAGGCGTCCCCACTCTCTTTCACATTCGTCGTATAGATGCCCATATTCAGCAAACTACTCTTCTCCCACAAATCCTTCTTCTCTTGCTGCAAGTACTTCGTAACCTCCGCTTTTGCATCAAAATGATACGCATAGGAATATTTCCCTTTACTCAACTCTTTGAAGGGGGGCAGGGTACTCCAAATGAATCTCTCAAGTTTTCCTTCATCCTGCAAAACATTGGCCGCGGCGTCAACAATTGCTTTGCCTCGACGAATCTCAATGGCAGCAGCGTATTTACCGGCAGCCCGATCTCCCTGCTTCGAAAGCTCTACATAATTTTTGAGGAATGGTTCCCAGAAATTTGTAACAGCGAAGATTGCTTCTGCGCCAGAGAAAGCTGGGATAAGTGAGGCTGGATCATCTTGGTCAGCACTGACAACCTCGATACCTTGATTGGAGAGAGCCTGAGCCGATGGCGAAGAGGTATTTCGAGTGATTCCTCGAACTTTCCATCCTAGCGAGAGAAACTTGGCAGCGACAGCACCCCCCTATGATAAATGTAAGTATGAACCACTCGTATGAAGGTGAAAGATAGGATACCTGGATGCCAGTTGCTCCTAATACGACTATAGTTTTGGCCATGATGACGACTTGTGGGAGTGTGAGGAAAGAGATTCAAAATAATACGTGAGACTGAAGCTTGAAAAAGGCTGGGAATTCAGAGCTTATCTGTATTTATCTCAAGGCAAAGACCATTCTAGAGATAATTATACTTCATCAAAATTCGTGAGATCGGCGGTCGAAATCCCGCCAAGAAGCTATGATGGAACCTTACTTACGTGGCTTGATGTCTAAGTAGCGCAAAATATTCACAACATCATTTTAACACGCAACTTAGCCTTCTCAATTTCCGCCGGCTCGTTGGAGAAATTCAAACGCTTAACATCTGGACACTTTCTATGCGGGAAAGTTATCTTGGCGAATCGATTAATCATTGATATGTGTGTGCCCTATAAAAGTTAACTTTATGCCTTTAAGACCAGATTGCAAACATTTGAAATGTTCCAAACCTGGTGGTTGTACCGCAGTTGTCGAAAGCCTTTATTAATTGAACTCCATCACGGATGACTAGCGTCGAACATCGCGGGACGAACCACGATTTTCACATTCATATAATTATGGCCATGAAATATTGCTTCAATCAAAAGTCATGAATGAGACCTTTTAACCTACAACTTCGTGTTCAGCAATATTCAGCGTACAACACCAACGTCCATCAACAGCCACAACAAATTTTGAAGAAATCTTTTTCTTCGAAATACGACAATTTCACGATCGATCTAGATCATAGTCATTAAACCAAATTTATTACAATTGTCCCCAAGTGATTCTGACCAGTAGTTGTTGTGATACTGTCGTCGACGCTCTAAACGCGAAACACACATGTAAAAACGCGTAAATTTTTCACCCCCTCCATCCCCTCACTATGAGTGAAGAGATCTCAATGACGGGTACCACTCAGCCTAGCTTTACGGAAGTGATTCTAGGAACTCCATATCAAGAAGGTCATCTTGAACAAATCCATAAAGGAAACAATAGCCTTCCATTCATTCTCTCCAACCCCACCCCCTCCCAACCGTTCAACTTCCAAGCCCAGCGTGATATCCTGAGCTTTGATGATCCATTCAAATCACCAATCAATCGCCCGACGCTCCAGTTCAATAAGAAACGAAGACGACAACCCAGCCACTCAGAACCCCATATCAACTCACCAAAAGAAGCTATTCGAAAGGCTAGAGATCTACTCATTCTAGCTGCCTCCCTGAAAGAGGATACCGAAGAACAATCGAAAGTCCTAGACTTAATCGAAATCTTTCGTGAATATCTTAAAAAAGGAAAACTCACCAAAGCCTCAAATATCATCATATCACAAATCTCCCATCTAGAAAATACCATCTAACAGATCGAAAAGCAAGCCAACTATCTTTCAAACCTCCTCAATCATATAACTCCCCCTACAATAAACGCCTTCGGAATCAAAGCCAGCTATGCCACCATCACCAAAAACTCAGGAGAGTGGAACCTAGTTACAAAGGGAAACCCCACAAAACAGAAAACTACCGAACAAAAGAAAGAAACCCCCAACAAACGATTAATCCTTATCAAACCCCTTACTCATCAGCCAGACTCCTTTACTTCATTGAATACAAGGAAAAAAGTCAACGAAGCTTTCAAGAAAGCAGGAATTAATGGATCAGTCATCTCAGCCATTACTATTACAAAAAGCGGCAACTTGATATTAATTACTAATAATCTGTTCAATACACAATTCCTGACCGAAAAGAAAACGATCTGGGATAAAATCCTTAATGCCGAAAGAATACAAATCGATAAACCCTGGCATAAAGTAATCATTCACAAAATCCCAATCCAGGAATTCGCAGGTCCGAAAGGTATGAATCTAATCAAAGAGGAAGTCAATATCTTCAATCCAGGGCTCAGAATTATAAGTACTCTTTATTAGTTCATTAATATCTTTAAGAGAATCAAATAATAAGATGGAACAATAGTTATTATATTTGCCACACAAAAAGAAGCAGATATAGCTATCTAGAAAAGGCTATATATTGCAGGTATTAATATTAGAATAAAAAGATTCTATTTATCTATTCCTTTATCCCAATACAATAAATACCAAGAATTCGGCTATAACGAATCATATTGCAAAAAGCCTTTAACTTACGGACTTTGCAGTAATAATCATATTACAGTTGATCATTTCTGTATAATCTGCCAAACAAAAGGCAAACTATACCAATATCTAAATGTCAAATATATTAATTGTAAAGGAGAATACAAAGCTAACTCGAAAGTATATAAAGTATATCTATCAACCATCAAGAAATCCAACTATTGCTATACAACAATATTCGCATTCTTCAAATCAATCTAAACAAAAGCTCTTAAACAATCGAAAATGCTCTTCAACTTGCTTTAGAACTCAAAATTGATCTCATAATCATTCAAGAACCCTGGATCCTCATAAATCCTAAAAAAGACTTCTCCTTTACCAGATCTATTGCCCACTCCAATTTCTCTCAACTCCTCCTCAACAATCCATCGAACCTGTATCCCCGAACTATGATCCACATTTCAAAAGGATTCAAACCGCTAATAGCCCTAGCTCCCAACTCCCTTAATGATCCAGATATTCAAATTATTAATATCATTTAAGGAAATCATATAATATAACTTATCAATATCTACAATGAAGCGGATCAAGCCAAACAAAAAGGTTATATTATCGAAAGATACCTTTTCAATACCCCTTTTGCTCATCACACTATCCTCGTTAGAGATTTCAACTCCCATCACCCTTGGTGGGGCCCCTTCTCTGATAAGAGCTCAAATGCCGACTTACTCGCCGAATGGCTTGAGGATTACAACCTCGCTCTACTGAACGAATCAGGCACAAATACCTTTTATCGAATAAACATAACAAATCCAAATGTCCTAGATCTTACCTTTGCTATAGATTCAATATCTCCCAATATCACTGATTGACAAGTCCTTCCTGATCTTGGATTAGACTATTTAGATATTCTCTTTGAAGTAAATAGCACTTCATCCCATACAATGAATACAGTTCAGATAGCAAAATTTAATACAAAATTTGTGGATTAGGAAAAATTCGCATATACCCTCAAATCGGAAATATCGAGGTCAACTACCTTAAATTCGATTGATTACCTTAGTATCGCTACCTTAGAACCCAAATCTCTTGATTCATTTCTCGACAAAAGCCAATATATACAAGTATTAGATGAAGTTATAAAGGAATTCATCCAAATAATCACTTATTCGGTTGAAATCAGTATATCGAGGATCACATCCACAAAAAGAGCTAAACCCTGATGGTCTCCAAAGCTGAAAGCCTTTCGAAAACGATTCGCCAACATATATGAGAACGCCAAGCTTTACCCGGAAGACGATATGTTCAAGAAAATCTACTAGTCAGCTAGGAATCATTACTTCTAAACTATTAAAACAGCAAAGAAAAACCATTAGAATGAGTTTCTTGAAAAAGAGGATACCCAATCTATATTCAAGGCAATATCATACACAAAAGATATGAAAACCGAATGGATCCCAAATATTCGATCTAATCTCTCTCAAATAGAAAGTTCTTTCGAGGGAAAATGCTCTACATTTAGATCGACCCTATTTCCTCCCCCTTTATTCACCCCACCGCCCAACTGGGAAAGCTATCAACAATCCGAGAAATGGGAATGGCCTGACCTTACAAAGAGCGAACTCCGAAATATATGCTCAACAAAAATCAAAGGAAAGACCTCTAACCTCGATAAGATCATTTAAGATATCATTCTTCGAGTATATAAAGCAATACCGAAAATATTCTTCATTCTCTTCAATCATCTTATCAATCTCGACTATCATCCTTCTTGTTGGAAACAAGCTATTGAAGTAATACTCAAGAAACCTTTGAAACCAGACTATTCAACCCTAAAAGCTTATAGAGTTATCGCTTTATTAAATTGCTTAGGCAAAATAAGTGAAAGAATTCTGGCTCAAAGACTTAGCTACTTAGCGGAGATTATGGAATTACTGTGTGAACGAAGTGAATGACTTCAATTCAATTACTACTGTAATAAAGAACTAAGCGGACGCGAAAGAGACTAGCTCTTTTAGTAAGTCTATATAAGACTTACTACTTTCAATATGTAGCTAGCTCTTTAGACAGAATACAATTAGATATATAGGACCTATGTAATCCGTGGGTGCTACGTCTTCCGTATCCTTCTTGTACCAACACTAATTAGTGATATCACAAATTAATCGATTTACTATTTTTCTTTACACAATCAATAGCTTTGCCAATTTTCAGCAAAGTTAATGCCACCATTCTAAGAATATCTTATTCTCCCCATCACATTTCACCAATCATGTCGAAGAGACCCAGTATCTTCGAAAAAGGAGAGAGTTACAAGCCGCCAGAGAGACCAAAGACCCCCGGCGCATACGAATCATCGACCTTAACCAGTCACGACGATGCATTCGTAGGAGACGATTCCAAAGACGAACTTGGAGAAAGAACTCCAACTCCAATCAGAAATCTTCCTATTCATGAACCCCCACTATTCATGTTTCCAAAGGACTTATTGAGAGCCAGGGAGATATACGATAAATTCAAGCCTTGTGACGGCTATGAGAAGTACATTGATACCTTTTTTCAATACAAGATCGCTGAGTACGAAAACGATGGACTTACGGATGCTGACTTACAAGAGCTTGTTTACGATGATTTCGTTCACCTTAATAGGGAGCATCTAAACTATGTACAAAAGAGAATATTACTTCGTTTTCGTAAACTATTCCGCCGATATGGTGTATACATCAATATCAAGATGAAGGTCGAGAGTGCAATCATAGAGGTTCTTTCTCGCATTGAGCATCACGAATGGATATACCATCAACTTAGAGAATATCAGAGAGATGAATCACAACCTTTTATATCTGCAAAATGGACTAATGTTCCGGTCGGCATAGGCAGCAAGACATTCGATCAAACTCGATCTGGTGAACGCAGCAGCGACCATCCTAATGATCGACAAGCATCTACAGCACCTGTAGCACCTACAGCACCTGCAGCATCTGCAGCCACTACAGCACCTACAGTACCTGAAACCAGTACAGCGCCTGAAGTACCTGAAGCACTTACAGCAACTGCAACGAGGGAACTACCCGAACCTAGATACCGACGAGACGGCCTACATAGACAAACCGGACCACCTCCATCCGATGGCGGCGACTCCAGTGATCCCGATGATTCGGATCACCCCAACAACGGCAACGGTCACGGCAGAGGCAACAAAGCACCAAGATGCGAGAGACCTGGCAATCGAAACAACGACCGAAGTGATGCTAGGTATCAAGTACAACAAGACAGTCGTTTACTCATCGATCTTTCAAAGATATATAGGGACAATGATATGTATAAGGGGTATGACGATTCATGGGACCTCAAAGTTTCAATCTTCGATGAGCACTGCCAACGGGTTTCTCTACCAGATCGTCTACGCTATAAAGCATTTCCCACTATGCTTTCGGGTGCAGCTCTTGAACATTATCAAGCCAATATCACCAGCCTTCCTGACTCTTACCAAGGTTTGTGCAGAATGATGACACTGAATTTCGAAGGGCTTGAGCATCAACGCAACATGCTTGTAAAATGGACTAATATTTCGTTCAAATCTTATATTCAGAAAGATCCTACTGAAGACCTCCAAGTAGTATTCAACAACATGGTCATGGATATCCGACTACTTCAGCACACCATCCCAGTTACCATGCGTAATCCCGACGTATATCATATGAGAATTATGACGGCGTACGATGGTGTTCCCGAGTGCTATTCTGCAATCTGTAACCCTCGCAGTACAACAACAGAGCTGATTAACCAGATCAAGCAGACTATCGACTCCTACCAGAAGACATTTCCGAGGAGAACTATACCTACCGAAGTCTTCCTTACAGATCGACGCTTCTACAACAACCCCAGCAACCCTACTCGAAAGCTATATGATAAGTACAGTAGGTACGACAGAAAGCCAAGGCAGACATTTACTGCACCACCCAATCGAAGCAAAGACGACTGCTACTTCCCTGGCTGCAAGATAAAGAGATGTAGATATTACAAGCACACTCAGGAAGAGAAAGATCGTGTTAAGGGAGAATACTGCAACAAGTACAACAACCTCGACGACAAGAGCTTTAAGACACGCTACGATCATTTCATCACTGACACAGGACAAGGAAGCGACAATGATGATAGCGATGATGATGATGTTGGAGATCAGCTTATCGATTAATATTTTATTGATCAGGACGATGATGTCGAAGAGATTTCAAAGACATTCTTTATGTCTATGGGATCATATAACATACAGAAAGCAGCAATCGCATTAAACAATGCTGCTAGTGTATATATGATGACGGTAGAGATATACGTCGCAGAGTAAGAGAGATATAATTCAGAAGAGTTCATGAGTATTATGATAGACACTGGTGCTTCCCGCCGATCTACTGTTGGATACAATCAATATCTAGTGTAAAAGGCAATAAAGGGCACTGAGTATAACCCCGCAACTGTCGGGCAAGCAAATGTGATATATGGTATTGGAAACTCTATATCTATCGGCTCATTCTGGATGAAGCTATTATTCGGCGATGTCGAATGGAACGTAATGAGAGCTGATATCCCATTTCTCTTCTGCCTTGCAGATATGGATAAGTTCAAATTCAAGTACGATAATGTCGACGACGTCGCTATTACGCTATATATGACTCTACCTGTCTATCGACGTTTCGGCCATGCCTTCCTGATGTGGAAGGTTAAACTCCAGAACATCATCCAGTACTCTATAGATGATGGAGAGTGCCTACTTACAGAGGTAGAACTACGACGAATTCACAGACGATTCGGTCACCCATCGGCACGCAAGTTCTACAAGGTACTCAAGCGTTCAGGACATGACGAAGATTTTGAGGCGATCAAACAACTCACCAAGTTCTGCCATCACTGCCAACTTCATGGCAAGTCACCCGGCAGATTCAAATTCTCATTACCTGACAAAGATTACAACTTCAACCACTCCGTGCTGGTCGACGTACTTTACATCGATCGTGACCCAGTATTACATGTCGTCGATGACTCTATATGCTTTCAGGCAGCACGATGGCTGGACAATATAAATGCGAAACATATATAGGATAAACTGCGTGAATGTTGGATCGACACCTATATCGGTCCTCCAGAATATATTGTTCACAACGCCGGCACCAACTTCATAGCCAAGGAATTCAAGCAGCATGCGACCTCAATGTCGATTCAGACAAAGACCGTACCGGTTGAAGCCCACCATTCTATTGGTAAGGTTGAAAGATTTCATGCACCTTTACGAAGATCACTCAAGATCATTCAGGAAGAAACTCAGGATATCGGTGTCAGCAAGGCCGCGATGCTACAAATGGCTGTTAAAGTTATCAACGATACCGCAGGACCAAATGGATTGGTACCAACACTCCTTGTCTTCGGTACGTTCCCACGCATAGTTGATTCTGATCCTCCTACACCGAACATTCAGCAGCGAGCATCAGCAATATCAAAGGCCATGAAAGAAATTCATAAGTTACACAGTGCAATGAAGGTTCGAAATGCTCTAAATACACGCAATGGTCCATCAACAACTGCACTCCATGAATTACCTCTAAACAGTAAAGTTCTGGTGTGGAGAGAGGGCAGCGGGACCGCAGCAGGGGAATGAAGAGGCCCATTCTCACTCGTCAGTATGGAAAAAGAGACTTGCATTATCGAACTACCTCGTGGACCAACAAGATTCAGATCTACATCTGTTAAGCCGTATTATGATGCGACTGAAGAAGAGAACATCACTTTGCCAGAATTTGGCACAGTTATGTCGCCAGAAGATCCAGAAGCACTACAGGGTCCACTACCGAACGCACTACAAGACGATGAGGTACTCGACTCAATCACAGTCATACCACCAGAGGGCTATACATCCAACAAACCACCTCGCAGTAGTGCCCGAAATGCTAGCGATGTTGATCAATTCGAATGCACTAGTCGAGACATATCATCATCTACACCTCAGATTCGTGTCTTTATGCAAGAACACACAGCACAGTACATGACTGACTTACCTGATCCAGTCAAATATAAGGATTCCAGGAAGAAGGAGATCGAGGGTTTGACGGAGAAAAGTGTGTTTGAAGTCGTGCCCATATTGGATATCCCCCCAGGTACACACATATTCAGATCACGATTTGTTGACGAAGTCAAGAATGAAGGCACGAGTACTGAATTCAGCAAGTCACGATTGGTTATTCAGGCATATAACGACGTTGAAAAGACTACCGTTTTGACACAATCACCAATTATTCAACGATCGTGTCAACGTATATTAGCATCGCTAGCTGCCAGTACAAGAAAAGCAAGTGATACAAGCGTGTACATCCAAGACATCACTCAGGCATATACTCAATCAACATCGAATTTACACCGTACATTCTATGCTCACACTCCTGAAGAGATGAATTTACCAACCGGGATGATTCTACTAGTCATAAAACCATTGTATAATGTACCAAAGGCTGGAAATCACTGGTTCAAGACCTATCACACTCACCACTATGAAAAGCTCAAGATGCAGCAATCAACGTATGACCCCTGTCTCTTATACACCAACAATGAGGACACTGGATTCGGTATCGTAGGACTCCAGACAGATGATACACTCATCGTCGACAACGAGAAATTCATTCAAGCCGAAGAAAAAGAGCTTAAGGATGCCAATTTCATAGCTAAAGACCGCGAAGAACTTACTCATGATCATCCACTAAAGTTCAATGGTGTCACCCTCGCACTCCAAGAGGATGACATTTACCTTAATCAGGAGAAGCAGTGCATGAATCTTCAATCTGTCTCTGCAGAGTCTACAGATATTCATGATACCCGTGGTAAGGTTCGAAAGAACGCATCTACACATGATCAATATGTTACACAACGAGCCCGAGGTGCATACGTAGCAACTATGTGTCAGCCCGAAGCATCTTTCGACCTATCAATAGCAGCACAGACAACGAAGCCAGACAAAGACGACATCACAGCGCTGAACAAGCGTATCAAGTGGCAAAAAGAAAATTCCTCCAGAGGACTGAACTATGTTCCACTTGATTTAGATTCATTCAAGATCGTCGTCTTCGCCGATGCTTCTTTTGCTAATAATAAGGACTATTCGTCGCAAATTGGCTATGTAATTGTAATGATGGACAAGCACAACAACGCCAATACCATACATTGGTCATCCATCAAATGCAAGAGAATCACACACAGCGTCTTAGCATCAGAGCTTTACGGGTTAGTTCAGGGATTTGACATCGATGCTGCAATCACAGCTACAGTCGGCGCCATCCTGAATCAGGAGACACCGCTGACTATTTGCACTGATTCAAAGTCATTGTACAACTTACTCACGAAGCTAGGTACAACAAGTGAGAAGAGATTGATGATCGATATCATGGCACTTCGACAGTCTTACGAACGCAGGGAGATTGTTGAGGTCATATGGATCGACGGACCTACTAACCCAGCCGATGCGATGACAAAAGGGAAGCCATGTCAAGCATTAACTGATCTCATTAATACGAATAAGATCAGCATCAAGCCAATGAAATGGGTAGAGAGAGAGTAGGGAGGGGGGTACGGAATCTGTCGGCAAGAGGTCAGGAACTTCACCGGCAAAAGGAGTTTTACTGATTTTCGAATTTCATTTCGTATGAATTGAAGATCATAAGAGAGAGTTCCCAGTGTGTGAACGAAGTGAATGACTTCAATTCAATTACTACTGTAATAAAGAACTAAGCGAACACGAAAGAGACTAGCTCTTTTAGTAAGTCTATATAAGACTTACTACTTTCAATATGTAGCTAGCTCTTTAGACAGAATACAATTAGACATACAGGACCTACGTAATCCGTGGGTGCTACGTCTTCCGTATCCTTCTCGTACCAACAGTTACTCTTGTAAAATACAAATGATTAATACGAGTAAGATTCGTTTGTTGAAAGAACACATCATTTTCTGAATATCAATGCTGCACAAGGAAGAGAAGTGCAGAGCTTGAGGAACTGGGTGAGTAACACAGGTGGCTTAAGTAGGGAAGAGACAGCATACTTGTCATACGACAAGGAATTAATGTCTTTGGCTTCTCCTGGAGATGATGCAATGAAGCGGTCAGAGAATTGGGTAGAGGATGCACTCATCAAGTTCTATCAGATTTTTCGAAAGGTATATAGCAGATTCTTAGATGGAATAATAAGCTAATAATATATAGAATTCTTTACACAATATCTCAGATAGTCCAAACATCTACATTTATTCTGGTTCCACGATCAAACACCTGGGGAGAATCTTGGTTCTTTTCCTTACAATAATTCTACTGTTGATACCTATCATTGCTTGCACCAGAATTAACAGCACTTCAACCCGAATGATGATGATCATAATTTCAATAATGTTGTTCCTAGCGGTCGTATCTTGGTTAACAAAATCGAGAACAATAGATTTGATTATGGCAGGGGCGACGTAAGTTATAAAGGTGATATGTATAAAACAATTAGCTGATCACAGACTTGTTCAGATATACTACAATCTTAACTGTATTTGTTTCTCAGACCAGTAGTAGCTAGGAAAACTGCTTTATGCCTCAAAAAGTCGATACCTGTTGGGGCTTGCTACCAATAAATCAAGAATCTGCCGACAACATGCATCCGCCACAAACCAAGATACACGTTCGACTTATTGGAAATCAAAAGGTTCTAGAAATAGAAGGAAAAGAGAAATTGGACTATGTATACACTCGTTTCTAGACAGCTAGCTAGAAACAATCAACCATCTCTACCTTGATTCGTTATAGCCTTCAATTTATGAATTGAATTGAATTGAATAAATTAACGTCTACTCTGAGTCTAAGACTATATAAGACGGTTATGGGCTCTAATGAGCTCTGAACAGACAACAGTGTGGAGTTAGGCAGACCAATTAGGCCTACTAGTTACATGGTTTAGGTGATTGAAAAATCCTAAATCTATAAGTTGGGTGGGGGAAGTGAAAGCTAGACCTGGGGGATAGACCCCGCCTTATAAACGCCAAAGCAAAGGTAAGTAAATCAATGTGAAAATGTTTGGGTTTTAAGTTGGAAGGGGAATTAATCCCCTCTATTAGCTTCAGCACCATCCTCTCTTCTGACCTCCCCCTTCTCCTTAGTCTTCTCCTTCTTCCTCTTCTTCTTGTGTTCTAGTAAAGTGCCACGATCTAATGGCTATTCTGGTTGAGTTGATGAGCTCTTTCGCGGAGCTCCTGTTGTAATTCTTCATCCTCAAAGGGTGACGACTCATCACCACTTACTTGAGTCTCGAGCGGCTCTTCTGGCTAATCATTTGATACTGAAAATCCCATCCATTCCTGAGAGGGCTCGTAATCCTCACAAACTGACGCCGGTCTCATAGTTGTATCGTTCTGGTTAATTTGGTTAATTTGGTCAATTTCTATTCCGGGCCTCATTTCATCCGATGGGTCCGAAGGCAATGAGGCGGCAGATGCCCTTGCAGACCTAGGAGCATTCGAACCCCAGCCGCCGCATGGCCAAGCGAGCCGTCCTACAATCAGCGGGACTGGATCGATTTCCAGAGACCTCTGCCAGCAATCACAGCAAGAATGGTGGGCTAAAAATCTCCTCAAGCTATCATCGAATTACAAGAAGTGGCTACCTACCTATGCAATTAGAGCACTACCAGAGCTGTATCTCCCACGCTCTACACTACACCGATTCCTTGCAATCCGTGCAACACACGGAGACTTTGCTTGGTACCATCGATGCTCTCAATACATTGATGCTATACTGGGGTGTTCATGTAAAAGTGCTAAAGCACCACTGTATAGTGTTCTATGCTCACTCACTAGACGGTGCTTCAACGAGTGGCCGTCTAAGCTAAACACTCCACCACAGAACCAGTACAGACTGTCAGATACCTCAAATGCTTAATCATTAGGCCTTTGGACTTCCCTGCACTACTAAAACTTACTAGATTTTACTCTAGGCTGTGTCTCTAATCCCCTTCTACCTTCTTCTCTACTATAGCTCCTATAATCTCCTTCTATCGATAACTCTCTGTCCTCCCTCTACGCTCTCACTCAAACGCCTATGGGTGTACAACACCTTTCTGCAGCTTCGACTGCACACTGTTCTTCGCGATTTATGCATAAAAAATATGTCTATGGCTATATGGCAGATAATTGCAGGCTTCACCTAAACGGAGCGGTGTGCCTATTTACCGGACGGATTTATCGTCCATTCTTAGCCCCAGGGCATGATGTTGAATCCTGATGCCTTGTATTTAAGGTTACCAAATGCGGGGTACTTGCCAAGGCTATCACAGGCATGTGCTTTTGATTTTGATAATCTTCGGTCACAGACCATTAGGCTGGAAATAAGCCGGGAACATGATAGGGAGAAAATTATACTCTGCACGAGACTGAATTGAGGATGAGAAGAAATGGCTTTTGGGAGGGGGTGGACCGCGTCGTTTTCTGGGGTTGTAAGAGAACGGTTGTGTAAACGCTGAGGCAATTTAGTAAGCGGTCGAGGCTGCATAAAATAGCGTCCAAAGCTGCTGGATTCAGCAGTCCAGACCGTCGTACTTAGACATAGGCTATTATTAAAATATTATTAAAATATTATTAAAATATTATGGATTATTAAATTTCTTTTTTAAATTTGTCACGAATCACGATTATTATAACACAATAAAAGCAAGTACGGAGGTTTGTGTGACGCCTCACACCTCCGGGTCACGTGGCATGCCCCGTTTGTATTTAATCATAGGAAAACTCTCTACTCTTGTTTTCCTTCTTCTTTTCTCCTTAGCTTAGTATTTTCTAATACAAGATACTTTACCCAGTATTCTTGAGTGTGACAATAGTTTAGTCTATCCAGTCTAAAGGATAGCCCGGATAGATTAGTCTATCTAGGCTATCCAATAGTATTCAGAAGTATATAGTTAAGATAGTTTCATAGTTTAGAAGCTTTGTGCTCAACTTAGTTATCAATTAGTTTACCTACATTCTACTTGATCTAGTAACGACTTCACTTCCAAGTGAATACCAGTGATAAAGCCTTAACCCACAACTACCAACCAGACGAAACCTCAGGCAGACGCTGCCTTCAGTACAGTATCGTTACAAAATTCTTATTAAAGTTTAAAATAAAAGATAAGAGATAAGAGATAAATTATAAATGATAATAAGTATTTTTGAAGTTTTTTGTATTTAAAAAATAAATAAGTAAAATAAAGAGCTTGAGAGTTATAGTGTCACGGTTGTTCTAGGGATGAAGACTGAAAGGATATCTATAATTATAAATAATAAGCCTATTATCATAATCTTAGTATACAACTAATGGAATACTGTTACGACGGCTTCTGGCCTCGTATCATATGACCACGTACGAAGTCATGTGATCCCTTCGATCCCTTTACCGAAGGGATCGAAGGGACCGGAGGGACGATAGGCATGAAGGTCTATATAATCAAGACGGATTTCCTTTGTATAGAGCTTCGTGCTCAAGATCAATCATTTAGTATACTCTACTATTAGTTAAGAATTGCATTATTGTCATTACTTTAAGTCCCTGCTTGACGCCTAGTTATAAACCACCTCGAGAGCCTAGAGCACTGTAACGATACTGTACCGGAGGCAGCGGCTGCCTGAGGTTTCGTCTGGTTGGTAGTTGTGGGTTAAGGCTTTATCACTAGTCTTCACTTGGAAGTGAAGTCGTTACTAGATCAAGTAGAATGTAGGTAAACTAATTGATAACTAAGTTGAGCACGAAGCTCCTAAACTATGAAACTACTCTGACTATATACTGAACAATAAAGGGGGCCCCTAAAAGCTTTCTGGCTCCTCAAGACTCCTTATCACGCGATTTCTGATGGTGCGTGCGCATACGATCTTCAGGTGACCAAGATCACATACTAATTCGATGAAATCTGATCGTGTTTGCACACGGCCTAAGCTCTCCTAATTAATCAGTTTGTTACCATCGTAACACCATCAATCCTAATGGTGAATCGTGACAAGCACTTCCACGTGATCTAGACGGCAAACCTCGTAACAACTAATTGATTCTTTGCTACGTGTGACTCTTATATATAATAAATTAGTTTTTATTGTGATTTGTATTAAAATGAGTGGGTGAAATTTTGAAAATATAGCGGTAGACTTTGTCACACTCAAGAATACTGGGTAAAGTATCTTGTATTAGAAAATACTAAGCTAAGGAGAAAAGAAGAAGGAAAACAAGAGTAGAGAGTTTTCCTATGATTAAATACAAACGGGGCATGCCACGTGACCCGGAGGTGTGAGGCGTCACAGACTTGATAAATGGAGTAAGAAGAGAGATTGTTGTTGGGTGTAGAGATGGAATTGGTTGTGGAGTGTTGGGATAGTGATGGGGATGGGATTGGGATGGGATTGGGACTAAGATTGGGAGTAAGATTGATATTGGGATTGAGATTGATTGTAAAATGTTTAAAATTTATACTCAGAGCAGGGTGAAGGGAAGAGTAAGAGAGGAGAGAGGGCTGGTTATAATCAGATATTTGAGGATTGGTTTTGGTTTTGGAATTGAGATTGAGATTAGAGGTTATTTGTAAAGGGAAATATTTGAGTTCTTGTTTATTTAAAAGAGAGAAGAAACTAATGATTTAAAATGAACTTAAAATACTAGAAATATTAATTATCTCAAACTCAAAGATTTATTGATATTTATTAACATTAAGACCAAATGAATTATTTTGATAGATTATAAAATATTAATTTATAATTAATAAGTATTTATGTTAAAAGGAATGACCTTACACAGGGAATAGTGGGAAGCTGATAGGGCGGAACTGAGGCTATATTGGTCTTGTATATAAATCACTCATTATCTAAGTTCTACGGAAGTGCGAAGCTCTCCTACAGAGAGCTTTTCAATCTAGTCCTAATAGGACTAGTGCTATGTGCACGTGCTACGCAGGAACCATTCACTTTAACAATTTAATATATAAAATAAAAAGAAATAATCTAAAAGAATTATAGAATTTTATTTTATATTGTGACCAAAAGGGTGTTTATAGACCAGCAATTGTATCTAACTTAGAATCTACAGGTGGAGAGCACCTGTAGATGGGGATAGCTACTCTATATACACACAAATGAATGGCCTAGCCGCAATGGCTAGGCAAAAAGAAGTCATATTTATCCCTCCAATGATCTTACTTTACCGATAACCATTGATACCTAGCACTTGTCCGGATCTGATCCTCAGACCACCTAAATCGCATACTAATCCCGAGTAATCGTATCATGTGTGGACATGGTTAATGTACCTGAGGTTTCTTATATAATAAGGGTGGGAGGAAAGCAGGGGTTTCCGTCACATATATAAAAAGATTCAAGATTTTGATAGGATTGTTATATAATTATATAAAATTTTGTTTTGATTTTATTTTATTCCAAAAAAAAATATCTTTAATATCTTCTTCTTAATCAAATCTAGAAATATTCAAATTAAAATATTAGTAATATAAAAGTAGAATTCAAAAAAAGTTTTGTATTTACTCTTCTTTTTTTTTAAAAAAAAGAGTACTAGGAATCTGAATATATAAATAAAAGAAAGGTAAAATCTCTGATCAAAAAACCAACCAGTGTATTGTGGATAAAGTAATAACATCCTACAAACATAGATGACAAATACAAGTCTTACAATCAATATACAAAAAAAGTCTTTATTCAAATCCAATGTCTTGGAAAATACCAACACCGAATTTATAATCCCCTCGTGAAAATCAAATCGCAATGACGCAAGTTGCGAGGAGCAGGTCCAGCCTATCCCATCCATTCCATCGCATCGATTCATTCATCCATTTCATTCATTACATACCAGTCGCCGTCTTAACAAAAGCAGCAGCTGTACCTGCATCCCTGCCATACGTCAAATGAGGCATCAAAATCAAAGTTCCATGCGCGCAAATATTATCACCAGTATGGCAGATAACTTTGGTTTTTGCGGCTGATGCGCCTGCGACTGGTGATCCGTTGTCTAATATGCGTGTTAGTTTATGGAATGAATGGTTTGACAGGACATTATTTACTTGGGTCACCGAAAATGACTACGGCGCTGACTTTGGCCATGGTGGCTGCGGGAAGCATTTTGGCGGCATTGTGTACGAGTTGGCCTCCTTGAGAGTAGCCTGACATGACAATTTTTGAGTCGGGACAGTTCGTGACGGCTGTTGAAATCATTTGAGCCCTATGATTTATAATTAGTGGTTGGTTTTTTAATGAGGATTGGGATGCATACATCATTTTACTTCCATTTGCATCACCTCCTGCTAAAAACCCGGGAACATCGGCAGGATAGGGAACACCTTGTGCAGCCACTTTGTTGGCTCCTCCAGCGACTTGACCAAGGGCGGCAACTAATGGAGGTCCTGCGACGGTACCGAGAGTTCCTGTTTCTGTGGTTCCACGAGCGAATATAAGCATCATTGGTGCGCATGCACCTGCACCAGCTGCAGCTTTGACATTTCCACTGCTATTACCGCCTCTGAGAACTGGCGTAGCTAGGACGGAAATGGGGAGGAGCAAGAGCGTTAAGTATTGTGGAGTCTTCATTTTGATATTTGCTTTGATGTATTATATTCGTAAAGTAGTAAATGAGTGATGATATGTAAGGTTATTATGTTTTTGGATTGAAAAATGAGCGATAGAAAGCAAGCTTTATTAGAATAATGAATTGAAAAAGAAACGGACATCCATCGAGGCAGACATAAACTTATATCTTCAATCATCCAAGGACCTCAGTTACAAGAATCCCATTATCACCGCAAACTTTTCTATAGAAACCAGGAAAATAGTTGCGATTGGCTGGTATTTTTCATGCAACTTTCATAAAATGGATGCGATGAACTTGCGGCACAGATACAGATTCATCAACATGAAACTCGTCTCAACCTCACCTCACCATCATTCCTACCGAGGTAAAAAAAGAAAATCAGATGGTAACTTTTCTTCTTCTGTTCTATATGGAACATGTTCGATGTTTAGACTATTACATCTGAAAATCTGGGCGTTAAGGCTGTGTTTCCCAAATTCATCAACTTGAGAATGATGGGTACATCGCCGATTGTTCAACATGTTTTAGTACTTTGGTGTGTAGTAGCAGTAGGTTGAATGAAGGATTGGTTGCTGCACAGTGAGTTTCCACTGAATCAAAGATCGTATCCTCTTTGCAGAGCTGCCACAATGTCCATATCAACTTGAATATGTAAACTTACTCCAGATATGAAGCTTTGTAAATGTCCGGAGTCTGATAGTATAGATATCTCCCGTGATTCCGAAGATCATTAGCCCATGTTATCATTTGTCTGTGCGACGAGCCTCAATCTTCATGCATCGGTACTCATCTTGCCAAAGCAACGTGGTTGTGTAATAATAAAGATGTTCGCATCAATATCATTTGAAGCCATGTGGCAGGAAATAACTTTGGAATGGTTGAAGCATTGCCTTTCTTGAAATGAAATCCGATTCCGATTCGTGAACACAATTTGTTCCACCAGGGCCATATCCATTTTAACCTTAACCTTACTTTAACTTTATCCTTAGGGTATTTCAGGATTGTTTTGATTTTTGCTGGGCAGTTTTGGCCAATGATCAAGGGCTAGATTGATATCATAACCATACATCATACATCATATATTATGCGCTGATGTTTGTTGTATCCTCATCGTATTTCGTACTGTGGGGAGAATATGGTGGATGAGATTGGGATGTATTGAGACCTCCAAGGATTCAGATGCTCCCGATATGGCATATGTCCCGGGGCATTGCACGTGCCATGGAAACCTCTCTTCTTTCACTCCCGGTCAAACAATTCTAAACCATTGCAAGATTTCATTTATTTACAAATAATAACCAAATCCATATTTTTTGAATCAGTTAATGACTCGATTTTCGGCAACAACCCAATTTTTGCTGGGCATCGAAGTCCAAAAAGGGGAATTGTTCCCGCAAACAATGTCGAGTAGAAATCCTACAAAGTTTCACACGAAGAAACGGCCCCAGGCGAATTAAATCAAACTCAATGCAAATATATCTATATAAACTATTCAACATCTGCTGGCGGAGAAGGAGGAAAGGACCGCCATAATGTATCTGGTTCGAGGACGAAGTGCAGGATAATAATTGGAGCAAAGAAGCTCGAGAAGGACTGATGCCATATCTAGAAATTCGACTGAAATAAAGGCAAGTCAGCTTCGACTAGAGGGCAAAGTAGTAGCTAAAGTTATTGCGTTGATATGGCAATCAAAGTAAGGAACATCTTCGATGATCTCATATCAACATGTCTTATTTGATCGCATGGTAATGTCTTCAATTCAACAACAATTGTGGCTCGAGAAACCGGCTTCTGCCTAAATTATATTCCTGGACGGATCAACCATGGTCTGTACAAAAGCCTCCGTCACTCTAGAGAAGGATGCGTTCCCTATCATTGCACCCCAGGAGTTACCCTTAAGTCGAAGGTCATCTCTTGAAAAGAGAACATAAACCGGCGTATAATACAACAAAATACACCAGCAACATCTCACACTCCACCTTCCTTCCACGAATATTCAGACCCACCCGCTTCAAGCTTGGGGATTCTGTATCGCTGTATTTTCTTATAATTTTCTAAACGATACGTTGGTTCTTCATGTTGAACTTCATATGCATTTTGTTCTTTGAAGTCGTTAATCTACTGTTCATGGAAGTCCTTTAGCAGTTTTGACGCTGGAGCAGGAACTTATTCTTCCTCCATGTGTTGTCACTAAGTAGTGGTTAGCGTACTATGAACAAAGGCCTTTTATTCGTCTAATAGGTCGCTATAGTGGCATAAAAGTTTCATCCCACGTTGTATCTAAGATACCTATCCACAGAGCTGTAGCAACTCGGGGAAAGTTGATAGTTAACAGGCCAGACTACGATGTGATCTTTACAACTGTGGAGAGCTTGAATCTTTAGACTCTAAAAAGAAGTTTTAAGTTTTTTTTAATGTCTGGAGATTTCACCCTAGGTTCTAATCTATTAAACCTAGAGCTAGAAAGGAATGAAAGAAATGATGAGCTGGAGTATACAGCTCTCATACCTTTTTATCTAAACGGTCAAAGAAACAATCACAAGACATTGAAGTATATAATCTATGCTCTAAACTATGCGTACCTACACAAATATACCACTTCAAAAAAAAAAAGGCTGATTATGAACCGGCAAGGATAATATAACGAAAACAAATACAATTATTACGTTGTTTCCCTTTCATATATACTCAAGGTCATTTTAACGAAATCTCTCTCTTCTCATATCCAACCGCTTTCCCATTAAACATTCCATCCTCCCCACTAACCATCTCCATATCCGCATTACCCTTCAACAACTCAGCTCTGATCGGTGCATCCGGCCCTTCGCCCCTCCGCTCCACAACATCAAAAGCAAACCACTCCGGCCTAACAATAACATAGGCCGTATAATCATACCACGGCACCTCAATATCCTCACCCTTCTCATTCTTCTTCTTCCTAATATCTACACTCCACAATATCGTCGCTATAACTGTAAACAGCACCATCTCTACATAATCCTGTCCGATGCAAGCGCGTCTTCCCCAGCCAAATCCATGCTGGGATTTGATCGAGGGCCAATGAGTAAGTGGTTCTCGGTATGTGGGATATTCGGAAGAGAGCCAGCGCTCCGGGCGGAAGTTCTCGGGATCGGGGTAGAGGACCGGGTCTCGGCATAGACCCCATTCGAGGGCAAAACAGGTAGTGCCTTTGGGGATGTAGTAGCCTTCGTATATGTCATCTTGTGTGAGGACATGAGGAACCCCTGGTTGATTTTGTTAGTTCTTCGGTTCTTATCAGATGCTTTGCCCATTTACTCCGAAACAAAATTTCAGGGAGAGGAGATGAAATAGGAAAAGGAATTAAACGTACCTGCAGGAGCTGGACTTCTCCACCTGAATATCTCCCTGATGATTGCCCTCACTACAGGCATGTTTTGAATATCTTCATAAGTCGGTGGTCGTTCCCCACACACTCTATCTACTTCCTCTTGTCCCTTACGTTGCCACTCCGGGCTAACAATCATAGCATGAAAGAAACTTTGGATAGGTGACGACGTGAGGATACTACCAATCAAAGCCAACATACCCACCGAGTACGTATTATCCTCATCCAGATTAGGAGTAGTAGGCATTGTAAGATGTCTCGCCATCCAAGAAGCATTCGGCTTCTCACTTTGAAGCGACTTCCTCACTGCCTCTTTTTGCCCAAACCAGAAATTTCTCTCTCGTAGAAAACGTACGCGTTCTTCGACTTTCCATGGTTGCAGAAAATCTGGAACCCATTCTGGAAATTTGCGGAGGAAGGGTAGTTTGTTTTGGATGTCACCGTCGGCGGAGATGCGGCGGAGAAGTTGGTTGGCTCGCATGATGGTTTCTTTGGCGGTGGAAAGACGAGAATCGTTCCAGGCCATTTGACCGGAGATTTGGGCTGTACATTCTTCGCAGAATTGTTTAAAGAGGTGGGGCTCGGCGACTAGGCGGGTAACGAATGTTGCGGCGCCTTTTTGAGAAAGTGCCTTGAGACGATCGGGTGGCATACTGGACATGGTGTTTTTCATCCAGTTTTTTATACGCTTCATGTCCTCTAGGAGAGAATTAGTACGATATGAGTGGATACAGAAATGTTGGGACTTACCTCCGTAGGTAACAAGAGGAATATATCTATTGCTGTATCTGCAATCATCTCCAATAGCCGCAAGGAATGGTCTATCCGAGTAGATGGCTCCTCTCTTGACAAACAGTTCTTCACAAATTTTGTGAGAGGTAATCCAGACAGTGTTGTCTCCATTTAGGTTGACTTGAAAAATGGCACCATAATCCCTACTCCAATCCACCATCTTCATCCATGGATTCTTTGGGTCGAGATCAGGAACTGAACCAATGACCGGATATCCTGTAGCAAAACATTAGGAACTCTCGTGAGCGAGGCATCATGCATATTTTATCTCACCTTTTGGACCCGGCAATGACTTGGCGCCATCAGGTATTTTGACCTTTTTGGAAAGACGGCCATAAGAAATATAACATGCAAAAATCACAGCAGAAATAACGAGCAATAATGAAGAGTACGCCATAGTTACCAGCGGCGAAACGATCGAATGTAAAATTATAAAATGCAAAGAAGTAAAAGAGGGAAAAGATCTTGGGAGACTCGATACTAATAAGTGGTCCCCATTTCAGATCTCGGAAAGCAAGAACCAGAAAAGGCAAAGAAACACGATTAAATAATCCATTAGTCTTAGTTGAATACTAATTTCTTATTCACGATGTAGGATCCACTAAGACCAAAATAGTCCCTTCACCAACTATACCCTCATTCATTTTGACCGAGGACGAGGACCAAGCCGCGCTCCTAAACACAAAATATACTTTCCAAGTGTATGCAGATCACAGCAACAAGTGAAGATTGTTCCCGTTGCTGAAACATTGCAGATGCGCTATCTTCCCAAGCACGGATACTATCATACTAGTGATGGCCCGCTAAGCTCTAGTGCCCCTTTTTAGTGCTGAAATTCGTTTAGTAGTATATTCTAACAATGGGTCCCTGAGGGCTGATAGACACATGGTTTGTTTGAAGCTGGCCCTATTTTTCTCTCAGCTTGTGTTCAACGAATGTGCTTTTTGTACTACTAGGTAACTTTAAAATGACTTATGTCTTCCATAACCATTTTAACCAAGCTTTTGAGGATGAATGGCTAGTCACGAGGACTGGTACAAGGCTGAATGAGTAATATGCTCAGTCACAATTTCTGATTAACTTTTTAGTAAGGAAAAGACTATCGATGCCTACCTAGGTATGCATAGATCTTGACTAAGCCGATAGCTCTATTGAAACAGGCCCGAGCTACCGCGAGGTCGATTGGTAGTAGCGTATAAAAAATCCTAACCCCGCGGGCCTGTCTTCAAAAGCCGAGAGCCTGCCGCACAGGGCACCATGTTCCCTAAACCGTACGTAACCTCCCGATTCGAATCCTTTGGTTCATGTTCGTACATGCAATTCAGGTATCTGTGAGGATGGTGCATTATCAATCGATGGATATCGCAACCTAACGGAAGCTAATGCCGACTTAAGCGCGAGTGTCAAAAGAGAACTCAAGAGGGTTGATTTCGTCTTTTCGTGTTCAGGTACTCTAGATCTAGAGTACGAGACGTAAGTTATTTGCCCTCTTAGGAAAGAGTCTAGCCATATTTTTGTCGAAACTTCGGTAGGTGCATGGATGAGAGCCCCGACCGAGTAGGCTTTTATCAATGATGGAAGGAAGGGAAGAGGATACATTTTTCACATCATCTTCATTCGCAATTTATACGTCCGATATCACCGTCTTCCCTAAAACTGCGTATATCTCAGATTCCCAAGATTTTCCGATGGCCCGCGGAGATTTCATTTGCAGAATTTTGATAATCATAGCTAGTGCTAATATCTTCATTTGATATGCGTGTACAGTACTCTCAGCTCGTACTGTAGGCTTACAACACACGAAGGTGATACTTCCATCGAATTCTGAACATAGTCAGTACATTGTTTTTGGTTATATCACACTTAATATCATGTATATTCTTTTGACTCCATTACTAGAGAATTAAAGCATGCAAAGAAAACTTTCTCGTTTCTATCCACAATTCCTGAACATGAAGGAAGAGGCATGAGGTAGCTAAACCCTTCCAACCACCGTGCGGCAAAGTACATGAAACAAGACGAATACGCCAAAACTAATAGTTATCGTGGCCAAATTATACCGAAAAAGCCTTTGAAGAATGAGGTACTTTGTAAGATCTTACATACTATAATCAGCATATATACACAGATCTAAGTTCGGTCAAGGAGACAAGATCTCGCAGGTAAATCTCAACGGTATCTGATCTGGTGCTTTTGTTATCAAAGCACACAACGTTGAATTTACTCGAGCATTGGTCCTGCAAAGAAGAAACGACAGCTGCGGAATGATACACATCACAGAGGTTGTCTCACAAACATTTGGGTATCTGACATTCACCTTGTCATATATCATACAGAAGATAGAGTATATTTCGGCGGCTTGAATGTTTCTAACATTGGTGGATTCAACCTCGAACTTCTGGAAGGCTGACCCAAACCATTCTTCAAACTTTTCTCCACAATTTCTATTCAGGTAGCAAAGATAATTGGAAGTTCGAGTTTATTTGTAACTATTTCCATAACTGCTCTCATTGGCAAACTTGTGAAACGGCAGATATATGGTCATATCAGCGGTGGAAAGTGAGTAGGCTGTAAAGATTCTAGCATCAAATATCTTCGGCTCGCCTTATGGAGTCATACGGAATGGGAGACCGGAATGCTGCATATCGGCTTTTTTGAGTTATCTACCTTTGACCCCGTGAAGTTTCAGTTGCTCTACACCTGTGCGATCAAACTAACTATAGAGGAAGACTTTCCTCGCGAAGGCAAACAAACTCACTGTCTAAATGTTTTCTTCCGCAACTTTCAATTAACCATCATCTACCCATTTTGTTATAATCTTTTCAAATCAAAGATATGCCCGAGTAAAAAAAGATAAGGTCGAATGATCTTCTAGTAGTAAGCTACTCTCAGACAAATCCATCACAAAATTCCAATCCTTAAACATATCATCATCGAGGTCAAAAAGCTATCTGCGGATAGACATGAAATCCCGCAAAAATGTATACGGTCCACCACAAACACAATTAGCACATCATTAATCAATTCATCATAGCCAAACAATACACAACAGGCAAATCTGATTTACCATCACAGGAATCGTCGCTGTCGGCAGTTTGTTGGTTTTAATCTTACAAAACCTGAAGTTATCATGCAAACAATGCTGATTGGTAGACGATATACGATCTGGTGGATTAGGTTACACAGTCTAGGTTAATATCTCAAGCCAGCTTACATCATTCATCTAAGCGCCCCCCTCCTTGATATATTTCCATCATGGTATATCACATGGGTATACATATCCGCGTGAACCAACTTCTCGAAACTGAGTACTGCATGCTGTGAGGTTTTATGAGGGAATCGAACCCGTACGTTCGGTAACAGGATGCTTCGTGCGTTCCTTCGAGTCGCGTGTTATTTGTAACCTTGTGAAGGCGATATTTTTATAAAGGGATATGGACTCGGCTTTATTACTACAGTGTAGATATTGCTGTACATATAGAAGGGGTTATACTATGGGTTCATGATATGTTCATTTCTGAGAATGGAAGTTTCATGAATACTTGGTATAATAGTTATATGTAAGGAGGAACGATGATTTTGTCAGCTACACCAGAGTTTTCTCCTTCTCGTTCAAATTCGCCTGATATTCTTACTTTGATAGAAGGTCTATTTATAACTGTCTGCTGTTTATAACATTAAAAGTTGTGCCTTAAAGTAATACTCACGTCATCTTGAAGGTTGAAGGATCCCCAATGATTCCTGCATCTCCATTCTAACCGTAGATTCTGTAGCATCATTCCGGTAATGAGAAGTTATACTGGGAATCTTAAGGGTTATAAGAACTTCCTCTATCTCGACATGACATATAAATATGTAGCAGTGATTATCTGTCAGACTTTTAGTAAGCCATCCTCGTTATTTCCTCAGTGTTTGTTTTTGAACTCCTTTCATTGAAATTCCCAGTCATTATTTTCTGGTGCCAGTTCCATATACATTCGTTATCATGTCTCCTATAAATTTGGTTCTCATAATCGCTTTCATTCTTTCTCCTATCTTGACTTCCTTTGCTGCGGTTTGGAATAACCAAATTAGAGTTCCTGAGGACATTTCCGGAGAAAAATTGACAGTGTTCATCAATTCTAATGAAAAGTCTCTAATTTCTGCTTGGAGAATGTATCATGGAAAGTATCAGAGAGCTTAGATTTTTCAAAGTCAAAGGTAAGACATCTAAGCACATCTAATTCAGCATATTAATACATATAGATATATTTTGAACGTAGCGAAGGCTCTACACCAACTCTCGAACATTGCACAGAAGCCTTTGAGGTTATTATCTCTGAATGCATTGAACCTTCCGATTTAAGAACGTACAGAGGAACCTCAAAATTCGACAATGGAGAAGTCTATACTATTATCAACGGCTTGCACCCCCAAGCACCTATCGTCCCTACAAGTCTGGAGAAACGAACCGAGAGATAACAGACTGCCAAGCACTCCAAAGTTCTTCCAGTAGCATCTGTAAAAGCGACTCACAAACCGACTGCAAAAACAACGCCAAAATGACTGAAGCTCCAGTATCTACTAGTGCAAAGACTAAAAGTCTGAAAATTGCGGAGACCACTCCAAAACTGATTGAGACTCCAAAAACCAAAAATTTAAAGGCTATAGAAATTACCTCAAATCCAACTGAGACTCCCTCAGCTACGAGTCCAAAACCCACACAAACTACCTCAGTACATCTAAATCATCCACTGTCAAAACAAGTTCATCTCCCGAAACTTCCGAAACAACTTCATTATCCACCAGTTCCAAAGTTATAGAGACAACCCGGCCTACATCTAAATCATCCGCCGCCACGAAAAGCATCGCCCCCGAGGCTCCCCAAACAACATCCAAAGCCAGCATTTCCAAAACTGCGGAAAGAATATCGACAACACACTCCAACCAATCTCCCATCAACCAAAAATTCCATAATAAACAAAGAAACTAGTACAAGCACAAGCACAAGTCTCTGTTCCCAAACCTTTCATTTTAGAACCTTCTCTAGCGAGTCTTTCTTTCACCAAGAGTTCCATAGGCGGAAGTAGTACAAGTACTCACTCAATTACCATCTCAACCATTAAAACTCCATCATCTCTTTCCTCTACTAAAGTTTCTTTCCTTAATTCAATACTCCTTCCATCCCCTCCGGCGGGTCCTTTTCGATAGAATTATCCACAGTCTCGAGCTCAATCTCAATCACCAGCAATAATTAAGAGGTAACTTCAAGTCTCTATTCGACTTATGAAACATCGAACAAGATTTTAGAGACAACTAGGGATTTGGTCGTGTTTATATTGAGCGAATCTACATGGCGGGAAATATCATTGCAAAATTATATCCCAAACCATCACTTCAACAAGCGGTATTCACACTCCTGATATTTCAACTACCACATCGAAAGTTTCCACCCAAAGTGAAACATAATCAAGTCCATGTCGAATTCTCCATCGAAAGTAATTAAAAATTCCAGCTTGGCATCTGTTACCTCCAGTCCAAACACGCCTGAACCTACACCAGAGTTAGTACCAATTACAGAATCAAACGACTTTCCAGAACAAGTTGTGAGTAGCGGTGCCCAAACTAGTAGCGTGAACTCTGTTCTTATATCCACAAAAGCCAGCTTCATCGAAAAACCCGCCACCATGCCAACTTCTTCAGTTATTTCTGAATTTCCTAGTAATGAACTAACCCAAGAATTTCCGGAGAAATTGACCAGTTCAGCTGTAACAAAGAACACTACACGGTCGCTGTCTAGATCTGCATCCAGCCATGTCGCTTCAGGCTCAGGCTCGGGCAACCAGTCTCCGCCACATCGGAGTCCCTCTCATCTACTCAAACAAACTTCATCTACACCAGTGAACCCGTACCGTCAGAAATAAATACAGTTGCCAAATTATCAACGATTTCTATCTCTGTTCCTGAAATGACATCTGGTTTATCGAGTTTTGTGATTCAATTCAACAATTCTGAGGAGAGCGATGCTATTTCTAAATCATTAATAGCGTCAATGATTTCGAGCGAGGCTCTCACATCTTCCTTACAACCCGAAATCACACCTTCTCCATCAGATTTACCAACTTCTGAATCACGGCTTCAACTTTTGTCTGAGAACCTCTAATCCAGGGCATTCCAACCAAATGCATTATATCTTCAATAGAACCAGAAAATACTCCTCCCTTTGAGCCTTCCTCTCAAACTATTTCTGCAAGATCCCTTACGCATTCCGTAGAGTCGGAGATCACTCCCTCTCCTTCTGATTCGCTAGCTTCTGAAACTATCACTCCGACTTCAGCGGAAACTTTTGATCCTTCCGAGACGACGGACCCTTCTGAAGCGACGGCTCCACAAGAAATATCCCAATCAGGCACAAGGGAAAGCAATCTCACAGATACTGCATTTGCTCCTCCCAACTCATCTCCTTCAGCAGCTTCATCTACATCATCCCAAGTCTGTCTAATCACTACAGGAGAAAACTGCTCTACATGATACCAATACACCAGTTCCGGTGACCCTCTCTTCCTCCCCAAATATATCGATGTTCAATCTCGCAGCTTACAGCCATCGATTGCTGGTCAAATATCCACCACTAATCTACACTCAAAGCTACACAAATGAGCCACGGAATCGTTTACCTCGTTCGACTCAACCAATGCTTGTATTTTTAGCTCGGTAGATATTCCTTCCATCATAGGTATGCATACGTCCTGCAAATCCCGTATACAAGTCTAAAAATGGATGAAACTAACATGGGAGATAAAGATGCATCAAATCTAGTCAATGAAGCAGGCGCTCAAACAGAATACTGGTATCCTTTGCAAGATACCACCGTGAATGAACGACCTGCCCTGTGCTTGGTCTTACAAAGTTACTGATGGAGCGCTTGCTTGTCAATCTATAAGTTCAAATGCGCTTGGATATACAAAGTCTGGTCCGGGGATTAACTGGAAAGCAAACGCCCCTAGTAAGTGTTACTCTTGGAATATGTTGTTTTTTTTACTAGCCGGCTACTAGCTGTTGACGTAGATCATGTGTGTAAGTGTAGAGTTCTTACTTTTGAAGCAAGATAAGAGTGTCAAGCCAATGATAATAATAGATGAATCATCAATCTTGCAAGATTTCTTCGCAAGTAGGGTTTATAGCAATAATTGTGCAGCTTTCAAAGCTATTTTCGATCAACGACAATACTTACAATGGAGAAAAATCCAAGTTGCAGACTATTTGGGAGTAAGTTTATATTCCTCATACATCCATAGCGGTTCTAACACAAACTCTAGTCAACTTTCTAGCGATACAATACCGACTATGCTAGAATGGACCAAAAAGGTATTTAAGCCAGGGAAAGATATCAAAATGTGTAAACTAATAGACTAAAAGATAAGCACCGTCAAAGCACAAGCTTTCAAAGGCCTATTGAAACAAAGTTATTCAAGCGACGATGGGAAATTAGCTTACATCTCCGAATTCGCCGTCGCAATGGCCGTAACCAATGACGATGCTATCGCGTCTCTTTTCTAAAGCACAAATCCCCGGATCTATCAAGCGCTACTTGGTGTTGATGCAGTTACTGGGGCTAACAATAGTACTACGCCGAGCCTTATGAAGCCAGATGTGAGTACTACCTCATATCTGATTTGCGTGCCATGTCGTACACTTCATCTTTGGTGTCATATAGCACAATCCTACCTAAATCAGATTTCCCACTCAAGGCTCTCCCACGATTCTGCCTTCAGAATAAAAGCTAACCCTGGTTCTTTCTCTCCAATGGGTATCCACCTACCGGATCTACCTCACCAATCTCCTAACCAGACGCTCCTCAGCCATCCTTTCCAAGTCTCCAGCTACCTCGACAATCATCTTGGACCTGTCGCAAGGTGCGATAATGTTACACTTTCAGATGGAACCGCTTCAACAACTGAAAACGCCATTGAAAATGGAGTGAATGCATTCTTGAACGTTTATCCTTTAACTAGTGCTTTTACCTTTAATCAGGACAAATTGCTGGGCTTTCCTGCGGTAGAAGTGAACCTTGGAGAATGACAGAAAAGAGGGGGTTTCTAAGATCGGATATTTCTTGATATAGGCTATGGTATGGGTTGATTGTTTTTGGCGATGGCCCATTATTTCGACTATATGTGTTAGTTATTTCTTGGTCGTTTTTTGTAATATATTTATCTTTTCATGTTTAATACATATGTGTGTGTCTTCAGATCTAGAATCGAAAATATTCGTACTTCAGCATCAGAGCTAAGCCTGATAATGCACGGACCATACAAGGCTGATCAAATCCCCTCTACCAAGCTGCCACACAATATCCCACCCCTCATTGATTCGACTTCATAACCTCTTTCATCACATCGCACTGCAGCAACTCCTTCTCCAAACCCCAAAATGAGTACTCCTCAAACCATAACTCCTGCCAAAACCTTCAAATTTCCCCGCGAACACTCATTCCCTCCTTTCTTCACCCTCCAACCCACCTCCGCGACACTACACGCGCAACTTCGCAAATGGAGCGATTTGATCCTCTCTTATTTCGCCTTTTACCGGCTATTTCGTCTCACAATTTCTACATTATTATCTTCTGAGTTATTTAAAAATGAGAGGATCAATAGGAGGTTGGATGAGGAGGCATTGAGAGAGGTGTTGGAGTTTATGAGGAAGGAGGGGAGGGTGGAGTGGATTGGGGGGAGTGGGAGTGGGAGTGGGAAAGTGGGAGGAGATGTTTGTTGGGTTTGGTGGAGGAAGGTAGATGAGTGGGCAAGGATTATTGAGGAGTGGGTTGATGAGACAGGCCAGAGAGGGAGCGTCTTGACACTTTATGAGTTGGTTGAGGGGGAGGGCGGCAGGGGTGCAGGTATGTTATTTGTTTCTTTTTTTACTTTCTTGTTTTGGGTTTATATAAAGGGTCTTGCTGATTATTGGATTGATAACAGAGTTCCACGGCCTGGATGCGGAAATTTTACAAAAAGCTTTGGCAATATTGGTGAAGAAGGGCAAGGCACAAGTTTTTGGACAGGAGGATCAACAGGGAGTGAAATTCTTTTGAAGTGCGTAACATCTTCTAGATAGACTCGGGACACATTGGCGCTGGGATTGAAATATATCATGCACTGGGAGGAGTTTTTAGGCGTCAAGGGTGTATAAGATATCCAAAGCCATAGGGGCTTGCATACAAGGAGGGACTGGTGGACTCCTTTATCAAAGCTTCGTTCCCCTTCTAGAACCTCATTAAGCTTCCTACTACCGAATTTCAGCCGCATCGATATCATTGTCCAATACTTCAGCAAATTCAACCCGAAGATCCTTTCCATGCCTGGCATTGAAAGGATCCTCGGATTCGGGAAACATCCAGAAAGACAGCAAAAACCTTATATTACAAGTTCAAACATTGTACACACGCCTAACAGTGCGCAATCTCATAGTAAAGTAGGCAGAATCAAAACGACCCTTTCGGAAGCAACACCGAGCCACGAGCAAGACGCGAACCAAACTTTAGTAAGAAGATGGAAAGGAAATTTGAAAGCAATCGCTAGGAATAGCTTCCAGGTCTAGGCCTGGTGAAGTAAGAAACGGTACGCGGTGTCGTTCTTTTCCCGCTGTCTCCGGGGGACGTACCGAGATTAGATGGAGAATAGAAATTGACCCTCAGCTCACGTTACCTTGTCCTCTAATGTCAATGCTAGATTATTTTGAGCTTAGACTCATGGAATTATCATCGTCCATCCCTTTTCCTCAGCCAAAGATTGATATTTGATCTGCGTGGTGCTGGAGCTTCTAACTCGAAATGAAAATTGGAATATTGGATGGAGTGAGTGGAACAAGTCATGATATTGATATACACTCTCTGTATGCACAGAGGAAGAAATAGGCACGAAACTTTAGCATGAAAATTCGGACAGTTCTGAATCTTAAGCCAGCGGGCCCCTGGTGAGATTAGAATTTAGGAAGCACGTTATCTTATCCGTAATTTGATGTTGAGTAATAAACCTCCTGTTTGTATATTTGGAAGGGGGAGAGAGCTTATGGAGGTTACGTAGTCATGGAGCCACAAAGGTATGATTTATGAATTCTCGGGATCTTTTGATTTCATTTTCCGACTCGTCCATACTCTGTAGATGAATATACGTCTTCAGAAACAGGACACTTTGTAAGCGAAAAAACAAGGCCAAAATACCTATCTTCAATAATGTTCCTTTCCAATACAAGCGACAAGGTGGAGGAGGGAGGGAGGGTAAAATAATCAATCTTAAGCGTTTTATTACTGGTTTATTGAATCAGTTGGAAATATACCTACCGACAACAAGTAGGTAGATAGGTAACCAAAGTAACCAAGGTAATAAATATATCAAAATAGATCAAAGCAGACTCAGAATATATTGGGTTTTTAAAAGATCGATCGAGAGAGCTCGGAGTAGTAATATTAATATAATAATAAGTCGGAAATCAGGGAAAGGGAATTGACTGACTGGCAAACTGACAAACACGGCCGAATTTTTTTCGAAATCAAGGAATTCTCGGAGAAAGATAAAATGTACGGAGAAAGATGAAGCGGTAAAAGATACTGTACTCCGTGGATGAAAGGGAAGATGGAGATGGTAAATCTTGTAAATAATAAAAGTTGGTTGTCAGCAAGCCGAAAAGCCAAAACGTTGGATTTTAGAGCCTGTTCCTGGATTCGACCAATGGGATGCGGAGGGTACCTGGATTTTGTGATTTTGTGATTTTGTTCCGCTTTTTATTTATTTTGGTTAGGTTAGGTTAGGTGGGTGAGTAGGAAGGTAGGTAGGTAGGTAGGTAGGTAGGGAAGGAGGGTGGGATTTATCGTGATGTGATTTGTGATTTGTGATTTGATTGGTGATGAGTTTGTTGATTTGATAGACAGGTAGGTAGTTAAGTCAGATTGTACCTTTCTTTTCTTCTATTTCTATTTTCCGTTATTTTTCTATTTGCTTGATAATGATCTGTAATTAAGTATCTACGAATACCTACCTACCTAAAAGAAACTTCCATCGGAACGGTGTTTTCCTTTTGTACGTCCCTTATAACTCAGGAGTAATAAATAAATAAGTAAATAAGTAGGTAAGGAGCTCGGCCTTGAAATCACATCACATCACATCGCATTGTATCGCATCGCATTGCAAATTGAGCGTCATCATCAATTATGGTAATTATGCTTAGTGCTTGCAAGTTGTCATCATGCATTTACTTGTCTTTTTAATTCTTGATTTCTTGATGTATTTTTTATTTTTACTTTCACCGCTAGGTTATCATATACTTTTTTTACGTTCTGACTTGCATACGTCGTAGATACCTAATTCTATGATGGTTTTAAACTTAATCCTTTGGGATTGTTCTGTAACAACTTTAACAGTGGATGTTGACTGGTTATTCTGGATTTTGGAGTCGAGTCTCTTTTGTCTGTGAGGGATAGTTTGTATAGGGTCAACCTGTGGATGTATGTATGTGTGTGTGTATATGTGTATATATAAATAGAGATAGGAGATTTTAATGAGGATTGAATTGATTGAATTGAACTGAATTGAATTGAACTGAATTGAATTGAACTGAATTGAATTGAACTGAATTGAATTGAACTGAATTGAATTGAACTGAATTGAATTGAACTGAATTGAATTGAACTGAATTGAATTGAATTGAATTGAATTATAAGACTTACAATCTTATACTTCAACTACCTATTTCACCTCCCTAATCATCGAATCCACAAAGTATAGCATTTATAGCATTATCCTGTCACATCATTCACACACACATTCACACATACTCCTCCATCTACAAGCATCTTCAAAATCAGAGTCAGGGGTGGATGAAGATATCTTTTCTCTCCCAAATCCCCAGTTTGTTTTAATCTTCTTCTCATTCTTCTACGCCCCACCGATTGCTAAATGAAGCAATTGACTTGATCCACAGAATCGTTGCAACCATCTTAAAAATTCCCAAGAGACAAGAGATCGACTCAATCCATTGAGGCCGCGACCATCTTCTACCTTGTCAATTGCGAAAGTGGGAAACAATACTTAGAGCCTTCTTATCATTGTGTTGTTGTAACTTGTAAATTATTTCTCTGCAGTTGCTTTGTGGGATTCTTGCCTGTAATTATTATTTTTTCAACCTTTTCAACTTTTAACTTTGAGACTTTACTTTACTTTACTTTACTTTACTTTGCGCTTTACTTTACAAACTTCCAACCATCCACATCCTATTCCTCAAAGCATTCCATCAAACCCAGACTTTTCCACTGAAGTCCTTTGCTTGCTTTCTCTCCCTCTTTCCTTATCTGAACGAATTCATTACGACCCAAAACATATCATCACATCACATCACCAAAGAGCGAAAACAGAATATCATCCAACTGAGAGTAACTCGACAGACAGCTTCTACAGCAGCAACAAGCATACAATCAATCAATCCATCCGCAAATAATATCAATCTTTTTATTTTCACAGCCACAAATTACATTCATTACAATCCTTATTCCATACCATAAAATAAAATTCTTATTATTTTCTGGCTTTACTCTCTTTCAATCAATCAATCAGTCAATCAAGTTTCAAAAGATTTCTTCAAATCAATTCCCCTCATTCCAGAATTAGTTCGACTTCGACAGATTATTTCCATTCCTTCTCAAGTTCCTTCGAAACCCAGCCTCAGACCCGATAATTCCTTATACATAACATAATCAAGGGGGGCAGGTATCATCCTATCTTTTTGAAACGACCCATCACCAAACCTCCGCATTATCCCAACTTTCCATTCAATACCGCCAAAATAGCTACCTTACAAGAAAACCGTTTTCCTCACATTTCATCTTTTGAAGATGCGATGATCTATTCAAATGATGCGGATTATCCAACATCAATGCCTGGTTCACCCCCCGAGCTAACGGGGTCCAAATCCTCAAAATCCTCTTCATTTCATTCCTCATATCAATCAGACAATGATGAGATTCTTTCCGACGTCAATCATTTTGAAGAAATTGGACTCGATGATGAATCAAGACTTGACTCGGAGATTGGGGACTTCGCTGTCAAAATGTCGTCGAACCCATATTCTTCCTCATTTACCACCGATCTGCGCAGTCAAGCCAAACAACAACGACAACAACGAGTTCCCATGTCCGCCACACAAGGAAATACTAGAATTCCAAGAGATTTGACATCAAATACAAAAGGTCGTTCAGGGTTTCCAACATTGAGATCACAGATAAGAAATGCGGCATCGGATGGCTTGGCGATTGTCCCTGTGCCCACTTCATCGGCAAGGACCAGAAGGGGAATGAGTAATCCCAATGCACCCGCATTACCGACTACGACACTTACACGACAGCGAAGTTTAAGTCCAAATATTAGTGCGAGCCCGAGGAGTAGTATATCCGGAGGTTCCGCAAAAGGGAGGAGGGGCAGTTGGGTCTCGAATCGAGAACGAAAAACTACACTGGAGTTGGAAAGGGAATGTGATGAGGACGATGGAGATGATGTACCGGACGAATGTCTTTTGGAAAATGTGCCGATATCACCACGACCTCCTCTAGAACGAAGGAGTGCTGCACCATCAGCATCGACGAGCCCCGAGAGGCCTGTGAAGGAAAAATCGAAACCACTTGGAAATGGAACTTCTGCTAAACCGGCAGAACAGGGAGAACTTAGATCACCTAGAGCTATCATGAAGCAAGGGGCAACTACGGGACAATTTCCAACTAATCTTTATAATTCTAATAAACCTCGGGCAAAGAGTTGGAATGAAGCTTTGTCAGATTTGAGCGAAGAAGCGAAGGCTTTGACAGAGGCTTTGGAGGCACATGCAGAGGATGAGGAGAGGAAGGAATCCTTTTCTCATAACTACGTACGTTCTAAGCCAATTCGAGTGAAGTCATCATTCGCCGAATTACCTCCACTACGAAGAACCGAACTTATGATCGATCCGTTACCTATATCGAAGGAAAAGGAGGCTGTTCTTTCGAGGACTAGGCCATCATGGCTTCCTCCGAAGGATCCGGCGGAGGAAAGACGACATCTTAAAGAGTATCAAAAGATGATGGCATTGGCAGAGAAAGTGGAACGCAAGAAAGAATCCGAAAAACATAGTAAATCAGCTTGTAGAGATGATACAGCAAGTTCACTGTTAAGGATTTGGGAAGAACATGTTCTGCCCAATTGGGATGATGTGATAAGACAACGAAGAACGAGGGAGCTTTGGTGGAGAGGTATAGCACCAAGAAGTCGTGGGGCTGTATGGACAAAAGCGATTGGAAATCCATTGGGTTTATCGGAACCATCATATACAGCTGCTCTTCGAAGAGCTCAAGCATTGGAAGCGACAATCAAAAATGGTTCCCAATTGAGTGCAGAGGAAGAGAAGAAGAAAGGTTGGTTGGAACGAATTGAAAAGGATGTCAAAGAAACATATCCTGAATTACGTATATTTCAACCTGAGGGACCTTTACATGTGGCTTTGACAGATGTTCTCAAAGCTTATGCCATGTATCGAAGTGATGTGGGCTACGTACATGGAACAAATGTGAGTAAAGATTTTTTTTCTTCGTCATTCATCGAAAAAAAGGAAACTAATTTTATCATAGACAATCGCAGCTATTCTTCTTCTCAACCTTCCTGATGCTGCTTCATCCTTCGAAGCCTTGTCAAATATTCTCAATCGACCACTTCCCTTATCCTTTCATACTAACGACTCTGGCGCTATTTCTCGTGTTTACAGCCTTTTTCTCACTACACTCGCTCTAAAATTTCCTCGTCTTCATTCTCATCTCACGGCGGAAGATTTAAATCTAAATCCAGATGTCTATCTCCGTGATATCTTCGCTTCCTTATTCACAAGTTCAATATCTCTCGATAATGCAAGTAGATTGTGGGACGTAGTTGTCTTTGAAGGTGATTCAATATTGGTTAGGGCGGCGGTGGCACTTTTTGGATCCTTGGAAAATAAACTTCATGGTGTTACTAGTGATGAGGAAGTTTTGGCTGTACTTAATTCGGAAGGGTTAAAATTGGGTGAGGAGGATTGGATTGCGGCTGTTAGGAGTGCGGGAAAATCTCGTGATTAGGATGGATAGGGTTTGATGGGTTATGAGGGTTAAAGTGTATGAAGAGAGGAAGGAGCGGAGGGAATGGAAAAGGTGCATGGAATGCACCTCGACCTTACAATCGTGTAGTATAGTGTAGTTTATCAGTTGCAGTGAAGATTAAGATTTTTATCTTTTTCTGTTGACTAGATACAAATCCAAAATCCAATTATGAGAAGAAAAGAAAAGAAGAGAAATTTAAATGATTGCATAAGTGAGGGATGATAAAGTGATTATAATTATAATGTTACGCCGGGTAACAGGAAACTCTCACGTGCAATCAATATCACGTGACTGGCTCAGTAAGGATCAGTGAGCTCAGTACTGAGACGCATTGATCCTACTGAGTAGCCATCGGCACGAAGGTCTATATAATCTAGATGGATTTCCTTTGTATAGAGCTTCGTGCTCAAGATCAATCATTTAGTATACTCTACTATTAGTTACGAATTGCATATCATCATTGTCATTACTTTAAAGTCCCTGCTTGACGCTTAGTTATAAACCACCTCGAGAGCCTAGAGCACGTCCACGTGATCTAGACGGCAAACCTCGTAACAAGAGTAGAATTTATAAGAGGGAGAGAGTAGAATCTATAAAAGTAAAATAGATTCTATAATAAAAGAGAAGAATCTATAGGGGGCAGGGGGTAGAATTTATAGTGAAAGAGTATAATCTACACCGGGAAGACTAGAATTATAATATCTAGATTGAAGAGAGTAGATTCTATAGTATAGATTCTAGTCATTTATTAGACTAGATTCAGACTAAGTGGTGTGAGAGTGATTTATTTCACTTTTAATGACATGAAAGTAATTTACTGTTATATATAATAACTTTTCACTCAATTTTCTTTTCTAAATACAACTAACTAACTAATTAATAATTCCAAAATTCCTCCCTCATTACCTATATAAATGAATGAATGAATATTCAAGTCACTCATACTTTTCTCAATTTGTACTTAATCATCGTTAATGTTCGTGTCTTTTTCCGTCATTCATTTGTTTATCCATCCATGCATTCGACCATACATGCATTCGACCATACATACATCCATACATCCATCCATCCATCCATTCAACCATACAGGCATACATCCATCCATTCATCTGACTTTCTGTCTCCCTTTTCCTTTTCATCTCCTCTCATATCATATCATTGCTTAAAACATAAGAAAAATAAAAAGCAAATAAAACACCACATCAATGCCCCACACCCAAAGGAGATTGCTCTCAGAGTTTTCATAGAAAGAGAAAATGGGGGGGGATAAATATCTCGCCCAATATATCTAGAAGTAACAACGACCAAAGGAAACCCCATTCATAAAAAAGAAAGAAAGAAAGAAAGAAAGAACAAGCACTCAGTCAGTCCAAGTCCATTTTTTCAAAAAAAGAAAGAAAACTAAATCTCAGAAAATAAAACCCGCCAAAAACTCCCTTCCCCTCCCCTTCCCCATTCATAAAGGTATTCGTCGTAAACTATAACTATAAGAACAAAAAGTGTGGTATCAAACCCAAATCCCCAATCATTCAATCATCATCCATCAAGCATCAAGCATCATAAAGCATAAATAAATACAAAAAGAACATACAAACCTAAATCATATTCCCATTAACATTAACCTCATAGCCCTCACTCTTCTGTTTCAAGGCCTTCGCCAACATCAATTCCCTCATCCAATCAATCCTCTCATCGCGACTCCTCACCGCAAAATAATGCGTTTTATTATTTGCGTTCCCATTTCCCCCCATACCCCCAGGCATCAAACTATCTCTCTTCTTCATTCTTACCCCCTTTTCTATCGCCTGGGGTATCAACTGAAAGGAAAAAACATCTACTTTTTTATCTCGGTCGCCTCCGCGACCCATGGCAATATTAACTCGTTTAAAAGCTGCGTTGAGTTTGGATGATGACGCGAGCGATGAACAGGCAATGGCATAATCGTCAACGTCAATGCATTCGAGAACGTCCATGGCACTGGCGTCTTTGTGCATGGCGAGCGTGGTGCCTCGAAGTGTGAAGTGGTGTTCGTGCCATTCGTGGCGCAGCATTTTTGTGCGTCGCTTTTTCATCCAGCCAGCGTAAGAGGGGGCATCTTTCTCTGGGGAGGAGGAGCTAGAGGAGGAAGCTGAGGAGGGGTGGGCTGGTAATGGTGCGGATGTAGTGGCTTGGGCGGGGTTGTAATTAGGTGCGCCAAATTGAGCCCAGGGGTCTGTGGTGGAGTAGGCCCGGATGGAGTTTGCTAGACCTAATGGACGTGTAGGATCTCTACCGGTGGTTGTGGTTTCGGGGAAGGTGCGGGCCGGTTCATTGGGAAGAATTTGAACTTGGGCCGGCTGGGAGGATTGAGTTGTTTCGGTGGCTCGATATTCATCGACACGAGGAAGTAGGGAGGGACGACGATTAGAAATACGTGAAAGACTGCGCTGGAGAGAGTTGTTCATCGAGAGATTGGTGGATGTGTTGGTAGTCGGGCGGTAGGTCATGTTAGGTGGAACGGATTGAGAAGCTTCTCTAGCGACGGGACTCATGGGTACAGCAGTAACAGGGACGTCCATTTCAGAAAATGGGGTACCAAATCGATAAACGGAGGGCGAGCGGGTTTCGTTACGGAGTTCTGGAGAAAGAGCCTCTGCTCGTTCCATTTGGTAAGGTGAGAATGGAACCGCGCTGTTTGGGATGGCGGTTGCACTGCAAGGGCCATATCCAGTGGCACTCTGAGATCTGATGGGTTGTTCAGGACGAGGTGGAGGAATAGAAAGTTTAGGCAAGCCCCGAAGACCAGCGATAGGTCCCTTTAGTGGTGGGAACATCTCATATGGAGGAGTTGATGGCTCTTCGGATGATTGATTGGGCGCGAGATGTTGGAATTTAATGAATTGCTTCACATTATCTTGGGGATCACGTAATGCGACATTTCGAAGACTCTCCTCTTCTAGATAACGAAGAGCGGGAGTTGAGCCTGGACCTAGAACATCTGAGGATGCAACCACTGAAGGTACCGCGTCGGAGATTGGACGTGCTGTAAGAGCATTACCTGGATCTCCAGCAATAAGTAGCGAACCACCTTCTGTTTCAATCTTTAGTATAGACTCAAAAATTCCGTCACAAGTTGTAAACATACCTTCAGGACTGACTGGGTGATCTTTGTTAAAAGCAGCAATCAATCGTTGTTGTTTCCTCCATTTTCCACAATTTTCTCCCTTTGAGCACTTATGTGGTTTTGGCATAAGTTGCTCTATGCCCACAATAGAAATAGATTCGAAAGGCAACACCGTCTCGTGTTTACGAGCTTTTCTCGACCCCTTGCGTCTTCGAGATCGGTTTCGCTCTTGACTCGCTGAGCGATTTTCCTCTCTACCTCTATCCGATCTGTCTTTCCTCATTCGAAATTCCGTGGCTGGTGAAGTTTCTTCGATAGGGGTAACTGGCTTGGGTGTACTTGGGGCGCTTCCTCGCAGGATGTGGATTTCATTCCAAACTTTTGTGCGTTGTCCAAATGATGAGATGCCTAATTCTCGGAGATCTTCAAATTTGAGAGTGGTCAGGATGGCACCGGAAATATCATTTTCTTCGAATTTTTCAACAATTGACCATTCGAATCCTGCATCGTGCATCCATCTTGCGACTTGACGTGGTGTCCATTGAACGATGTTGTTCAGATCGAGATCCGCAATATTTTCGGTCAATACAGATGATCTCTGGCGTCTCGAAGCACTGTCTGGTGAGACTGGAGTGAGAGGATTAGCTGGATAAAGCGGTGTAAGTGTTGATGGTTGTGGAGTTATTGGCGACATTTCCAAAACATATTGGCTCGGGATATCTATTGATGAGGAAACAGAGCTGCGGAACAAATGAGGTCCCCGAGGTCCCTCAACCGGTTTCTTCGGGTTCAAGTCGAAATTGAAAGATTGGAATTCGTTCGTGGCCGATGTGGGTGTGAATACTTCTTCATAGGAGGATAATGTAGTTTCACTCGCTCGACCTCCCTGGATAGTGATATGTTAGTACGGGAGATAAGATGAATAAAATATTGTACATACTGATCTATAGCTCAGGCTGGTGTAGTCCAAATCTTCCTCAAAATCTGATCCATATTGTGCCTCTTCCACATATTGTTGAGCATTTTGGGTCTCTTCAAACTCCTCACCGTCACTTACGTCGTCCTCGAAATCTGTATCGAATATGGTTGCAGATGATAAAGGTCGTTCAGAATGATATTGTGTTTCCTTGAACCCAAGAAAAGTATCTCTAGGTTGACTAGTGTAACCATTTTGGAACATCTCTACCCGAGTGTCGATGGCTGTCAGATGAGATCTCATGGCCTACATCCAATCGTAACATTAGTAAGATACTCCAATGCACATGAAAATATCACCGCAAAAGCTTCATCCACTTACCATGATGCCTAGTATAAAGGCAGAGTATCAATTGATAACTCAAGCAGGACAAGAAACCTTGCAAGACTGCTTGCTTTCCCGTTGCCGGGGATTATATTCTATAGGCCGAAACAGTTCTTGATGAAATAATATGCACCAAGATAACGATAAAGGAAGACTGAAGCAAAAACAAAATTCAATCTGACAAGAATGAATTGTAAAATGTCAAAAGGATCAGAAGGAAAAATCGTGGCAAAGTTAATGGCACCTATGGCAGTATATGTATCGCCATTTTGAAACGAAACGTATATCATGGGCCTCAAATATATCAGAGCACACCAATGGGCAGCATAACGTCCCGGCTTTTTTCTATATTGTGAACTGTGCTCAGCACTCCTGCATGAAGATTGTGACTATTCTTGAATATGCCACACAATGCCACAATGCCTCGTTTGTTGGCCCTGGAGCCATTGAAACGATCGGGTTGCGAGCCTTGCACCCTACATCGCAGGAAGCTTAGACCCAATGAGGACATTCTACCGGGGTAAAGATGCGAAATGCTCACATTTCCCACAGAAAGATAAAAATGTGAAATTTAGAAGATGTTCCAATAATATTCAAGCTTGGTCAGATGGATCCTGCAGAATCTTTTTGTGATTGGTTGTGAAGGGTCAATAGTTCTGCATGTAGGCGCCGAGTCACCTCTTTTTTCCTTTGTCTACCCCAGTTACCAAATATAATTCGTCAATTGAGCCGTTTTATTTGTCCATTGAAGGATAATGTGCTCATGATTAATCATGATTCGACCGAGGATGATGCCCAGAGAAAATCTGTAAATCCAGACCCCCCTATATCTTTTCATATCATCCTGCCATTCTCATCGGGCTTTCGGGCATCGGTTTATGTTATCTACTTCCGAAACTATAAAGAAATTACTTTAATCGATAAGGCCAATAAGCAATTGAGAGTGCGTTTTTCACTATAAGGAATTTACTTGGATTGATAAGGCCGATTGTGCAATTGAAAGTTCATTGAACACTAGAACTAGATTGAAGTGGAAAATTTAGATTCTCTAGGGTCTCGTTTAGACTTTTACGGTGCGGTCCGTTGATGAAGGGGTACAGTATCGCTTGAATTGAAGTTCATTGAGTTTCAAGGTTGAAGCTTGTTAAGATGCTTCAAGTATTGTAAAAAATTGGAACCACCGGGTCTAGATATTACGGAGTAACAAGCATGAACACTCACATCGAACGGGACTGCAAGAAATCTGTACAGACGATTATCGACATATTGGATAGTGTTGGTTGTACGTGATAAGGAATATGGATTATCGGCATCGCCATCCTATTAGTCGTATACCAAGAACATCAACGTTGAAAATGGGGGAGGCTGGCTGCTGCTGGTCGCGAACTGTGAAAATTGGAGGAAAATAATCCTTCTTTCCTTCCTCTGTCTTCATCTCTCTCCACAGTTCCCGAACTCCCATCTAACAATGGAAATGCACTGCGGATCTTTCTAATCCTACTAGGTATCTATCTGCTTACGGTGGTGGAGAATTCTACCAGTACCTACATCTCCGAGTACCAACATGTATGATACCGACATACAAGCTAAATCGAACCATCCGTGCAAGGAAGAGGAAACTTTCGAATGTAAGCCTTTTATTAAAGAGGATATTCCCATGTTCCGCTGCTGCCGGCCCTCTATTCCTGCAAGTATGTATGTAGTTCTATATGTTATGCAATATAGAAATTATCAGCATCGGTACATGAATATTACATGCAGGCAAGAGAGCAGAAAGGCAAAGCTGTGCTGTGCCGTTCCCGTACATTCCCGTCGCATGCGTTTATCCAAACCGTTCAAGGTCCGTGACTTGAGAAAAACAATCAATCCATCTTCCGAGACTTCCTCTTCCATGGATAAATTTGTTCCCGTCCCATGAGATTCGTTAATTTTGTACCATGCCCTTGTCCCGGGTATAGCTTCTTGATAAACAACCTCGGGGTTTGGTCAGGGAAATCTGCCGCAAAGCATTGCAGAGTTAAGTCACGTACATAGTCAGCTCGATTCGACTATCGCTGTCGCAAATCTGAAGGATTCAATTTGCCCCTCAGTCGATTTGTGTGATTGTTCAGCGTACTTGATACAAGCCCGATGTACCACGGTCCAAGTGATTGACATACATGATTGAGTCAGTAGCAAGTTGTCTCAGGCCTCACCGTCTTCTTGACCTGCGTAAATGATGTATTCTCATGCGATATGCTATCGGTAAGGTATAGGAAATGCATGGCATCGTAAGTACAAAAGGAAAGAACATATGTATGGAAGTGGATAAAATGTTGGACTTTCAAAGTACACATGATGTAGGTTACATTTGTGGAGTATTGATTTATTGATTCATCAGCAACAGGAAAAAACAAAATTCTCCGTCGACGAATCAATGTTGAAATAGGTACGTGTAATGTCAATAACCTAGCTAGAAAATCCCAAATGCAGCAATGGCTTCTCCAGGTCTTGATATTTTCGCATTTTTCCATAACCAATGGCTGGCGAGAAGACCACTCACACTGGCCTCACATGATTGTATCTTCATGCGGGTTTACATCAAATGAATGCTCAATGAGATAAGTCAGTTCAAGAAGGACCGAACGTTACATACGGAAGCTTTGGTGTTCAGTACAACATATAATACACTCCACCGCGTAATAATAAAAAATTATGAATATATGAAAAAGGATGAATTAGAATTATGGGAGAGAAGAATTAAATTTCGTCTCTGGCTGGCTGGACACGAATGGATGACATTCGGCAGATGCGCAATATTCGAAGTCGAATCGCACATCAGGGGACCAAGTTTGTCAGGATGCAAGTTCCTGTTTTGGAAAACATCATCATCGGAATGAGATATCTATCGAAGCTATTGATTGATCTGATACACGAGTGTGCTGTACATATCTAACTGGTACTCATACATCCGTCCGTGATGGAAAAACGTCGGATTGTGTAAGAGACTCCGCCTTCCGCCTCCCGTTGAAGATCGTGACCTTAAATCCAAAAAGTTTAATTTCATCTTGATAATTTGAATTTAGTTCTCTCCACAATTTTTGACATTTTTTAATTTGAAGGTGTGAAGTTGAACGAGCTCGTGCATATATAGCAGATCCACAAATAATAATCTTCACTATGTCGAATATGTCCTAAATGGTAACCTGGAATTGCGGAGCACTATTAGTGGAGTTGTCCGTGATGAAAACGGCCGTTACAAGTTGCCAGAAGGCCTGGATGTTGCATGAGCCACCTCCTCTCCCCCATTTTTGTCAAAAATGACGACGTCGACAGTAAACCGCGAGGAATTATTTCTGTCTCCGAAATTTAATTTAGCTCTCCTACAAGGCAGACACATGGAGACGATGAGGAGGATGATATATATCATATTAAAGATACGATATATGAAACTCTCGCACAGGAAATGGATCAATAAACTCATCTCAACCTAGTAAGACACGAGGAACGGAAGGCTCAGCATAACTATCGATATCAGACGATATCAAACGATACTGGGATCGTTGAGGGAATCTCCTTCCCCACTTGTACCAGTAATCTCAAGGCCTTAGAAAAGCTTCACAGCCAGCTTCAAAAAGTGAGAACATTGACCGTTATGAGGCGATACTGACGTCGGTGACGGGGTCTCTCTCCACTTTCGTTGTCAGTAATCTCAAAGCCCCTTTTCACAATCGAACGTCCAGTCTCAACAATCCTTTATTTGGTATCCCGCCTTGGATTCCTACACCATAGCTGAATTGACATGTATACGGAGTTGAGTTAGATGGAAGCGTGCAAATGTTCAGGATGAGCTGCATCCTCAACACATATCACGCATCCTAAACGTCTTGTCGATGAGGATTTCGGAGCCAAGGTGTGTATTTCAAATAAGTAACAATTGTGATGGAGATATCTTGGTCCATTGTCCTCATACAGGCCCAAGCTCCATACGTTATCAACAGAAACGAAATTGCGATCTTGTTGATTCACAGACGTGGGAGATCAAGATGTTATTTTAAGAATAAATGCTCTGAGGAATAGGGGGTGAAGGCTCTTGTTGGATCGAAACCCCTTTCTAGACGAGCTTTTTCATCTATTCTATATTGTCAAGGAGTTGTAGAAATGGGGAGAATCTGCGAGTGTAAAGGAATGTGCACAAAAACGTGTGAAGATGAACGTGCGTACCTTGAACAATTTGTAGAAATGAAGGTTTTTAAGTTGAATCCTATGAAGGCTTCAGTGGTTGGTGATGATTGTGGAGACGGTAATGCTTAGCAAAGCCACATGGCTCGCGGATAATTGTAAACATGTGTGGGGGTGAAGCGAGCCTCTTCTGCCTCGAAGGAGATATGTCGACCATAAGGCCATTTGAGAAAACTACTGTAGCACAAGCGAAAGCGAGGGACTATTGAAAATGTTGATTAATTAGGTCCAATTTCTGCAAGGCCAGCAGATGTGAATGTCCAAAAATAACACCCATTAGGAGCGGAATATGTTGCTAATTAAGGATAAATGTGATGAGATGTGGTAGACGGACAGGAAGAAGGCCAATTGACGATCAAATGATAGTGTTAGAAATGACAGCTAATTATTGACAATAAGCGCTTAATTTGTACCATTAATAGGATATTGATGTGGATGAGGAAGGAATGTATTGGATGTGATGAAATATTAGATTTGGCTCGGTTAAGGGGTCGGTTGACAAGGAGCTTGGGCCATTATGCGACATTTCATAGCTAGGATTTTTTACCAGGGGTCTTTTACTAGGTGCTCTTTTCCTTGGTTACACTCCGTACTGCCGGAAAAAAACGCATTTGAGTAAGGTTATGGCACAGATGCATCATTGATCTTTTTGACATACAGGGCGAGTACCCCTACCTACCGTTATTATCATTTCAAGGGTTCAAATTTTGAGGTTCCATCCGAGCAATCCTCCCATCTCGCATTTGCATATTTGCATGCCTCCCTTGTAATCTTGGCCACATCCACTCTAATCTATACATCCCGCTATTGTATGTTGTATGTATGCTCTCTCCACTAGCCAAGCTCGAGACGGAAAAAAACATCTTAAGTCAAAGAAAGAGGTTCACCGCCGTCGATCATGGATGATTGTAGAGAATTAGAGATGTAATTGCGCAAAGCAGACGTGTATGTAGAGTCAAGCAACTCATCGTTATTCATTGATCAATTGGACCCTATGGAATCTAATCGACAAAATTTCATGATGAAAGGTTAGTCTACGCTATGGGACTCAATAGCTTCTCATGCACAGATGAATATTGTTACTTTGCACAAGCAGCATATTGCGGGGTGGGAAGTAGGTACTTTATCCTAATCATCCATCCTAGTTTATCTCATATCAATTTGTCGAAATCCTTGACTTTATTTTTTTCTTCAACGCTGTCAGCCGTACCTGACCACTTCTCCCCGATTAGTCTTTTATCTAATCGAACCACATACGATAAAAATTGACAACCCCTTCATCAATAACTTCAGCTTCGCTTCCATTGAATCATGAGAACCCTAAAAATTCCGCAAAATATTTGATCATCTCGTACGGTTATTTTCCTTTAAAAAAGGGTGAACCACTAAATTAACTTGGTAGCACTGGCACAATATTTTAGACAATTTCCTTCATACTAGTAGATAGCAGCAATTGTCAACCGTTGGCTACGGGTAAAGCCGCTCTTTCCTCGCTAATGCAACTCGTCACACTCATTCAACGACATCTTCGAATCACATTCATCAAAGCACTTTCCCAATTCCCATCCAAGAAAATCATGCAAAAATTCAGATATTCTAAATGGTTACATTTTATCACCCTGTCGTGATCGATTTCCGCCCAATCTTACTTGACCGCTATTTGATGCAATACGATTTGTTACTTTGACATGATTTCTTTTCAGAACCGGAATCTATTGAATTGGGGTGTAATCTCCATCCGTCATTTGTCTCGTGATATCGAATATCCATTCACCGCTGAATGAAAGAAAATTTCACGAATCACAATGCCGTTGACCGTGGGTAGAAAGTCAATTTAGCAGGTTTCATTGGACAATGGCACTGAGCACGGGATTACGGCAGAAAGAGGAGAAGTACAGTAGATAGCGTTCATATCGGGATTCGGGAGGTCTTGTAATTTTTCCACAAGGTCTCACTTGTTGTATGTGGACTGGGGGTCAAATAAGGGAATATCACTGCGGATAAGCAGGCAAAGCAGGTATCGATTCAAAAAAAAAAAAAAAAAGCATTGCACCCGGCAATCTAATGCTCATCCACAAGCATGTGGGTGAATGTAACCCTTGAGAAAAAGGCACGCTGTAGGTACCGTTCAATGGTGAGATTAGGAAGTGTTGTGTACCACTTTTTTCGGAAGCGGGGGATGCATTACTTCTTTGTACTATGTAGGTACTATCGATATTATCTTTTTTAGGCTTTTGTCAAGCTGACAAATTAGAACAAATGGACGAATGAACAAATAAGACGATTGAAGCAATCTACTTTTGTGTACATGGATATTTATCGCGAAATGGCGAAATGCAGGTGTTCTGCAGAAAAGAAGCATTGACCATATCTCTCTTGAGATGTGTTCATCCGTTGTACAAAGTGTAGCTATCCATAGGTAATATTCGATATTCGAGGTCATCGAGTAAGAAAGCATTGAATGAGAAAAAGTGGGTGAGTCAAGAAAGCCTGACTTGCTAGGAGGGACAAAAAGAAACTAAATTTTATCTATATGTCTACCTATCACATACAGCACAGCCGGATCCTCTCTTGCCGATCATGGTCCTAGAACCTTAAAATCATCTGAGGGGTTTGTTCGGATAGTATCCATTATGATATCAGGAAAAGGATGAATTCATGGATCCTTACAATGGATGCCAGGTATGTTCTATGTGCTATTGTGCTATTGTGCGATATGCGATGTGTTATCGTTCCCATCGATCCATCGTGCCAGGTGAATGGTATTCGTAGTACAAACACACAAGCAGGCAAGCAAGCAAGCATACTGAAAGCAAGATAGGTGGGGGGCCGATTGGTGCAGCCTGCATGGGGAGGCGCCTCGCGAAAATAGCACAATCGCCCTCTTTTACCGCTGAGCTTCCCCACTGGGCCAGCCACACTTGTTCCTTAACCGACCCATAAAAGTTTAGTGTAATAGTTTTCACTAAACAGGGGAGAGAGAGAATACAAGGGGGCACGGAGAAGGATGGGATCAAAAAATGCAGCTATCTGGCTTGTCTATGGGTACGACATACTGTGGAACCAACCCCAATGCATGGATTAATCTCTTCTACACCAATCACAAATTCTGAAGTTATCCATAATAGTATGTTGGAAAATATTTCCTAATGTTCCTTTAGGCTCGTGAAGCTAGTCGTGCTCAACTGCATAACCCCCATGCGGACACCACTTTTTCGCTAGCCTTTCTTCATCCCCTGGTCTAATCTTAAGCCTAGCGTACAGCTGCACCCACCTTTTTCCGCCCACCTTTAACCCACCAATCCTTAATGGGAAATGTCCTATATTCGGACCTAGTCGATGTTCGTCCTCTCATAGGGCCAAATGGTAACCAACTGGTAGCCGCACGTGTGCATGTACGTTCGTGGGCGGGAATATGGGCTAGGTAGATGAATGCAGGAAAAATAGCATCACTCCATTCGGTATCCAGAAATAGATTTTCAATTCTTCCATGGCTGAAGATGATTATTGTACAATTTTTGACATCTTCATATATAGGGCGTCAACATGCAACCATTACCCTACTTCTCCATTGAGGCTCTCGAACATCGCAAAAGGTCAATTTTATAGTCCCTCCCTCTCCGCGTCGTCGTTAGATTGTTGTCTCTTCCTAATTCAACGTCCACCACCCACACACCCACTCATTTACTCGAGGTCAAGCTGGACTTGATTTGAACCGACATTCATTAATTTTATCTGTCCCCGGTCTCGCCAATCACGCACGCTACTAACCCCAGTCTCTCATCGCAATATCACGCACTTAGACCGGACTCAACTCTCGCCCACCCCACTATTATATACTGCTGGTACAGTACAAATGTCAACACAAACCCCCAACGCTCAATCATCAACTAGAACGACGAACGTCAACATGGCTGTCGCTCAACCCAAAGCAAAGGCTCCCAAAGCTGCTCCAGCTACAAAAGGAAAGATGCAAATGCATAGACGATCAAGGACAGGTTCGTTCGACTTTAATTTATCTCAATTCGCCATTCTTTCCTTGATATTCGTCGTCGTCGGACTTTATATACTGACCCTAGCTATCAAGGTTGTTACACATGTAGATTAAGAAGAAAGAAGTGTGATGAAGGCGCCATAGCTTGTAGTGCTTGTAAGCATCTCGGTTTACGATGTGAATACAAGAGACCCGGATGGTGGGGAAACAATGAGTTGCGCCGCCAGCAAAAAGAAGTTATCAAGACCATCATCAAGAGAAAGAAGCTTACGGAGAAGACCACCGCATCATCCCAAGCTCAGTCACAACAAGTTATGGCATCAAGTATCGATACCCCTCCCGGACTTTCACACTCTCTTCCTACCTCTGCAACCTATTCCGATCCCTTGGACCGCAATCGATCATCATCAATCGATTCTCAATTATCTCTCTTTGATTTCAATGCTCCTCCAATGGTCGATTACACTGCCTACAATACGCAAATGCACTCATCGCATGCTCAGTACGCAACGATGTATCCTGAATACTCACCATATGAAATCGATGTAAAGACGGAACGACAGATGTTTGTTAATGATGTTCCTACTCATCGTGAATCAACCATTTCGACCTTTAGCACGTTCCACCCACCACCGCCACCCAATTCATTGCTACCATCTTTCCCTATTGATCATGAGTGGGATACCGTATACAATGAGCGTCATGAACTTCTGGCAGAAGAAGCATTGAACATGAATCTTTTCGACTTCTCACACGGACCACCATCTACATTTAGACAAGTTGCTATTGAGTTGGATGAGAGTGATCAAAGACTCCTCGATCACTTTGTCTCCGATGTTTTACCGACCATATTCCCAATTCTTGAGACTAACCAACATGGTTCCGCACGAACAGATTACATCCTCCCAGCACTCCAGAGCAACAAATGCTACTTACATTGCTGTCTTAGCATTTCTGCTCAACATTTCAAATCCACCATGAATATTCAAGGTGATCAAATCGATAACGATATCATGCGCCACCGCTACGCAACTATCTCTGAACTTTGCGAGGCTCTCAACCGCGACACAGATCATGTATCGATATTGGAAGCTACTTTAGGAATGATCTTCTTTCAATGCTCAGTAGGTCGATTTGACGACTCTCTACCAGACATTCCATGGCACCAACATTTCCAAGCTGCCATTTCTCTTGTTCAAAAACTTGAATTACCTCGTCTAGTCACCGAATCGCATGATCTGATGTCCTTCAACATGACTCTAACAGCTTGGATTGATATCCTCGGTTCTACCATGCAAGGCCGTGCACCAACCTTCGCTCACACTTACAGAGAAAAGCACTTGTCGCAAACCAACTCATCTCTGGGATTGAGAGAGCTCATGGGCTGTGAAGATCGTGTGTTATATCTCATCTCCGAAATCGCTTGCTTAGAAGCTCTCAAGAATGACGGCATGGATGACATTCAACTATGTCAACATGTTCATGCTCTAGGTGACCAAATCGGTCTCACGGAGATTGGTGAAATGGGACCAAGATACCCATATAATGCTCATGGTGCTCTGAGCCCAAAGCAATTGAGCAGAAATATGACGGCCGCTTTCCGTCTCGCCGCTCGTATCTATCTTTGTAGTCTCGTTCCCGGTTTCTCCCCAACTCAAGATAGCTGTGTTGGTTTGGTTGCAAAACTGACTCAAGCTCTTGAATTCATCCCAGCCGGACCCATTGGTTTTGACCGCAGTCTCGTGTGGGTTTATCTCATTGGAGGATCCGTCAGTACTGCCAACTCACCCTTCCGTCATCATTTTGCCGATCGTCTCGCTGCCCTTGGTGATCTCGCCAACCAAGGAAGTTTCGGTCGCGTAACCACTCTTCTCCAAGAAGTCTGGTCACATGTCGATGGACGATACAGTCCTGGTGGTGGTGATGCACATTATGTCTCCTGGAGAGATGTTATGCAGATGAAGGGCTGGGATTTCTTGTTGATCTAGATTCCTAGCTTGAGGATCTTTCACTGGTTTGGAAGATTTACGAAAACTTCAGTTTCGCAGTGCTACGTTACAGATACAATGTACTGTATCGTGATCATCACGCCGGGCATTCAGCCCATTGTCATGGACCTAGCTTTTACTAGATCTAAGAGAAGACGATACATTATGAGACATCGAGGATTATGAATAGCAACATGAGCTATGAGAACGAGACACGGTGTCAAGAGTTAAGAATCATTGAGATCAACGACATGATTAACAGCACTGAACGAGGAATTTATACAAAGATCACAACGAGAAAACGCGAGATGCATAGCAAGGATTCAAGGTTTTCATTCTAATTTTACATACGGGATACTCACTGCATTATCATTATCATTATCATCATTCAGCATACCCCATTCCCTTACAACGGCGTTACGGCACATTAAGAAAGATATATTTGGAATCACGAGATTATTGAACGAAGGTGGGAGGCAAAAGGGGACAAACAATCGGAGAGGAGGAAATACCAATACTAGCACTAGGCGTTCAGCGGCTTTTTTTTTTTTCTTTTTTTTTACTGTTTACTACATACCATTTGGTCGCTCAGCCTCCAATACTTACTTAACTTTCTATCATTGATGTATATTATTATTTAACCAGTGGAATTTGGGGAGCGAGAAGAAATGGAAGATTCTTTCTCGATTACACATTGTGTTTCTATACCCTTTTTGGGGGAAAGGGGAAGGGGTTTGAGGAAGCTTCTATCTAGGCTGGGATTTATTGGCTTGTTTATAGTGTTGTATAGGATTTTTGCATATGGGTTGAGCGCTCACGCTGCTCCCTGATTGAGGATTGGAATGGGAAATAGGATTAGGAATGAAAAATGAAAAATGAAAATATTAAAATATACAAATCTGCGTTTAAAGTCTTGTTTTAGATGTATTTATCTATGTGAGATTTCTTTTCCTTTTCTTTTCTTTTTTCCTTTTGTACATTATAATGATGATCAAGATTAAGATCTCACATCAACAGCATAACTTCAGCAATCTTCCTCTCCCCTCTCTCCTCTTTCCCTTTAACACACAACAGCACCTCAGATCCAATTCCCACATGATTATATCCCCACCCTTCGCATAACCCTACTATATATACTACACACAATATCTGCCCAAAAAATACCCCTTTAATCCACAAAAGTCCTTCCCACTTCGAAAAAAAAACCCCATCTTATATACAACCTTACTAATGAATAACTCCTCATGCTAAATCGATATCCCTGCCCAATTATCTATCAATAGATAATAGATAATAGATGATAACAATCTTAAAATCACTTTGATAAGATATTTTCCATGTTATTTTTTGCTTTCGACATCATATACCGATATCTTCCAATAGACAGGGATGGAAGCAGAAGGTTGGATAAGAATAGAATGTGTTTTTATTTTCTTGGATATGCAAGCTAGGCTAGACTGTAATTGTCTGAAGGGGGTGGGTGGATGGTAACTAATTGCTATATTAACCTTACAGAGGAGAAAGTTACTGGTTGGCTGCAGGGTAAGGTGAGATGTGATGTGATGTGATATGATTGATATGATTGATATCGCGAGAGATGCTAAAGGCTCAGGATGGGTTTGTGAGGTTAGATGGGACTGGCTTAATGGTGATGGGTGATTGATGTTTTAATGAACCATTAATGTCATTAGGGTGAGGGTGAAAAGGGGATTTAAATTATCGCTTAATAATCAACTACCATACCATCAATTTAATCAATTGCTTGTTTGTATTTATTTGAATAACCTATAGCTAGAATCTCTTATAGAGATATCACTTGTCCCTGCATACGGTGCCTACTGGATTCCCAAACAAATTTCCCATCAAGAAAAATAAAATCATAATTTTGAATTGCATACATACATACATACATTCAATCATCCAAACAAATCAATGCATACCAAAGCAAACCCCACCCCATGCATAAACCGAACCCCCTCCTCTTCCCCCAATCTCTAAGGCTTCCACTTAAACCCCGGATGTCTCCAATCCAAATCCTGAATTTGAACCTGACTCAAACCCTCCAACTCCGCATCCACATCCCTCCCATCCCTCCTCCTATTATCCATCTTCATCCACGCAAGCAACACCATCGACGAAAAGAAGATCATCGACCCAGTAGCCAAATTAAGTCCATTACCAATATGATAATCGGGAGCATCTGGAGGTAAAAACGACCACGTAGATATCAGACCTCCTATATTTCCCATCATGACATTCGTACCAATGGCACTTGAGCGGGCGGTGTCTGATATGACATTTGCGGCGACTTGAGCATTGGTTAGGGCGCCGAATGAGAAGGCTCCGCTGGCGATGAGGAAGGTGGCTCCGTAGCGGGTGGGGGCATCTGTGCTGGCGAGGAACATGATGTAGCCGCACATCATTAGGGGAGCGCTTAGGATGAAGAAGATATTACGTCTGTCGAAACGCCAGCTGAGGAATGGGATGAGAACTGTAAAGAAGGCACCGACGATGTAGGGAGGGACAGTATGGAGTTGCTGGGAGACGACGGTTGCTTTCGGATAGATAGTTCTCACGATGGTGGGAGCAAAGAAAGCGAGTCCTTGGACGGTAATGTTGTTTAGGAGAAAAATAAAGGATGTAGCCATAGTTACTGGGCTGAAAATACCACGGAGGGTCTTCTTGGAGTCGAAAGCATCTAGGACTTCAGTAGCTCCCACTCTCTCAGATTTGACACGCGCGATAGCGAGATCTTTTTCTTCTTGTGTGAGCCATTTTGCCGTAGCCGGACGATCGGTAAGGGTTAGGAAGGCGATAAGTGAGAGACAACAGGTAATAATACCTTCAATAGCGAATATCATTCGCCATGTATGGAGGGTACCAAAGCCTGGCAGTTTTAGAATTCCCGAGGCGAGCAAACCTCCAAAGGCACCAGCCAACGGAGCCATGACAATGTATAACGATAGACGAAACGCCAATTCGGATCGCCGATACCAACGAGACAGATAGTATGCAATACCTGGCAACATACCCGCCTCAAAAGCACCTAAAAGAAAACGAACTCCCGAGATCTCGTGGATATTGTGCACAAATGCCGTAGCAATCGAGCAAATTCCAAACGCCAACGAAGTTGCGGGGATAAACCATCCAGGACCCATCCATTTGCAAGCCATATTTGCAGGGATTTCAAAGATGATGTACGAGATATAGAAGATCGATAGAACTTTGTTATAATCATAGCCCACCAATTTAAGATCTTTTTCGAGCCCCGCAAGTTTGGCATTGCCTAGAATATTAATATTACTATCGACCGATGTGAAAAAGAGTGCTTTCGTAGAGGACTCACCGATATTTGCCCGGTCGATGAAACAGAAGAGATACAACAATGCCACAGTAGGAACAATCATTAAATCAATCTTTAATCTTAGCTTTCTTTCCGCGGTAGGGTCAAATGTTACAAGCGATTGGCCTCGCCTAGAAATTCAATAAGTAACGGACCAGATACGAGTGATATCTCAAACTACTTACCTATCAGTCGCTTCATGACCTCTCTCTGCAACCGCATGGGCGCCCTTATTGATATGATCCGCATGCTCTTCATGATAAACACCAGGTTTCTCATCTCGCGGCTCAAAACCAATCGTTCTCTCCTCAGCATTAATAATTTGAGATCCCATTATGCAAAATGAAACGAGGACTTATAATTGAAATGATTACAGAAAATCCACTGACAAAATAGACGATAAAGTAAATAATTCATATTCATTAACGAGGATGCTGAATGAGAAATATATATAGCAGGCCTAGAGACACCCATTTTCCAAAGAAAATCTAGAAGTGGAATCAGCAGAAATAACCTGGGGAAGCGAAAATGCGGGGTTCACATCCCGCTAAAGTTTGGATTTTGGGGTGCCAAGCGTACCACTCCACCTTCAGTCCACTTCACATGTTGTAACCCCACAAACTAGACATTGCATACTCAGTTTCTTGGGAGCTTTTCGCCTCGAAAGAGCGTGTGGAATAGGTACTCGAGTATCATTTACTATCTAGCCGTGTGGGGCGTCGCTTAGAATTTCCTTGGCTAGTCGGAATCGGTCAGTCAACACGAAAGCGGGAAGTCTCCATGACTTATGTAGGTGCAGTTAGGACAAACTACTGAGCCGTCTACTTGTCAAAATAGAGGTTTGGAAAGACATTACCAAGTATGCTAAATGTTAATTAATCTGCCGCTCATCATTGCCAGAGTTAGAGGTGGGGATAAGGTAGTGAAGCTAGGTTACACAGAGATATTAGAGGTCGCCGTCGCCAAGTATGGATAAATACAGGCACTGTCAATTTGCGTGAAAAAAGCCATGCCGCGCGTGACTGTTTGCCACATTGTGGGGACGGGAGGCCTTGGCCTTTCCGCGGGGATTCTATGATATTGGTAGCTATGACTGCCCTTGATCCTGGACTTCTAATGCATGAAGGCGAACTGGCAGTCCTAACTGAAGTAAGTGTTCATGTCTGAGCAACCTTCGGGATGAGTGTTGGATATGTATTCAAAGATTTCAGACTGTGTTTAAATATTGGAAAACATTTATGTAAATATGAGTAGATAACATCAAAGATTTTCTATATCATAATCTCCCAGCATGCTTTCAAACAGAGTGATAAATATGTTTAACTGATCCACAATCGACGCGAATATATCACACTTGAATTAGTTATCCTTGGCTTGCCAGGAGCGAGGCTGGGGTAAAATGGCAATCGTCAGTATTTGAGATTACGCTAGGATCTGCGCAATAATCTATCAACTATTGGCAGATTTAGTTGGATTGTGCGTTGCTATGAACTTTACCGATGTTTATGAGCCCAGACTACAGTACAGGTCCAAAGACTGCCGGCTATGAGTAACGATTCGAGTAGGATCGATATACCAACAAAATCAGTGTACCCACTCTAGTTGAAACACCAAACAAATTCAATAGATCTGGTTTATTGAACTGTCATTCTTGCTCCTGGAAGCTCTTCCTCCATATCTTTTGTATCTCTCAATGTCGGTGATGTTTTATGCACCAGAGCCGTCTGATACCAACTTACAGACTCCATGCTGCTATAACATGCAATGCGATGGCGTGCTATGTCATGTTCATAAATTCCCGAAGATTTCCAAACTTCTCATATAGTAACACCACTCTGCCACCAATGCTCTCCCGTATACCACCCAACACCTATATGCTCCCAACACCACCACCCATGATCTTTACCAGCAAACCCAAGTCCTCTAAATATAGAAATAGGAATAGGTTCATAAAGCCAAATGCCCCCTCGAGCGAAATCATCCGCTAACCACCACCCAGTCAAAAGACCCCATGATAATGCATATACCACATTCGTTGTTTGCCTTATCGGCTTCGGTATCTTTTTGATGTATTTACCAAAAAGAGTGCAAAGGCCCGTTTGTAGGTATATCCCAAGAGCCTGCAGCATAAAGAATATAGGTGGATTCCAAGGTTTTGTAGAGGGAATTTGAGATATACTACCACTAGCATGCAGAACCCCAGATATACCAAAAGCAAAAATAGAAGCGATGAGTTTTGTAATTGAGCTTTTGGGGTTTAGATATCTGTTTGCGATAAGATGATTTGTTGGTGCAGAAAATATAAGGCGGAAAATTTGGTGCCAGGCACCTCCCCAAAGCCCAGCTAGGCCTTTATTCGCGATTACTGAGAAAGAACCCCAGGTGGTGGCGTAATACCATGGTTCACCTCTGAGACCCATGAAGGAGGACGGGCCAAGAAGTAAACATCCTGTGATAGGAGCAAGAAGGAAGGCCATATCTAACGAAATAAGGACCCCAGCTATTGATAACAGCTCGCGATATACACAGCGTATGAGTGGGGACATTGCTGCAGCATGGGCAGACATAGCATAGTCGTTAGGGCCAAGCCAAAAATATGAATCATTCATCATGGTAGTTTTAACAGCGTCAAGTAAGAAATATCCAATGATGAAGCGAGGAACTTGAGTTCGAAGAATTTCAAGCCTTGTGGTAAAGCGCTTGATTCCGGTCGAGGATTTATTATTCTTAGATGCTTCATCTGCAGGTTCACCCAATTTGGCATAGATGAAAGGGGGAGGCTTTGGGAGAGTGGAAATTGTCCAATTCCAGCCAGGTCCACGGAAATTAATGACCAAGTCAGATATCCAGTCGAGTCTCTCCCGGATATTATCTGGGTATGATTGCCAATAATATTCAAACTCTGTCATTCCATCTGCGTTTGATTGGCCATGGGTTGTCCCTACATCTCTTCCACTTGAGGCCTTTGAGCCAACAGTACTTCTACCTCCTTCTCCATTTATTCTTACACGCGGCCTTAAACCAGATTCCGTACTTTCTGCATATGCTGTAGCTTTTCCCTCGTTATCATGAGTGGCAGATTTGTATTTCTGAATCTTCCTCCTCTCAATCCTCTTAGCATCGAATTGCGGCCGCATAAACACCAGCCAGGTCAAACTTGTAGCGATACCATAAGAACTCATCAAGCCAGCCACAAAACTAATTGCCATATTCTTGCTGCTCGTATGCCAAAGCGTTTTGAGCTGAAACCATGTCATAATAGCCAACACTATCCACCGAGCCTTGTATAATATTGGTCGATTCGTGTGTCGCACAGAGAGATATATTCCTAACAATATATAGCCATAAAGATGATATGGCAGAACCATAGGTCGAAGTGTTCCTTCCGCTACACGATTTTCGAAGGTTCGCCGATGGGTGGCTATGACATCTTGCGGACTTGGGGCACCAGCCTGTTTTGCAGTGAAGAGGCTTGGCATTTCCTATTGCCTTGCAGCAGCACAGTGATTAAGGAGAAGAAGAGAAAAAATGGAATAGGCTCGGAAGTTGTGACTGCACTTCACAGTACCTTCTTTGAGATGAGAAATGTTTGACAAACGCAGCTGTCAAGTGGCGTAAATCAATTTGACGATATTTTGTGTGCCGTGAGACACTTCTCCCAGAACGCCAGGGTGAAAGATAGGATACTAACTCCTGCGCCCTTAATTTTTCTATGATTAAAAAATGCAAGGCGAACGACTCAATTGTTTTCGTCAAAGATTATACCTTCACAAGATCTTACATTTTTCCCGCGTCCATATCGATGAGGTCACTATGAAAGTATAGCCAAGGTCGAAAACAAATTGTGGGACTGCCTCTTTTTGTGTTGAAATTAAATAAGAACCTCATATTTGGTGAAAGTAAAACCAGGAGTATCAAGAGCATTGACTGTTGAATTGGTATTTTTTGGAAAACATTGTTGTGTCATATTAAGAAGGTAGTTCATGATGAGGATACACTCTCCGCCCTGTTATCCCGTCGATAAGAAATGGCAAGGCAAGCCCAGCTCAAGGACCAAGTGTGGCGCAAAACTGATGTAATCTCATCATACATTTTGGGAGTATTGAAGATTCTAATCAATTATTTCCATTTACCAAAAACACCGCTACACACATACTACACAGTACTCCAAAAGCAATATCAACCATATCCCAATAATTTAAATGTGCATCATGATTCTCATTTAATTCTCATCTCCATACATACATCCATTCCTTTCTTTCTTTCCATCCATTTAACTTTCTTTCCCCTGTCCCTTCTTCAGTTTATCTTTCTTCCCCTTCTTCAGTTTATCTCCCCCCACCCACACATATACGTATCCATCTTCATAATCACTAGCATTGCATTCAAGAACCTCTGCCATTCCATCCAACCACCCACCGATTTCTCATGCACATATATTCCGCACCGGAAAAAAAAAAGTAGTAATAGTAGCAAACACTGCCAGTTCGCACAGGAACGAGTGTTGTGAAAAGTAAAGTAGTTCGAAAACCTGTGGAGAAATTTCCAGATGTGTGAAATAAAACAAAGCGATTTCCATGCACCAAACAGATATACTTCGCCCAAATGTATTTGACGAAACGTGATTTATTCCCTTTCCCCAAAAACGCCCTTCGCCATTGGAAATATGGGTTTGATGAGATGATTGAAAGAACAAGTACTCGCAGCTGGTGGTATCTACGAAAAAAGAAAATGGAAATAATGGCAAATATTTCCTATGCCCATTAACCCATGCATATATCATCAAACTTCGGCCAAGATAGACATCACACTAGCTGCTATGCGCACGCATTAGGAGCTACAGAACTGCTTAGTACAGGTTCTGGGGAGGTTGGAATGTAGATCAGCAAGTGCTTACCCTTGCAAGTGGATCCTCAGCATCTGCCGTTACAAGTGAAGGACTCTCGACACTTCCATGGTTTATAGGGCCAGTGGTAGTGTATGCACGAGGCTCGATAGTCGGTCTCAAATGTGCTGGCGTGGGACTCGATGCAGGATGTTGGTTGCTACGGGTACCATTTTGCGAGTTGGGGCTCTCTTCATTGGCAGATTGCCTTACTTCCCTACCCTTCTCGAGAAGTGCTCCTCCGAGAGTTGCACATTTCAAAATCGTCTGGATCAGATGATTTTGTTTCAAAGGCTTAGAAAGATATTCATCCATCTGGGCTTGAATACATTTCTCGCGATCACCCAACATAGCATGTGCTGTGAGGGCGATAATAGGAGTCCTTTGCGTTCCAAGACTTCTTTCGTACTCTCTAATTTTAGCGGTTGCTTCGAATCCTCCCTAAAATAATGTTAGTCATCTCTTATACAAGAACTTGATTCAGGTTGCACATACCATGATTGGCATTTGAACATCCATGAGAATAACGTCGTATCGTTTCTCCTTGATAGCGTCGAGTGCTTCCTGGCCATTGCCGACCACGGTAACAACATGATGGTACTTCTCCAAAATCTTGACCGCCAAGCGTTGATTGACAATGTTATCTTCGGCCAGGAGGATATCGAAGGATTTGGTGTTGTCCGCCAAAGAAGGCGCAGCTCGGTTCTCCAAGGCAGGAATCATACCATTGCCAAGATCGATTGTTAAACATGGAGTGGTCATGTAAGAAGTGATACCAAGGTCCAAAGCAGACTTCAAGCTGACATGAACAACAGGAGCTAAGAGTACAATCGGGATGTACTTGAACTCATCAATTGATCGCAATTTTCGAGCAGTCTCAATCGAGTCCACAACGATCACATCATAAGTTGAAGCTATCTTCTCCTTTGTTCTTCCATTGCCGAGAAGGATGGTGTGCTGTTCAGAATCGACAACAACGGGGACCAAACCAAGTTGTGTAAGCATAGTGATTATTTCTTTGCCATGACCGGTTTGACCTTTGTCGATAAACAGAACATTGTGACCTTGATACGGCTTGAGTTGTTTCTGAATGAAGCTGATATCCGAGGTTGCGAGACGGACAGTACATGTGAAGTAGAACGAACTGCCCTTGCCATACTGACTCTTGACCCAAACATCTCCACGCATGAGGTTCACGAGTCTCTTCGAAATCGATAAACCTAGACCAGTACCTCCGAATTTTCTCGTCATAGATCCATCGGCTTGTTGGAAAGTGTCGAAAATCAAATTGAGCTTATCAGCTTGGATACCAATACCAGTGTCAGACACGCAGAACTCAACCGCATATTCGTTTGGCGCGCAATGATCTTGCTCGGCTTTTTGAATTGTCAATGAGACTTCACCATGTTCTGTGAATTTGATCGCGTTTCCAACCAAGTTAAGGATAATTTGTCGAAGTCGGAACGAATCACCAACAACGTGATCTGGTACTGAGCTATCCACACGGTAGGTAAGATCCAAGAATTTCTCATTTGCCTTCACAGCAAGTGTCTTCAGTGCATTGAAGACAGTTCCTCGAAGGGTATATGGAATTTCCTCCATAATCATACGGTTTGCTTCGATCTTGGACAAATCTAGAATATCGTCAATAATGGTCAATAAACTGTTGGCCAAGTTATGGACAATATTGAGCATTTCTCTCTGATACTGTGTAAGATCCGTATCAAGCGTTAACTGCGTCATTCCGATAATACCATTCATCTAATAATCCGATGTTAGCAAAAGAGCAGATATAAAAGGTTTGGGGACAGTAAAAAATTTTACTAAGGAAAGGTGTTGATGAACAGAATATATCTGCCACAGGGCATCTCAAAGTATCATGAACAAGTGAAAAGACGCTCCAGCTGGATGTAGGAGATGTTGGTAGAGGATGAGAGGGGTACTAACAGGTGTTCGGATTTCGTGAGACATATTGGCCAAGAATTCAGACTTTGTTCTGTTGGCAAATTCGGCAGCCTCCCTAGCCAAGGTGTTTCTCTGAATACTGTCCCTCAAGTTGTACACCATCTGGTTGATCTTACGTTTCAACTCATCCATTTCCCCAGATGCCTCGACAGTGATCAACTTTGTGAAATCACCATCCGTTGCAGCATTAGTAATATCACCAAAGGCGCGCACTTGTGTTGTCAAGTTGTTAGCCATGGTGTTGACATCAGTTGTAATCTCTTTCCAACGGCCCCCAATCCCAGCGACGTCGGCCTGACCACCCATCTTTCCATCCACACCCACATCCTTGGCGACTCTTTGCACCTCGTTGGAGAAGATACTCAATCTGTCTACCATGTTGTTTATGGTTTCTTTTAGTATGAGTATTTCACCCGCAGCAGCGACCTCAATTTTCTGACTCATGTCTCCATTGGCAATAGCTTGTGTAACCGTCGAGATACCTCGTACTTGAGTGGTCAAATTTCTGGCCATCGTGTTCACATTTTCGGTGAGGTCTTTCCACTTTCCTTCCACGTTATCAACTTGGGCTTGCCCGCCAAGAGTTCCGTCAGTTCCGACTTCCCTCGCTACCTTGCTAACCTCGAAGGCAAATGTGCCAAGTCTGTCCACCATGGTATTGATGGTGTCTTTCAGCGAAGCGATTTCTCCCTGCACTTCCACTTCGATCTTCTTGGTCAGGTCTCCTCTCGCGACGGCGGTAGTAACCTTGGCGATCTCTCGTACTTGTGTCGTAAGATTCATGGCCATACCATTCACATTTTCGGTTAGGTCTCTCCAAGTGCCTTCGACATCATGCACTGTTGCTTGTCCCCCCAATCTACCTTCCGTACCGACCTCCCTGGCGATCTTCGTGACTTCTCGCGCAAATTGTTGTAGTTGGTCCACCATGGAATTTATAGTCTCCTTCAACTGCTTGATTTCTCCCTTGCACTCTGCTTGAACCTTTTGAGTCAAATCACCCTTCGCCACAGCCGTCGTGACGATTGCTATATCGCGCACTTGCGTGGTGAGATTATTGGCCATGGCGTTGACGTTCACTATCAATGTGTTCCACATGCCCTGGACGCCTTCGATTTCTGCTTGTCCCCCGAGAATACCCTCCGTTCCGACATCTCTTGCTACGCGGGTGACCTCGGCAGCGAAAGTTCTTAGCTGATCCACCATGGTATTGATAGTTTGTTGTAATTGTAGTATCTCGCCCTGAGCCGGTCTCTCAATCTTTTGTGTGAGATCTCCATGGGCTACAGCGGTAGTGACGGATGCAATTTCTCTGACTTGGTCGGTGAGGTTTTGTGCCATAACGTTGACTAGAAACAATTAGTATATTCATCCACGTCGTTGGAATCTTTAACCAGATGGTAAAGCACATACCATTGTCAGTCAACTCCTTCCATGTACCGTCGACGCCTGAAATCTTGGCTTGTCCACCAAGGATACCTTCTGTGCCGACTTCTCTAGCTACACGAGACACCTCACTGGAGAATATTTGAAGCTGATCCATCATAGTATTGATAACCTATAGAAAGTTAGAAGGCAAAGAGTGGGAAAACTCTGATATGATAATGCTTACCCGCTTGAAAGTCGTAATCTCAGGGTCCATCTCCACGGAGTGGATTTGTACTTTCTTACTGAGATCACCCCTAGCTACAGCTGTAACAATTTCACCTATTTCTCGAAGAGCCTTTTGGAAAGCCTCGTTGGCTTGTTGATGCTTCTTTAATTCTCTTTCGAGTGCTGCTACGCGTTCGACCTCGAGAACATTAAGTGCCTGTTCTTGTCTCTGCTTCTGCTCAAAAAGTTGAGCATGTACACCGGCCAACTCTGATTTCTGACTATCAAGTTGTTTAGATTGATCGTCGACATGTTCGCGGAGTGCTTCTAGTTCCTCATCACTTAATTTTGTAAATTTGGGAGGTCGTTCACCGCCGGTGGGCGCTTCTCTTGCGGCAAGTAAGGAATTTACGAGTTGTTGTCGGGATGTAGTACTCTTCGAGGCTCGAGATGGAGCACCAGTGAGGACATCGGCGAAAGCAGATGGTGCTCCTATCTCATTCGGCGTATCAGGCAACACATGATTATTGGCTGTCGCTTTTGCTTCTAATCTCTGAACCCTTGATACCAACGCCGCAAGTTCTCGCTCGAGGGCAAGCTTCTCTGCTGTATCTGCACCTGGTAACCTAATCCCTTTGTTGCCGTAAACATTCGCCTGCGGAGAGTCGAGACTCAATACTGCGAGAGTTTGCAGGATCGCAGTCGTGTGAGCTATCGTAGTGTCCCCCATTTTGATCTCAAAATTTGCAGCCAGGCTGCTAAGTCGTCACAAATTATTTTCCCTCTACCATGAAGTCGAAAATGATTGTTGCCCGCTTCGACGGTGTCGGAATTTTCGAACTGTAAATCTAATACGAGGTGGTGTATGAAAGAGTGGACGAGCTGCAAGTTTGTTAGGGATAAGTTGAAAAGCGAGTCAAAAGACTTCACGATTGCATGACGCTCTTGAGGAGGGTAAAAAGGGATGAATTATTACAATGATTGGGAGCAGGATAAGAATCACCTCAAGTCTTTTGAAGATGTGGATTGTCTTTTCTTTCGTAGAAGTGCAACGGCCTGTCTCCCTTGTCAAGTCGACAACTTTGAACTCCACCACGAAGCGATAATGCCGATTCCCGATTGGAAGGGATTTAAAAACAGCACAGTCCCTGATAATAGAGGTGGGATACTAAGATAGAATTGATAATACCGAAAAGTGAAATCTGAAGAGTGGTAAATGTGTGCCGGTTGTGAAAAAGAGAGGGAGGGAGAGGAAGACCGAGTGAGAGAGTGAGAGCAGTTGGTAGATCAGGTCCACTAATGAGAGGGATGATTAAGGAAAATAAATTGTTGTCGTTGTCGTCGTCGTTGGCGTTTTGACGTCCGGATGTTTATCTCTACTAAATTCGTAGTTGGTCTTGAAAGAAAGAATAATCTTTCTATAGGGAGTAAGTAAGGTATGTACAATAGAGGATAGTAGGAATTGGATTAAAGTTTAAAGGCGATGTCCACCCGCAAGAAGCATTCGCTGATAGGTTTCTCTTCTCCTCTTTCCCTTCAATAATGTTATGTATGGATGGATTTGGGCAGATTTGAAGGAGTGAGTGTAGTAGTTATTAGGGTAGTTTAGCTAGTTTAGTCTCCCGAATTTCACTATCTAAACTTTATCAAGAGGCTTAGCGGTTTAGCGGTTGCTTCCACAGGGACCAAACCTTCCGTGAACCTTCGAACATATAATCTAGGTACCCAACTACTGCCTAGTGATTGAATAGAAGGGCTCTATAATTCACTAATTTCATCTAAGATTAGAATTTGTGATTAAAGTCAAGAAAGAAAAGTTTAACAAGAATACTAAGTGTCTAGATAAACAAAGAAAAGAAAATGGTATAACAACAAAGAGCCAATTACTCTACTAGTCCTTTCATCAGTCAGTGTTCTAATGATTCAAACATTGACAAATTCAATCTTCTAAAATATGTCAAGGCTTAATGAATGTCTTTCTTTGGGTATTGTCCATACCTAGGTAGTATCCGCTTTCTAACTTTTCTGACTTCCTTCGATTTTGTTCTCCAGATGAAATCTACCTATCACAATGAACATAGCATACCACACAAACAGTTGACACAAGCCCGTTCAACCTTTTGACCAGGGACAACAGAAAGGTAAGAAAGGTAAGAAACCTGAATGGCTTGTTTGTATCCGGAAAGCCAGGATACAGATGCCAACTACAACCCAAAGAGATGAACCGACGAATCGTAAGTCATGTCAAATTCTACACGACATCTTCTCCCCACGATAAATTACTTTATATTGGAGGAAATGATCTCTCTTTCTATCCAATGAACCTTCTCCCCGGTTTGTGCTCGCCTCAACAGGTATGCATGCAAATGTAGTGCTCGCCGACATCTACACGTTTTTTGCTTTTTTTCTCTCTCTGGGAATCTGTTGCCCAAGTAAGGTGGGAGGCGTACAGAGTCATGTCACGAGCCTTTGATAATGATAATGAGGCTTTGATTGTACCACCAAAGATTCCATCCATCAACGGTTTTTACTCGTGTTCATTCAAGATTCATCCCTTCAATCCCTTGAATCCCTTCTTTTACCAACACACTGGATCCTCTCCCTCGCATCACTCGTACAGCGAAACCAATCTTAAAAACTTCTCAATAATTTGGGGATGAACCTGGAGAGGATCAATTCTGCTACATCATACACTTCATACATTTCATACACTTTCCATTCATGAAACAAAAAGACCTCAGCAAAAAGCAAAAGAGAGAAACTTTCAACCCTTGATATATCAATCCAAATTATGATCACGAACCACAGAATTGAAACGTTTCAGATTTTCGATCAGCGAGTAGATCTCCGCGCCCGATCTCTTCTTTTCCGTTAAACGAGACAAGATTGACTGTACTTAGCAATGAACAGGCCTTTTGTAATGAAAATTTAACATTGATATTGGGAAAAGATCTTCTGCATTAAATTAATTCCTCTTACGGTGTATTGCCTGATAACTCTCAAGCAACACGCCTGAAAAGTTAGAGAGAACTTAAATACCGGATCTATTCCTACCGCTAATTCATCAATCCTTAATCCATAAGGTTAACCCATACATCCATTATCATTATCATGGTCACTATCCATTCAATTGATGGGATAATTCTCGGTTAACAGAACACTCCAATCATACTCACTCAAGACTCAACAGATACAAAAAGCCAGCAAAATCCCTCCATCCCTTCCTTCAACAAGCTTTCACAAATCAAAAGCCGGCATTACTAAGGTTAATGCACAATACATAATTTAATACTTTGCTTAACTTCCAGGATTGTGCATGCAAAAGGCCAAAGTGGCATGAATAAATAAATAATGAATAAATGAATAAATGAAAACCTCCACTATTTCACACCACTAACCATACCATACTATATTGGCGTAAACCAGTTGTTGTTCTTATTATTGTTGTCATCACCAAGCTAACCACTATCAATCAATACGTGCGGAGGCTGTGCACAACTTTACTTTCTTCTCCTTCCATTCATTCATTCATTTCATTTCATTATTCAATCCGTAAACTTTTCATCCTCCCATTAATAAATACCATCCATACCTAGGAACTTCCGTATACGGAAAACCCGAAAGAGCAAATTTAGCCAACAAAGCAAAACAAGCAAAAGCAGAGGCAAAAGAAACAATTATTCAAGAGCCGCTTAACTTTGACTTGAATATAATCATGTTATCCCTGTTTATTTAGATACTAACACCCTCTTTTTCTTTTCTTTGAGTAGGTGTAAGTTATAAAGAAAAGTATAGTATAATTAATTATTTGAGTTATTATTTTTTTTTAAAAAAAAGATAAGAATAATAATATATAAAGTAAAGTATAATAAAATATATATTAAATTATTTATAAATGTGACGGAAATCCCTGCTTTCCTCCCACCCTTATTATATAAGAAACCTCAGGTACATTAACCATGTCCACACATGATACGATTACTCGAGATTAGTATGCGATTTAGGTGACCTGAGGATCAGATCCGGACAAGTACTAGGTATCAATGGTTATCGGTAAAGTAAGATCATTGGAGGAATAAATATGACTTCTTTTGTGACGCCTCACACCTCCGGGTCACGTGGCATGCCCCGTTTGTATTTAATCATAGGAAAACTCTCTACTCTTGTCTTGTTGGGATGCGAAGACTCAACACCTGTACGCGGTGCATCCTACGAACCTCCAGCTCTCTTATGAGAGTCTGCAGAGCTAAGTTTGAGTTATTTGATGGAGTCGTGGTAATTGGAAGAGGAAGAGGCGCCCGATCACGACGTTTTTACCCGTTTGCGGTTTTTTGACAGTTGCATTATCGAAATGCGCTCTCTACAACACTACCTTTATTACGAAACAGAGGACAACACCATCATCTACGACAATACGCCACGAAATCATCTCACTTCTTAAAAGTGAGACTCCTCTGGAACATATAGTACAACTCGACATCTTTGACGCGTATATGTTATATACTGTATACCTCCCATGATCGACACGACTGAAACGACAACAATTTATATACCTTCCATACGGGAACACCGGAGGAGTACTGTTGAAGGACCTGAGCTGATGACGAAACTTACTCTGCTCTCATTCAGCGGAGGTATGCTACTTACGGAATCGGGACACCCGTACAAGCCACTACCTGTGCATGCTATAGTTACGCTATATGAGGATTGGTGCTCCTTCATAAGCTTTCTATTAGCAGGATGATCAGAATGAGGACGAGGCAATCCTGACGGTGGGCGATTACAGTACGTTCTGGTATATAAGGAGTAATTGGATTGATGGTATCGGGAAGGGGATCAGGGATGAAGGGTTTTCGAGTACAATGTTTTAATAGTATGAGGGGAAGGGAGAGAGATCAAGAGCCAGTGATCTAGTGGACGAGGATGACCACAATTACAACCCCAAAAGGCCTACCGGCCCAAACCCCCCCTGCGAAGGCAATCATGTAAACCCTGCCCTAGCCCCCTTTAAATTGTATATAAATACTCCCCCTAGCTAGCTAGTAAACCACTCAGAGGCTTCTCCTCTGAGCGTCATTTGTCCAAAACTGGAATAGATGGCTAAGGTTATCACGCGCCAAGGCGCGTGGGCCTACGGCCTATGACGATAAACACAATCAATCAATCAATCAATCTCTACTCTTGTTTTCCTTCTTCTTTTCTCCTTAGCTTAGTATTTTCTAATACAAGATACTTTACCCAGTATTCTTGAGTGTGACATCTTTTTGCCTAGCCATTGCGGCTAGGCCATTCATTTGTGTATATATAGAGTAGCTATCCCCATCTACAGGTGCTCTTCACCTGTAGATTCTAAGTTAAATACAATTGCTGGTCTATAAACACCCTTTTGGTCACAATAAATAATAGATTTTTAAATTTATTCTTTCAATCATTTTTAAAAATTAAATATTGATAATTTAATAACAAAATATTAAAATATATTAAAAGGAATGACCTCACACAGGGAATAGTGGGAAGCTGATAGGGCAGAACTGAGGCTATATTGGTCTAGTATATTAATCACTCACTATTTAAGTGTCACGATTCATTAATTCACGTGACCTCGAGGACCTTTTGGACCTTAGGGTCCCAAAGGTCCTCAAAAGATGATATAGGGTATATAAACATTCATTTAGTCTCGTAGTTAAGGAGCTTTGTGCTCAACTTAGTTATCAATTAGTTTACCTACATTCTACTTGATCTAGTAACGACTTCACTTCCAAGTGAAGACCAGTGATAATGTGACGCCTCACACCTCCGGGTCACGTGGCATGCCCCGTTTGTATTTAATCATAGGAAAACTCTCTACTCTTGTTTTCCTTCTTCTTTTCTCCTTAGCTTAGTATTTTCTAATACAAGATACTTTACCCAGTATTCTTGAGTGTGACAGATAAAGCCTTAACCCACAACTACCAACCAGACGAAACCTTAGGCAGCCGCTGCCTCCAGTATAGTATCGTTACACATTAATCTTTTTATCGTTTTTACAAAACAAAAAAAATCCTATAAATAAAATCTTACAATCATTTCTTTTTTTTTTAAATGTCCATCATTAATATCCTTTATTAAAAATTTATAAATTCCTATTTAACATAAAATTCTTTATTCAAAATACCTACCCCTCTATCCCTTTATACATCCTCGTCACCTCATCTCTATATCTCATCTCATCACCTCACCTCACTCCACCATTCTAACACAAATCTATCAATCCACACAACCAAATCCAACCAAACCCAAACAAATCCAATCTCATACACATCGCCCTTCCCCTCTATTACGTTGTAACATTATAACTATTATCATGTGTTATAGGATCACATGAATAGTCTTGTGAGGGAGCGAAGGAGCGAGATTCGAATCTCGCTCCCCAGCTCCATCGCTCCAATGTTGGAATACGAAGGTCTATATAATCAAGATGGATTCCCTTTGTATAGAGCTTCGTGCTCAAGATCAAGATCAATCATTTAGTATACTCTACTATTAGTTACGAATTGCATTATTGTCATTACTTTAAGTCCCTGCTTGACGCCTAGTTATAAACCACCTCGAGAGCCTAGAGCACTTCCACGTGATCTAGACGGCAAACCTCGTAACACCCTCCTTCAATTCAAAAATCCCAAAATCCAAAATCCCAAAATCCAAAATCCCAAAATCCCCAAGCCCTCAAGCCCTCACTCCGAAAAAAGAATAAATAAATAAATTATTAAAATTTCATATTTCTATATACCTACAAACCTATATACCTACAGAACTACATATACCTATACCTATACAGCACAGCACATTCATCTACATATACCTACTACTACTAGCTAGACAAAGACACGCCTACACCCGCCTCTGCAATATCATCTCAATCCATATCGAACCATTGAGTTCCTTCAGCCCAGTCAGTCCCTTCAATCCAGCCAAACCAAGTAAAGCAGCCAGTCAGCTAGTCAGCCAGTCAGCCAGTCAGCCAGTCAGCCACCAGAAACCAGAAACCACCTACCGTCAAACAACACCCATACACCCCTCTCCTACCTTATGACATATCATCTCAATAATTAACTAATAATCAACTTCTCCTTCATTTCCACCTATCCTCCTCACACATACTTCTTCTTCCCCTTCCCCTTCCCCTTCCTCTTCCCCTTCCTACACCTCAAACCCTAACAACATCGAAACTCTTCCAAATGCCCACCGAAAACATAAGAGATCTTTAAAACCCCCAAAACAAAATATGCCAGTGGTATCTCTCAGTGAAAAAAAAAAACGCCATCCATATTAAATCCCTCCCCCTTCATTAAAACTCATAATTACTACCCATCATGCATTCGGACCCTCATTTTATTCTCCTCCCGAAGAAAGACCAACTCTCCTCTACCTTCTCGGCAAATTATTAGCCCCAAATCTTGGACCACCTCCACTCGCCAAACTCTGTCTCACAATCATTTCCGCCGCTGCAGCGGCTGCCAATCTTTCCTTCTGTCTACTCCTATCTCTTAAATAAGGAGTTGCTTCCGGTCTCATCCTTAAAATCCTCAAGATCATGTCATCACTTGGATCTGCTTGTGCCTGTTTCCTCTTTTCTTCCTTTGCCTTTTTCATCGTTCCCAAATTTCGGCTTAACATGATACTCTTACTTCTAGCCATTGGAGTCGAGCCCATGAGGCCGCCAAAGGAAGCACCAAGAGTAGCAGGTGCAGAGAGACGATTGCGTTGTTGTTGGGCACGTTGAGCGGTCGCTGTGGCCATTCTCTCAGAGGTACGGATGAGGTTGTCGGTGGTGTCAAAGTAGAAGAAATTGAGTGAGGCGAGTTCGTGATATTTAGGGGATTTAAGAACGTCAGCCGGTACTCCCATTGCCTCGCCAGTTTCTTCATCTCGAGCATAGAAAAATTCGAATAAAAGTTCAAGCCATTTAAAGACAATGTCCATTTCTTGCTGCGTGAGGGGTCTTTGAGTCGATGGCTTATCGGAAAGAGGTGGAACTAAAAGACTCTCGAGGGCAAGGAGAACTTCCTTCCATAATCGAGTCATGACCATAATCATGGATGCATCCGTTAAAGTCTGCTTCATGATGGCGAAATTCTCATCAAAGTAATTGAATAGAGGCTTTAAAGCATTTTCAACATCTTGGGGAGTTAAGGTCGGGGCTACCGATTGTCGGTTCTTCCAGAGACTAGTTACAGATGCAACTGAAATACCTCGAGAGAGTAAGCCTCTCAGAGATTCTTGTGAAAGAGAGCTGTTAATGTATTGTGACAGCTAGAATTGTTAGCTCACGTTCTTGACTTGCGGTTTTTTAGTCATACCTTATCAGAGATCTTGCGTGTCATGTCCCTTTCTGTTCTTTTGAGCAAGCGAAATGCTTTACCGAAATAGAATTGAATATCATCACGTTCCCCCTCCATACTGACACGCAAAAGTAATCTACCTTGGGTATCGAGGTTGAGCCAATACTCACGAGGCATATAATCGCTGAAGTGAGATGGATCCAACTTCAAAGAAGTCCTCCCAACATAATCATGATCACCAAACGTGTCCCAATCCCAGATGGTCGCAATGATGTTCAATGGACCTTGCACAGTAATATCCACTGATTCATCCCAACGAGGATTGAGACTTCTCATTACCACTCGGGTCTTAGCTAAACGCTTTTGATATTCATCACCGAGAACGACGTAAGGATCGCTAGTGCCATTAGGGTCACAAGCCTTAAGGTCCTCGCCTTCAACGATCTTGATGGTGAACACGTATTTTGCAGTTCTTCTCTTTTTCTCTACCGGCGGTGCATTCTTAGCAAGAAGATCCGCACATGCATCGACATTTATTGTCTTCTCAAGCGCATCAAGTTGCTGCACAGCATACTCGATGTTGTTGAGCTTAACAAAAGACTGCGGTTTCATTAGAATCATCCTATTATCTTGCATAAAAGAGACTTACTTCGGGATAGAATTGAAAAGGTTCTATCTTTTCCTTATTGTTCCAAGCCTCCTTGGCAAGTTGCATCCACCTTTCCTGTTTCGACTGTGTTGCCGCCGCTTCTTGTGCGGGAGACAACCTGTCCATCTCTTTAGAGAACTTCTGCTCGATGACTTCGCAATATCTGGCAAGTCCAATGCCAAAAGATTTCGACAGAGCCGTCATAAATTTAGCGTGCTGAATCGTATCGGCCCAGTTAAGTTGAAAGATCTGATCGGCCATCTGATTGAAGAGACGGAATATATCAATGATAGACACACTGTGACGTTCATCGTCTGATGGGACCTGGTCAGGATTATCTGAGCGAACTTGAAATTGGTCTTGTTTGATAGCCTGATCAACAAGATCAACCGTTTTTGCATCGGCAGTGCGAATCCACCGCCAAACAAAATCAGCAAGCAAGTCTTCTATATTGAAGGCGAAGGATCTACTTGGTAGAACCTTGTGATGAATGCTGCGGATCTCTACAAGTTCCTTATAGAGATCAAACCCGTCTTGTAGAGGAACTTCGCTTTCATTAATATGTGCTACGTGTAGAATTCTCTTAATCAAATCATTGGCATCGTCCTCGAAGCTAGGAAACATCGTCTCGACAAGGATTGTCAAAGGGTTAACGCCCATTATTTCAGGGTTCTTTCGATACCTCTTCTGGATCCGCTCACATAACTTTACTACGGATTTCCCGAGCTGAACAACGTGGAAAAATTCCCACTCCTCCTGATTTTGAGGAACTTCTGCTTCAAGGTAGTCCCTATACACATCCGCAGCTTTAGATTTAAGACCTTCAGTCAACTGTTCAACATAAGCATCGTAGCCGCCAGGGCTAGTGGAGAACAAAGGATCGTTTTTGATATGGGTTTCTAGGATAAGTAAAACTGGGCCAGGGGAAGGCGGCTTAGCCTCATAACAATGTTGTAGGAGATCATATAGATCACGGAGAAGTGCATCATGCAAGTTTGTCAGAATTTGACGGTACAAAGCAAAATCATGGATCGTCCAGTCGTTCTGATCGATAGAGGATAGACTTGCAGAATGTGTGTGCGTATGTAAACGCTTAGTTTCTGAAGGCGGGGGATTTTTGACAAACTCAAAGGCACTATCAAGCCCATCAAGTCCAATTTCCTGATCCATAAATTTTTGGCTCGCGACATCCAAGAATAGAACAAGCCTTGAAAATTGTGGAATTCTCCAGCGAACACATAATTCCGTCAACAACTCTAGAGACTGTTTGCTGAGGGGTTGATTCTCAGCCCCGTCAGCCTGAGCGTGGATCTGATCATAGGTCATGGCATAAGTTAGGATTGTTCGGTAATACGCTCGTGTATCTGGCGGTATAAATGTAAATGTGGATTCTTCGAGAAATATCTTGGAGGGCTCATCGTCCTCCAGAGACAACGAAGACATATCCGCGGGTTGATCGAAATTGTAGGCTGGGCTTCCATCTATCGGACTTGTGATGGCTATAGACTTGGCTAAGTCTGCATACGCTTGATCTTCGGCACCCGAAGAGGGCACGGAAAGTGGTGGGAGATTCCTATTCTTGCCAGTGGAAGCTTTGACAAGATCTGGCCTAATTTGCAATATTTCGGATATCATTGCCGTAAGCTCTGGTATTTCTGCCCGCTTCCATGCTTGATATCCTTCATCAACATCAAAATCCTCGCTTCGAAGAGTCCTTTTAGTGTTCGCATTCAGGCAATGCTGGTAGGATTTTAAATCAGTGAGCGCTGCAGATTCCGTCCAGATATTCTTGTTCAAGTCAATGTCTGTTTGGACCTCCGAATTGCTCATACCAAATATTTTTCCAACAACTTGTGCCATGGGCATGTCTTTGACATCGTAGCTCACCGGTGCAGTCACTTCTATTGAATGCCCACCACCAGGAGCGGTAGAAGAGTTAACATATAGATCTTGCGAATTCGTCAATAACTTATTCTCCAAGGTCGTCAGACGACTCATCAGCTCAGGTCGATCTTTGTCTTTGTCAAGGTCCTTTAGAGTTGCACTAATCAATCTCACGAAGAGTGCCACATGGCGATCCACGAGGATTTTCCACGATTCATCATCTGCTGCCTTGCCTTTCTGTAGGGATTTAGTGGTATTTGAATAGAATATCAAAACCAAATCTTCGACACGTCTCTCCTTATCCATACGTTTTCGAAAGCCTGGTTCGGTAAGAGCTGTGTACGCCTCGGCGAAGGTTCTTTTGACGATGGGTTCTTTGTACTCTGGCCGCCTCTCAGTTCCCGTCAATACTCCCTGCAACCGCTTCTCCAATTGCGACATGAAGCCATGGGGAAATTTGGTTTTTGTATCCTTCAAGAGAGAGAAATCCTGCATTAACTCTCCTATCATCACACTCTTCCTTGAGACCATCTTCCTCTCTGCGGGGACATATTGTTTCGTCTTTCTTCGAGGCTGAAGGAGGTGGTGCAGGTATGCCACTCTGAGGGCGAATGTATATGCATCGGTGTAACTCACAGCTTTCGGTCGTGATCGAGAACTATTTCGAGAGATAGACATGCGCTCGTCATTTGCGAGACTGTTCACTCGACGGTTGGGCCGAGTTCGAGAGGCGGATGACATTTTGTCTTCCCGCAAAACACTTATGGGGCAGATCCAAAGAGGAGAGGGAGAGGGAAAGGGAGAGGGGAGGATGTTGCCAAGTCGTAGTTCAAAGCTTCTGGGAAACCAAATTTATCTTTTTGGAAGATGCGATTCCAGATTCTGACGCCCTCTGAGTTTCGTGTGATAGCTGTAAGAGCATTAATATATCTTGACAATGAAAAGCGATAGTAAATTCAAATATGCAGAGAACGAATGGGTTGGTTATTGAGGTAACCTTTTTTTTGGGTAGATGTATGTCAAGGAGAGGCGTAAGGAGGAGTAACGGTAGGGCAAATGCCAGCCTCATGAAAATGGGGGAGGATTGAGATTGGGAGAATACCTTAATTTGGAGCCGCTAATGTATTTTTTCAGGGGGTCAGATGGTCTATTAAAGTGGCTTGAATGCTTAATTTGGGGGACCAAGTTCCAAAGTTGTTTCTCTATAAAATGGTGCGTGTGTGCATTGATCGTATTCTTTTACTCTTCTACGAGGTGTGTAGCAGTAAAAGAAGCTTCATAAAAGAATTCGAAGGGGAAGTGAATGTGTTCAATATTAATGCGAGGGGTAAGATACGGGAAAGGTAAGGAAAAGGGAGTGAAGTTACAAAAGGGATCATTTGTCTTGGGATTGATTAATTTAGATGAAGAAGATTGGTTGATTCAATTAATTCGATTGATTCATGATCGAATGTTGTTTTTATTCAATTTCCCATACATAGCTGTACTTCATAACAGTATCGTGTACCTTCATATCATCACCCACCTTATCATGTTATATACTAACCAATATCCCTTAAGCTTCTTACCAGAGCTTTCTTGACTTGTCTAAATTGTGTAATGAAGTTTGAGGTTCGAACTGTGAAGCTGAAGTATCCTTTACTCCAAGCACATATATGTTAACGTAGGTATCAAAGAATATTCTGTTGTGAATATATATGATTGATTGTTCACTGTTCTTATGACAATGAGGGCATACATGCACACCTATCATTCTCCAGTGCATGGGCACTAACTGTTTTGATCCCGCAGCCTAAGAACGCTCTGTCGGGAACTGTGAGCCAGTCTATTTATTGCCTCCTGATGCCTGAAAAGGAAGAAGAAGAAAAAGAAAAAGGAAAAGAAAAGTAGCTAGGTAGCATACATACCCGCTAAGGTCATAGGTGCGGTGGTTTATTTGCCGTGGCATTAATTAAATTCACCACTAGTAGTCAACACTGCTTCCACTGCTTCCACGCCGCAATTGGTCGATAGGTCGATAGGTCGATAGGTCTTAGCAATTGGCCCCGTTCATTCATCATCCACCACCATTCATTGATTCATTGTATTAATCCGTCCATCAACTTCAACCACCGCAAGATAATGCCATAAAGCATTATATTGATTTGGTCAACAAATCCATCAAGTGAATAATAGTGGAATCATCGCAGATAATTTTATCGCTACATGATCACTCTATATATCATCAAGTATGCTGGTTGCTCATACAGAGGAAAGTAGTACTGCCACCACCGTGATCGATCCCATATAAGACTACAGCACAACCCGCATCCTCCGATTTCCAACTCCGCATCATTATGACAGCCCACGTCCCTCCTCCTGATCCACAGCTCGATGATATCGTATCACATTCCGAAGAACTGTCTCTTTTATGTCCAAAAACTTCGGCCGCTGCACAGCCTTCTGATAATTCCATGTTACTTGATCGTGCTTCCGGTGGTGCAATGGCTACACCAACATCAACCTCCGGAAAGGCTGACGAGGCTGGGATCGATGCGAGGACCAAAATTTCTAGTTTATTAAAGGATAAGGAACGAGAATGGACCGCTGTCGTGGAAAAAAGGACCGGTCCTTTGCGATTGTTGGATTTACCTATGGATGTTCTGAAAGAAATTGTGAAGGAGGTAGACTGTCCACCTCGCAGCCTCATCGTCCAAAGCTAATGGGATATTTAGGTTACGCATACGAATGACTTGACATCACTTGCCCTCACCCATTCTGCCTTGCACAACCTAGCAATACCTTATATTTATTCGCGGTTTGATATCGTTTGGCCTGATGCACACGCTACGTCTGATCCGAGGACCGGAGTCGATGCACTTACTTATGGACTTTCTACTCTCTGCATGGGCAACGCATTCCCCAACTCGAATCTATCCCAATCTTTCGTCTGCAAGCATTGCGGGACAGATAATTCCACAACCTGCAGCCATGAGGTCAAACCAGAGCCCTTCAGTGCCCCCAGACGTATGGGGAATGAATATCCACAGTTTACTAGAAAGTTCTCCCTTGGAAACGGACCAACCGACTGGGTGCAGGAATATCTTATAACAAAAGAGAGTGGAAAGATGTTGGGTACTCTTGTTGCGCTGGCCGTGGCCAGAATGATAAATCTGGAAACTTTTGTCTGGGATATGCCCACCGGGGTGTTGAGGGACGTTTGGCTTGCCCTTTCCTCCTTACAATATAAAAATCCAAAACAAGAATGCCGGTTAGAACGTGTTTGGGTTAGGTGGCATGATAATACGGAAGCCATTCACATGTCCTCAGCACAGAGCCCAAGCTCGCCCGCCATTACCACGAACCAAATGTTAGCTGGAACGACGATGAGCTCCATAGGATGGATCGTGCCCCCCGGTTCTTCAACAAGCTCTACACCTTCTACACAGACCATGGCGTATGCACAAGGTCGTGTAGAATATCCTACACTCAGCGTACTTCCACCATTACAAAGTTTGTCTGTGTTAGACATTGATGAAATAGATTATCTAGACGAAATGAGTGTCTTGGTAGAGCGATCGAAGGACAAACTTCGGGAACTTCGTGTTGGTATTTCCGCGAAAGCCATTCAACGCGATTTTGCTCTTCCATGGGACGGGCCTGAGCTCCAACAGGTTGATCACAAAGCGAAGTGGCCTGGTGCCAGTAAGATTGGCGAGCGAAGATTGGGCGGAGTCTTAGGAATCATCCTGGGCCGTGTATTCGATGTTCGGAACAAACGGAGGGCAAAAAATGAGAGAACGAAGGGTCCTAAATTGGGTTCTTTCATGGGAAATAGTCAGCCGTCGGCCCAGCAAAATGGCAGCAATGCTACAGAAATAGTACTTCCCGAAATCGCAGGAACTGATCCTATGGAGCCCGGCTGGATTGATAAAGAAAGTCCGGCAGCGTCAGGTTCACTTAACCCGCCTGGTGTAGCATTCAATATCGAAGCAGACTCTCTTCCAGATAATGTTGATCCTAGCCAGGAACAATCAGCATCGAGTACCCTCTTGGCGCCTCACTCTGACATGGACTCACTTACCGCGCTAATATCTGAACATCAACTTAGCTCGAATGATGATACTACAGTCCACGATATCTTACAACCACCCGTGCTTTCCGATATTCCTGCAGAACCTCCTTTGCGACGTGCCCAATCATCGAATAAGAAGCAATCACATTTTTCCGAAATCTCTCCCAGTGGCAGAGACAGACTCGAGGGAAAACTACGCCTACAAACATTGGAACTGGAACGGGTTCCTTTATCTGTGTATGTGCTGCATAGAGCCTTTGACTGGACCGTTTTAACAAACTTGACTATTCTCGACTGTCCACAACACGATAAACTTTGGTCCACACTTAGAAAACATTTTGCACCTTCACCTTTAGGCAATCATACTTCAGCGAAACATAGCACTCAAATGTTATATCATCTGAATCTTAAAAAAGTACATACTGATGCTGCATCCCCTTCCCTCATTTTATTTCTGAAAGAAACATTAGCACCAAATACTTTAGAAACACTGTTTTTACAGGATCGAAGACGTGCATCAAACTCGTCGGTTACAATTGTAAGTTTTTACATCATTGTAAAAAAATTTAGTCGAGCGCTAATCGAACTATAGGAATCTATCTATAAAGGGCCACTTAAGAGACATCGTGCTAGTCTTAAAAAACTATTATTGGATAGCTCCGAAAGGCCACCGAGAAATGTGAATAATTCAGTAGAGTCTTCCTCGAAATGGAAAGCCTGGATGCCCAATCGTGATGTCCTGAATTTCATCACAAGTGGGCGTATGACCAATCTCCGCGAATTAAGTATTGCAATCGACTACAGAGACTGGGTAAGTCACTTTGGGATCATTATTAACATACATTCCAAGCATTCTTGAAATGCTGTCACCGTGTCGTTACAATGTCTAACAAGGTCTAGCATCACTTTCTTCAACGCCTTCCTCAAATACCTCAGCTCCGCTCTCTCAGCATTCCTTTCATCGCCGATCATATCACACCCTTATTCGACCCTAAAGAACTCGCTCATCAAATTCTTGACGTCATTTTCCTCCGCCCCGAAGTAGAACTCTGTTACGTGGGTATCTCGCATAAATGTTTTGAAATCCTCGAAAACCGCCATCATGAAGAACCCTTGCCTTTATCGCATGATTCTCACACATCAGCGGCGAACGGCGGTCCCATAACCGACGATGAGGAGGACGACGAGGATGAGAGTGAAGATGATGATGAGATGGATGAAGAGGAAGATGATAATGTGACGGCTATTGCTCCTATTGATCCAGACGAAACAGAGGACGAGCTGTCGGATGGTGATGGAGATGATGATGGTGAGAGTGATGAAGATAGTTGGGACGGGGCGAGTGATTGTGATGGGAAGGGAAGAGTGAGGTTAAGGTTGAGGGAAATTTTATTTTACGATGATAAGGTTGCTATATTTAAAGCGAGGCACGGTAGACTTTGATGATATGGACGGGTTTTCTAGGAGTATTATTCAGTTAAAAGGGGCATTTACAAGGGGAGAATGTAATGATTGGGGATATGATAGGGCTTCGCATGGGATTTCATGAGGCAAAAAAACGAAACGTTGATTAATCGATTTGATCTGGCCACGATATAAAATGGAGAAGCACAAGCTTTATACGTATTTATCTTTTTCTTACTCTCTTCTGCTTTCACTGCACGGGGGAATCGCTTCAAAGGACAAATAGCCATGGATTACAGAACGGGATGGATGCTTTCTTTTACTAGGAGTATGTTGTGTATCAAGTGGCACAATGGTTGCATGGATGGAAGGATGGCTAGTTACCTACCTAGCTAGCTAGCTAATTGCATTATGGTATATCGGATGGATGGATGTATGTACGGATGTATGTACGGATGTATGAAGCGAGAAATGGAATGAATTTAAAAACTTTTGGGATTTTAATTTTAACTTAAACTTAGATAGGTTACTTTTACTTTGAGAAGGAAAGGTAGGTAGTTAAGACTAATTGTTGAAATTCTGTGGATGGATTGTTTGATTTTTTTTGTGATCTTTTTTTGGTTATGTATTTTGAACTTTGATTTATGATTTGTGATGTCCTTTTCGATTATGAGGGTAGGAGATATTTCCTGATTCAATCTCGGTTTTATATATTTAGTTTGAGGTAATGTTCTGCAGATAGGGTCACAGTTGGTTGAATGTGATCTTATATCAGGAAATTAAGTACGTTACACGCTTGCTATTTGGTATTCTTATATTTGATTGCTTCTCCTGTATGTATTTCCCCATCCCGTTCCAATAGCCCATACATACATACTTCTAACAAACAGTATTTACGAGCACAGACTGGTATGATATACATTTTCCCCTCTATATACAATCCCAAACCCAATACATCCACACGATAAGACCGAAAACCAAGGTCCAAAGACCGAAAACCATAAGCAAAAGCCAGAAACACAAAACAAATCATCAAATCATCTCATCTCATCATCTTCCCCCAATCTGACTCTTAGGAATAGGTTTCACCCACGAAACAGCCAAATTAACCACCACCGTAAAAACGCCAATAATCCAAAAACACCTCGCATAATCCCTCCCCTCATAGCGAAAAATAATCGCAAATATTATCCCCCCCAAATTTCCACACCCACCCACCACACCACTAATAATCCCATTAGCGGACGGATGAACATGCGGCACGAGGGAAAAATTCGCCCCATTGCCCGCCTCGAGAAAAAGTCCCATGCCAGCTACAAGTCCAAACATCTTCGCATGTTCATGCGGATCTGTAAGTCCGATGGCGATTAAAAAGGCGCCGGTTACGAGCGCTAGAGCATGCAGCCAGAGTTTCTTTGCCCACACGCTTCCTGTAGCGCGGTAGAGGAAATCAGAGAAAATGCCGCCGAGGGGGCGGAAAATCACGTTGAGGAGGCCGAACATGGCGGCCCAGCGGCCGGTGCCGGCTTCGCCAAGTGTGGGGAAGTTTTTGAGGTAGTAGGAGCCGAGGATGGAGTTGATGGCTAGTTCGGCGCCGAAGGAGCAGAAGTAGCAGGAGGCGATTAGGAGGGTTTGGGGAGTGAGGATTATGTTTATGGCGTGCTGGAGGGAGGGTTTTTGGATTATTTCGCCGTGAGCTATGGTGAGCATTTCTTGGGGTGGGAGGTCGAGGGAGGTTTGGTTGGTGTTGTTGTTGTTGTAGGGGGTGGTGGTGTGGTGTTTGGCGGATGAGATTTGGGCTTCTTCTTCGAGGCGTTTTTCGTTGTTGAGAGTGGAGTTGGAGGATGAGGTTGAGGTTGGGTTGGTGGAGGTGTGAATTTTGTCGGATTTGCGGTCCATGATGGAGCCTGGTATGGAGACTATGTTTTCGGATGGGCTGTGGATGCCATGGGCTTGGAGATTTTGTTGCACGGCGAGATGTCGTTGTGACCATTTGCCTGTGGGGGTGTCGGGACAGAGAATTAACATCGATATGGCGGTAGTGGTTATGAGTATGAAGGGCACGATGAAGGATATTCTCCAAGCGACGTGAGCGGTAAGACCTTGGTTTTGTATAAGAGAGTCGACAATGGCTGGCATGACAAAGTAAGTTATTCCACCTCCACTGTAATATCATGTCTTAGTATATGATTATTGATATGCAGAATGTCATAGATTAGGGCAGTACTCACGCATTACCCCAACCACCCGTCAATGCATTGGCTGTACCAACAATATTCTTATCAAAGAAACCAGTAGACCATACTTGACAAGGAACGAAAGAGCCACCAAGTATACCGATGAAGAATCGAAGAACCATAAGACCGGTTGCAGTTTTGACGGTACCAGCAAGAGCAGTTGGAATAGCACCAAGGAGAAGGCATCCTGCAAATGTAAACTTGGGGCCGAAATGGTCGCAACATGGACCTGCGACTACTCGAACCAGGAGGCTATAGGGAAGTTATTAGTATAGTAAGGGAAGTGACCATGCTTTTATACTTACGTAGCGACAAGAGCAATGATGTTTGAGTTAGCAATCTCATTTTGTGTAAGATGGAGATCTTTCTTGATGGTGAGAGATAACTAGAACATATTAGATGCTGGAAAGCAAGAAGTGATAGGAGTTAGTCATACCAATGGCGGAAAGGCATACCTGATATAAGGGTTAGCATAATGCAAGATCAATATAAAGGTATTATAGGATCACTAACCAGGACCAAAAGGCTATTAAGAAACCGAACCAGGAAAAGAAGAAGACTCTGCCATATTTGTTGAAAGGGTTGAGGATTGGGATGGAGCGAGCTTTTCCATTGACAGGATTAATCTCTGGCGCTTGCCAAAGTGTTTGGACTTTGAACATGGTAAAGCTAGTGCAATATCTGAGAAAAGAGCTGTTGATTTGAACTCAGCCTGCTGAATATTTCAATGCAACTAGTTCTAACTTCTTTAATATTTAACTTGAGAGGATATACAAAGGATGATAAAGTGCTGATCATCTAAATGATGAAATTGATTCTTAAACGTATATATAAATTATGAAATGATATAGCCTGAGATTATAGATAAGTGACGTCCACCCACTGGCAGTTGAAGCATCTCCGGGAGAGTGATATTAACAGCGAGTAATCGATTCCTCGGACCACTTCCCTGCGCGGATCCACGGTAAACCAGAGGGCTGGTGCGGGTGTTCCACGCCTGGTCTGTATTTGATTGATAGATAAGGTCCAAGCCGGGTGCAATATGGGGAAACCAACTATACAGATCTCCAGATGAGGGGTTCTAGGTGCTAGCGGTATCTGGTGGCTGCTAAACCAAGAAGATGTGTATCTGAGATGTCATAGATTTCCGAGGTGAGCCACAACAGTAGATAAATATTTGAAGGCGACTCTGAAACTAGTCCTCGAATCATACGCGGCTGATATGATATTTTTGTGGTAAAGGGACAAAGCTTTCGGGGAATATCAGCGTAGTATTGATATTCAAGATTGACCACCTTGAAATTGGAATTGGAATTGGAAATGAAGGGCTTTCAACATTGGTGTACCTCGGAAGCTGAAAGAATGGCAGCAAGCAAACGGTACCGTGAAACAAGTGGCTACTCTGTATTCATGCTCCTAAGCATGAATGTAGTCAATTCCTCGTGATCGTGGCCTTGGGCGGCGGTGATATTCTAATCGAGGTCAATCATAGACACTTTTCATAGATGAATAATCGCACTGACGACTCAAGACAACCTTATCAAAAGAAGTCTAGAGTAAATAAACCTTAAATTCAATACCACCAATGACGCCGTCTACAATGTACCATGACTTTGTCATCACTGGCTAAAGAGTGGTTGGCAGCAGTTGGTGGCTTGTGAAGTCCCTGAAGGGGAGATGAAAAGTTTGGATTGAGGGAGTCGCGTCGTCGGTTCTTATCTTTGACGAGGCTTAGCGAAGCCTAGAAAGGAAATAGACCCACCTCGTAGATAAGGATTGTGGGGGATATTTTTCAAGATCTTCTTGCAAAAAGATATGTATGAAATTCATAGATTCTCTATCAAGAATATGTATCTTCCTTCTCCGCGGCCATTCATCCGAAATTTCTTGCTGTCACAAATTCTGGTTTGATATCTGGTGGGAAATAACTAGTGTTTTTGTACCCGGTGAGATAGGAAGGAACCATGAGCAATGGGCAAGGGGGACCACCAGATTGTTGGACAATGGTGGCAACAATCTCCCACGCACGTGTTTTCTCCGAGAGGAGGTTGTATAGCGTTGTGAGTGTTTCAACCTTGTGTATGGCATAAGTTCAATTACCATTTCTTCAACCTTTTCTGGCCGCGGAGATCATTATTTCACTGTCATGACAACTCCGGGTTCATCGTCTTTATAGTTGGCTTCAAATCTGTACACAAGCCCTCCACAGTAGTGTTATCTCTCATATCTTTGATATCTCTGGTGTTCCTCCTATCAATGAACCAATAATTGTCCTTTGTGTTCTCTAGCGTACTGCATTAAGCCTTCCGTCGAATCTCAGGCACAAGTGTTCTTCCCAAAGAGATATTCATTTTAGCTCCCGAGTACTAAGGCTTAGTTCAGGGGTCCGGAGTATGATGCTTGATAAGAGCTTCTGATGAGTCAGGAATGCGATGAAACCTGTATCTCGGGAACAACAGTTTAGTCTCAAGGTGACTTCCTTGTACCTATCGATTGTTTAGCGAAATTTCTTCTATCTGCTTTCGAAAAGACCCGGAAAAATACATATCAGCAAATAATTTGAAAAACTGTTGAGGTTCCAAAGAGGTGTATCCAACCACAGTGCTAATCATAATACTGTCTTGGTCCAGAATCCTAAATGTTAGGAATCATCAGGCTCAAAAGCTGCCTCATTCCTTTTCTTGCTTGGAGTCTTGGTCCCATGTTGGAATATGATCTCCGTCACCTTCTTGTTTCTTCTCGCAACCTGATCCGAAGTATTCATGTTAGAAACAAACGCCATAATAGAACCCTCATGATATCCTATAATTCTGTCTTTTGTTGGTTAAAACATGGCATGAGAACCCTTCAGCGCGGCATTAGCTTTCCTCCATATCCCCGTGCTAATGATGGTATACTCTCATCATCACCCTTGCAAGTTCACTCTGTTCTTTCTATAGCTCCCTACTTAGTAATTCGAGCAGAGGGCCTTCAACATCTAGGCAGTGTTGTTGCGGACAAAGCCAAGGCTTTACTCGTTAATGATTTCATTTAATCAGTGTTGTTTATAATGCTTCCAGAGACAAACAGGCCTCGTATATCCATGCTGCGCCCTCGCTCAATTAACTAGTATGCCCATTCGTTCTTGAGTCTTACTCTACATAGAGAATGGGCATCAAGATTAGGGTCAATGATCGCCCTCAACCTCTGTGTCGAGGATTTTGAGCCTTGAATTTGCGACAAATTTACTTCTTAGAAGCAAAAACAAAGACCCATGAAGATGATGAGCCACTGTTCAAGCACTGACAAGAAATACAGGATAAATATTTACCATTCAAAAGTTTCTCCACAAAGCTCGAAAGATAAATCATTACTTCGGCAGAATGTTGGGTTTCTCAAACTACCTCAAAAATATCTTATTTAGCGTTGGAAAGCACGGGAAACGGTATCCAAACTGGTATCCCGCTGCCACTATTCATCGGAGGAATGAGGTGAATGATGGAACCTAATATATCCACCCACTCGAACCACAATATTCAAACAGGATTGGGTACATTATAACATGATGGGAGGTCTGCAGCTTTACCAACAAGCTTGCGAGCTTGTAACTTCTCACTCTGCTCTGTGGTTGAACCGATCAGTGTCCCAGAATTCTGGTTTAAAATGAATGTATCTGGGAAGACACAGTCGTCGCAGTCTGTCCGGGGCACCAAGATATTCACAGCATCCCTCGATTGTCTTTTCTGGCACTGCGAGCGGCCGTCCTTCTTCGAGTAAATGTTCGAAACAGTTTTTCGAACCTAAACTTTAGTTTGGTCAATAATACCAAAGGGGGAGGTCATCATGCCTGTTTCCTTCAAGTTGGCCGACTTTGAAAGACAAACGGATGTCTCTTTTAGAATCATGAAAATCAATCCTAAGAAGAAGCAAAGGCTTAAGATCCGTAAGGAAAGCAGAGTGAATGTTTAGTAAGCGGATAAGAAATCTTTACTTGAAGTTCTCTGTGGTAGAATTGGTTGTTGTTGATGTTGTTGCTCCTGGCCACTTGATAAATTGGGAAGGTGAAGTGTATGAGAAGAGAAGTGTAACTTCTCAGTGACCTTTTCCAACCTTAAAACAGCACACTCGTGAGTTATATTATCGTTTGAGCATTTCAATCCACGCTTTTAATGCCTTAAAGTCATCTATGAAAGAATACCATTCCGCATCAGGTTCTTCTTGACATGAAGTCAAATGAATATTTCACAATCCGCCGTCTAGTGACTTGTAGGAATTATCAAAGGATGTATCACCAGAATTGAAAGATTGCAAATGCCAGATATACACCCAGGACAAATATGAAAAGCCTGAAAGCCAGTACTAGGCTTGGGTATTGATTAGCTTGCAGAAGGAACCCAGCAGAAAATATATCATATTCTTCCATGGATCTGCCAAAGCATTATCTTTTGGGGCCAAAATTTTGCAAGTTTGCAGGTACTAAGTTCTGCTGCTTTGCCTGCATATTTATAAACTCTTAATATTTCTGCGATACAGAATACCATTAGGAAAGAGATTGTACTGGAATATCCGTGCCTCTAATGGTGTCCAGCTCCGCGTGAAAGAATTGTAAGATTTGCATATATATGTCATGGAAGTCATATGGAGGAAGTTATTTTGAGAATGAAATGAAGTGAAATATGATGATAGGCAAGTGAACGAATGAAGGAAAGTGGAGTAAGAACAAAAGTACAAGATGCACTGGAGGAAGGAAGTGGCAGTCAGCTAAACTATGTAAGTCTCGATCAATTAACTCTAATAACTGTCCCGAGAAGCTGCATATCTTTTGTCTTGTGTCTAGAGATCAAGTAGAACGCTATCAAGTGGAAAGTAGCTTGACTGCAAACACTTATTCGGGGCTACTTGACTATAATCTTGACCGTTATAGACCTCTTTTTGCTTAATATTGACTATATGATTTGAGCTAGAATCTTGAACCCTCCAGCGACTATACTTTTCGATGGAACATTGCCGAATGTTCCGGACCCGTTCCAGATTTGAATCAATTCTATCTATTAGAAGCCACTAATGCTTTAGTTTCACTGAGATATTGAAGAAAACTTGCAGATCGAATGTTTTTACTTCCCTAGGAGGAAGGTATGTTTGATACTCCGGGTCCGAGATGTTCGCAAAATCATCAGATGCATGCCACGCAATCGAAGTAGATATACGTGAAGCGCATCGGCGAACCCGAGTACACAGTAAAATCCACATGCAAGATGTGGCAAATTGCTTCAAATAGCAGGACTTTGAAAGTCTGAGACGTTGCACATGCATTGCAACATCGTCCAGCATTCAACGATACACTAATTGCGGCACAATAGATTTGCACCTTTATCGACAGGTACTGTGTCCGTCTCCTCCGTCAGGAGGAAGCTCAGGGGTTCTTAACCTACCTAGTCGTCGTGAAATCGAAAGGTTTTGTCATGATGATCAGGTTTCTTAGACAGACTAAATCCCTTGAAGTATTAAGGTTATTTCTGGTTGCATTTTATCAAGTTAGCTCTGACAAATCAAATATGGGTCCCGTGATTTCATCATGTTTATCTATTGGTTGAAGCCCCTTGCTACATACGACTGACTATCTTTATCTAAAATGCGGGATTGAATATAGATCTGTCACCTTGTTACTATGTAGTATGCCTTGTCACTGTTACCTTATCACCTTGTCAAAATACTCAACTTGTTTTAGATGCAATATCGTGACAGATTCCTCCATGGATATATAATCTTATGTATCACTGACACGTTATTTATATCAGCAGTTTCCTATTTCATCCGAGAAAGAGGGGCAAAATCATGCAACTCGAGGCTGAAGGATTGATTACATTACACCATCTCATTTTATTACAATAATCTGAAAGGAGAAAAGATCAAGTGTGAGGAGAGAAATGAGATCTATCAGATGTACGAAGAAGAGAGCCATCGTGGCGTAAGACGGGAATTTTTCAACCACAAGTGTCTCCAGGTTTGCTTAAGTTTGCTTACATAAATATCAATTCATTTCGGTTCAGTTCACCGCAAAACCAGATTTGGAAATGTGAAGCTGCCAAAAATATCTTCATACAAATTGAAAGATACAGGAAAACTGTCGTACAGCACATCTGATCTTACATACTCGGCGGACACAATACAATATCAATAAATGTTCAGCTTTTACCTGATAGTTCACGTTGGTCACTCGGTGACATCAATTACTCCAGCTTGAAAGATTGAAATTGATCGACCAAGTGGCTTTTTCTTCATTATCAAAAACCTCCTTATTGGGGAGTATCATGATAACAGGCAGCCTGGCTAAATAAATTATCCTTTTCCGTGCATCATCTAGCATATGCTGCACCGTTACAAACTCCAACTAGCCACTTCATGTCGATTTAATCGAACATAATATGAAACAGTACCCCAATTTCTCAAGCAAGCCAGCTTACTCATTTTGTAGTGTGCAGGACAGAAACAAACCATCACATGAAAACAAAACACTCCGCATCTGCATATCCGTTACGATTCCAAATACACTACTGTGAAAGGAAACATGAGATTTTTATTTCATCTTCTCTTCCTTCTTCGCATCTGCATAAATTTTCCACGTTGCGTTGCACCCTCCAATCTGCAATGCAACATAGTTAGGCAAACCAGCCAACCAAAGATGTCCGGCCCCCAACCCCAGATCAGCAATGCACCTGATCTTTCCCCTTTGATCTTCTCCGTATGGTATGGCTGGACCAGGAAAACACCGACGCATGGCAAACCAGGATATTTTCACCTTCCCCTACCCTCAAATCTGACTGTAGCCACAGCAAGCCAGGACGAAGAGAGTAAAGATGCTGCAGCAATTCCACATGCCATGCCTGTTAAAATGTGCAGACATGGGTTCACGCATTATGTATGTACCTGTAGCAATTCAATTAGTGCAACACAAGTTATGAACAAATTAGGCGTAGCTTTTTACGTCGTCTAGCCTACCATTCTCCGTTTCATGAGTATGTAAAACGTGCTGTACCTGAAGTTGCATGCACGCACCTGATCTGAAGTGCCTAGAAATGCAGAGACGTTGTGACTAGGAGAATTTAGCCTGGCGGTTTGTTACTATTTGTGAAGAGGCTGTGTTGTGATTTGGGGAAATTATGTATGACAGATGGAAACAAGTAAACTTCTTGAAACAACAACAAAAACA